TGCGCCAAGCTGTGAAAACTCCTCCGGCCAAAGCTCCAGCAGCTCCTCCGGCGTCCCGCGTTACGAAATCATATAAACCGTTTGTCTTCCTATATTCACTCGTATTTTCTCCATCTTGAACAAACATTGACTGACCCGAAAAGCTTTACAACAGCACACAAAAACCCAATATCTCTTCTTCAGCTCCTCCACCACCACCACCTCCTCCTCCCAAAGCAGACACTCTCCTCGACATCTGGCGCCGTGCCTGGCTCCCCCTAACCGGTGCCTCTATTCTCGCCGGCTTCCTAGGCTTCTACATCCTTGGCACCACAGTCGCAACAGTCAAGTCTTCCCCTTGCTCCTCCTCTGCCCCTTGTGAACATGCCACGCCCACCGGCCGCCCCCCCGCCCTGAGCGGCGATAATGCCGAGCAGTTCGACAAGGAGCTCAACCTCCCAGAATGGTGGATGGGCATCACCAAGCTGCGTAAGAGGCTCGCCGTCCACGCAAAGGGCACCGTGCTCGAGCTCGCCATGGGCTCCGGCCGCAACCTGGAGTACTACAACTGGGAGCCACTGAGTACCGCCGTCGAGGCTGCCAGAACCGGCAACATCCCCCCACCAAAGATCCCCCAGGGCATCACATCCTTCACAGGACTAGACATCTCCATCGACATGCTCGATGTGACCCGAAAAAGGCTCGCCAAGTCCGTTCCCCCCATGGCCGCGTCTGCGCCCATCGTGAAAGCCTCGTCCATGGCCGATCACACTGGCGGCCAGCTCTCCTTCTTGGATGGCCACGTCCGCCTCGTCAACTCGGATGCGCACCACCCTCTCCCCTCCCCCGCTCATACCGACAAATACGACACCATCATCCAGACCTTTGGCCTCTGCTCCGTCTCCGACCCCATCGCCGTGTTATCCAACCTCGCTACTGTTGTGCGACCTGGCACCGGCCGAATCATCCTGCTAGAACACGGGAAAGGCTATTACGGACTGGTGAACGGCTTGCTGGATAAGAATGCTGGAAAGCACTTTGCAAAATACGGATGCTGGTGGAACAGGGACATCGAAGCCATTGTCGAGGACGCAGTGAGTGCGACGCCTGGCCTGGAAGTGGTTAAAATCGAGCGACCAAACATCACGCAGATGGGAACCCTCGTCTGGGTCGAACTGAAAATGGTAACCTAGGACAAGACGACATGATGCTTTCATGGCTCACAGCATCGCGCGCACAATGGAGATGCGCCAGCCGCGAGCAACGAACGGGCCTGTCAAACTCACCATATACAACACTACATCATTTACACATCAGCAATTTCTTGCGACAATCGAGAGTCCCAAAAAAAATAAGCGGATCTTTCTTTTAATCAATGAGTGGTATGCTCTTTTGTATGTACACCTTTTCCCTCTTCATCTTTCAGCCGTCTCTTTCACAAGCGCTCCTGGCGTGCCCCCTTTTTTGGTTGGTTGTCATCTCATCATCCCTGAAATATAGTCAGAATCATCTAGTATATCTACAGGGGAGTGTCTCTCCACACATTTCCACATCATATGTTACAAATACAAAGCCGTCCAACGCCAGCTCCTTTTCCCTTTTGAGTATTCCCTGCTCCTTTGCGCCATCCCAATGATAACATTAATAATAATAAAGAAAAAAATCAACAAGCGTCTAGCAGACAATCGAGTTCGTCTATCTCGATGCTCTCGGCGCCCTTGCCCCATTCGAATAGTTTGTTTAATCTTAACCAAGCTTCGGTATCATCTTCTTTCCGACCAGCGGATATGCTCGGCTTGATGGAGGGGCTAGCTAGAAATATGGTGGCCGCGCTGGGACGGCTATCGGCAAACCACGCATCGTCCCGATAGAAATCCATGGTGGCGACACTGTGACGCTCAACAGTTTCCGGCTGAGGAACTTCGGCGTTAAGCTTGCGCTTCTGCAGGCCGTCTGCAGTCTGTGTGAACTCGCGCTCATCCTTCTCGAGAGGAGGGGAGTTGTTACGGGGTCCGAGGACAAGTCTGCTTCGCTGGGAAGAGAACGATCCGATGGGGGTCATGGGCATCGCACCATCGTCATCGGCATTATCAAACTCGGTGGCTGATAGATCCACCTCAGGAGAGGGGCTCAGTTCTCGCCGTCTCGCCTCGATGTCTTCTGAGCCAGAATCCTCGGTGAGAGAGACTGAAGGGGTGAGAGAGGCAGCCTGAAGACTTGCGTTGAAGTCGGGGAGCGTTTGCCTGGGCTGAGTGGTGAGGAAATAATAGGTGCGTCGTGGGTGTACTGTCTCAAGCTCTTTACCTAGCGGGCAAGGAGCTGAGGCAGACCAGCAAGTTCGCTTCATGTAGGAAGCGAGGCGGGACGAGATAATGGCGCACGGGTTCGCAGATCTATGATGGCATTGTCAGCATGGCCGGAAGTGATCGACAAAGGGAAGGAAGACCTACTGTTGTACAGATGTAAGCGACTGGGTAAGGACAGTCGCCAGCTCCTTGATCAGATGAGGGCGGTTGCCAGTCTCCTGCAGTTGGACAACAACAGCCTCGACAATGTCGTCCTTGATGCTCTCGAGATCGATCTTGTGTGTTGTTGCGTCGGCATCCGTCATCTCCTCGCTGATGGCACGGATGGGCGACGGAGGCGGGGTATTCTCAATAGCCATGGCCTCTGCGGCATGGGATCTTTTGAGGCGCTTGTTGGGGTGTGCTTCTTCTGGAGATTCCGAGCGCGAGGCACTTCTGGACGCCGGCGTCGCTGAGGCTGAGGATGAAGCGGCGCGGGAGGCACTCTTCGATGAGGCAGCGCGCGAGGCATGCGTGACGGGGATGTGAATGCCCAGACTGGGCAGGGAAAGCGATTTGCGGCGCGTGTTGTAAGGCATGGTGTATAACGGTGACGATGTTGAATGCGTGTTGTATTATTGGGGGTATTAAAGGTAAAGGTACTGTGTAATTGGATTGGTGGACGTAATAATGCAAGACGTAAATGGCGGTGGCAAAGAAGAAAGAGAGAAGGAGAAGAGTGTGGATATGGGATCGACTACAGGCTGGCTCGCACAGGACAGGCAGCAGACGACGGAGTCACGGGGGATGACGATGCTTTGTTTGTTTTGGATGGTGTTTAGGAAGATTGTATGAAGGTATCCAAACATCCCGAGGGAGGCAGAATTGTCTCGGCAGCAAGTCGGGGGGGCGGTCTGCGGTCTACGAGGCGGATGGGAAGGAATGATGGGGGGGGGAGGCACCGAGCAAAAGAAGCCGGACAAAAAGCTCAGGCGATTTTTTTTTTTGGCGTTGGCGGGCCAGGAAAAAAAAAGAGGCAGCAAGCACGAGAGCTTGAACTTTTTTTTCTTTCCCCTCGGATCCTATTGGCCAGAGCCCCCCGTCACGGCTGCCGAAGTGGGGGGCGCTAAACGTCAGTGCCCGCACAGACCACTCGCTGTTGCAGCCACGGCTTTGAGGCAAGCACGACCCACCGCAGTGGACGTCCAAGCCTCCAAGGCGCCTGGCACGAAAATGGCAAGAGCGACTTCTGTTTGCAGGCACTTGCAGTGGGGTTTGGCGAGGAGCTGGTGGGGAGGCGCCTGCCAGAGACTGCAACAATGGCCACTCTGTGGTTGGTCCGCAGCTCGGCACTCAGGCACTATAAAGAGATAGTGGGGAATTTTTTTGGATTTTCTTTTTTTTTTCGCCTTTGCCTTTGCCTTTGCTTTTTTTGCCTGCCCACTGCCACCACTGCTACTCGACGGGGATACCCCTGCCCGATGAGGTAAAAAAAAATTAAAACAAGCTGCACTTTTTTTTTTCAGGGTATGGGGGACCACATAAAATGATGGAGACGGTTCAAGTTGGCATCGTGGCCGGACTGCTTCTAGAACCAAAGGGACGCGAATAAAACGGAGATTCGGTATTCGAAGTAGTGGACGTCATGGCCGCGGGTGATCTGACAGTATATTCGCTCATTGGGCTGGAGGCGCTTGCAATTGACGATGCATCAAGTTCGCAGTAATTAATATTTTCTTCGTTTTTTTGTGCGTGTGTATATGCAAGTGTGAGTGGGCGCGCGCACACTGGGGAGGGGAAGAAAAAAAAGAAAGGAAAAAAAATTAATTAAAATACCACTGTGTTCCAGGGTCTGGCATGTGCTGAGACACCCCCAGAGCAATCACGGAGTACGGAGTAATACTCCATATCTGTACCGCTCACTCACATACATGCGATTCCCTGCTGTCGATTTTTTTTGCTCCCCCCTGCGATGAGGCATGGGGGCGCCCCCTCAAGGGTCCTAGTGGGGCTGCAAAAGCGCCCTAAGCGATCAAGACGCAGCGGCGAAAAAAAAAAAAAGAAAAAAGAGCGTTTGAGTCGTCTTTCCGGTGTAAGTCGTGTGAGAGGTGGAGAGGACGTTCGATTCTCGTATGGAGCTCGACGCGCTGGACCCCAGGCTTGCCGAAATGAGGCCTTAACCGCTGATGACATTCTGCAGGCATTGAGGCACTAGGTCCTGTCCTGCAGCGCGTCCTGCAAGAGCGTCGAGAATCAACGGGTCAAGTTTGATGCAAGCTGCTTTGCTAGTCCAAAAAGCAAAGGAAAACAAAAAAAACAGAAGCCGTACTTGTACAGTAGTCGATCACCTGATCTATTACACCGCCTACCTTGGGCAGAGCTTTGGGCACCTTTTTTTTTTTTTGTACGTGTACGAGTACGGTCAATGGGCTTCCATTAGTACCATCTTTTTGCTGCTTACAGTGGCCGCAACGTGCAGATTGATGCCCGTTGACCTGCAGAGCTATCCAATTCCCGCGTCATGTGTTGCTGTGCTGCCGCTGCAATTGGGCCAATGGCTCGGAACGAGGCAGACGGACGTTGGCGGCGTGCATTGGCCACTGGTTGTACCTGCAAGGCCTCTGTCTCGTGTGGTACGACTTGCGTCCTCGCATGTTGAGCGAGACACGCATCGCGATAAGTGTCTCACCGGGTTCCACAAGCCTCTTCATGACAATCAAACGGTCTGCACATGTCTCAGTTGCCAAATCTCATCCCTCCCTTGACGGCGTACTCGTCTTTGTCGCAGACGGGCCACCCTGTGACGACGCACTCGTTCTTCTCCTTGCCGCCGTCCAGGCCGTTCCATCTTAGCCCTTTGCCCAACCCCAATGTCCACCAGAGGCCCCAGTATCCCTCCTCGAACACCTTCATCCACAGCTGCACAATGGGCAAACGTAGCCAGACGGCGTAGTACCTCCACCAGTGGACGGTGTAGCCCACTATCACGGAGGGATCCATGACCACCGGGGCGCCGCCCGTGTTATTGGTAATGGCCAAGGGCAGCAGTGTGCACTCGGATATGATGCACTCCGGGGGCTGCTGGAAGCGAAGCGTGTCCGCGTCCCAGTCGGCACTCTTGCTGCGCAGAGGCGGGTCGAGCAGCATGTCTCCATCGAGAACCACGATGCCGTTCCAGCAGGTGCCGACCTCGAGCACGCGCCCCTCGCGTACGGATCTCCTGTCTCTCTCTGACGCGAAGAAGGGCCAGAAGCCGCTAGCAGTTCTCCCACAGCGATCGCGGAGCACCCACGTGTCGTACAACGTTGCGCCGTCCATGTCAATGCTGCACGCCATCCGCCTCTTCCCTGGCTTGGTCACCGTGTGCGACAAGGGGGACTCGGCATGTGGACCATTGACATCATCTCCTCCCACGGCCGCCAACAGCTTCAGGACGTCGGTGTGATGATACACAACGTCGTTTAGCACAATCACGTTTTCGAACCGCCTGTTGAGCTGGCCGAGAGGCTCCAGGGCGCCGTTGCGGAGGTTTGCCATGTACCCCATCCTGTGCCTGATGCTGTGCCAGGGGTTTTCGGGCGGATCCCCGCGCAGGTCGGTCGTGATGTTGACGTTGTGCGCCACCTTGCGCTTGGTGAGCTCGCGGCCAAAGTGCAGCAGCTTGCTGGCGGTGTTGTCCTCGCTGTCATTCTCCGTCAAGGATACGTATACGTTGGCGCGGCCCAGCGTGTCGATGAGCTCGAGCGTCTGCGAGGTCCACGAGTCCAGTATCGCGTCGTTGTTCCAGAAGGAGGCGGCGATGAAGTAGCTCGCATTCTGGGCCCTATGTGCTTGTAGTGTCGGCGAAGAGGCCACAATGGACGATGCGGTTGGGAAGGGCGATGCGATGCCTTTCGTGTAAGCCCACAAGCTGAAGAGTGCACCGCACAGCCAAATCAGCGGCTTGAGCAATCCTCGCCCTGTCCCAGCCCCGCTGGCCCTCTGCGACGAAGAAGATGCCCCATTGGACGGCAGCAGGAAGCTGCTCCTCCTCTTGCGCCTCTTGGCCGCGTAGGACGGTGAAAAGTGCTGCCAGGCGGCGAGTATCACCCTGGCCGGTATGTAGACGAGGACGATGGCGAGGTAGACGCTGAGCGGCCCGGAATTGTGCGTGAAGATGATGGGGCAGAGGCGGAAGTAGAGCGTGGGAAGCACCACGAGGTAGAGACGATGGTGGCTTCTGGCGTGGCGGATGAGGGCCGAGATGCGGCTGTGGGCGGTCAGGCCGTGGCTGGTGAGACGGTGGCTGGAGTGGCCATGGTGGTCGTCACGGGGCTTGTCGAGGCTGCTGTCGTCGTCGGTGTCTTTGTCGTGGCTGCGGTTGCGGTTGTGGTGGGAGTCGAGGCTGATGATGGAATCTGTCATTGCGGATTTGAAGCTGGTGGGAGAGGTCGAAGAGGGGTGGAGACGGAGATTACATGATGTGTGTAGCTCTGGTGCCTTGGGGCTCTAGTAGAGAGTAATGGCGGCGTAGTGCAACGCTACTCCGTCGTTGGAGATGGGGGGGTTTGAAGCTACCCTGCAATGGGATAGAATGAACCAATTCAACTTCATCTTACTGTACCTATGCCAATAATTCTAGGGATTTACCTGTTGGACATGAGTCTAGTTTATCTCGAGAGGACTCTTCAAGATCGCCGTTGGCCGCATTATCTCCGAGTACGCAATGCAAGCATTCTGCATACCCTCGATCCCTTACGCCCTAATCCACCCATCCCATACCCATCAAGAACTACTCGTCGGAATATAATTCCCAAAGCAAGTTCCTAGGTAGATACCAAAACCCCCAAGACTCACTCGCTACCAGCTCGGCCGACAATAGCCAACCACTAAACTCAATCTGTCCAATAGCTTATCAAAGCATCCTCCAAAACGACATGACGAAATCACCACAAGGGCGCGCAGTCCTCCGTTCATCCACTCGGCATGGAGTCCGCAGCCCCCTTAGCCGAAGCTGTACCAGTAGGTAAGAGTCATATACATGCATCGACTAATCCAGAGGCCGCGTCCGGAGTAATATATAGAGTAATATATTAGTAGCACCCTCATGTGAAAGCAAATGTATATATAAGAGGCTACCACCGAATTCTTGGACCCAAATCATCATCACCATCACCACATCTTCAAGTTCAAAACCCCAACCGCCCGCAATGGAGCTCCCCTTCGTCACCCTCGACGTCTTCACCCGCACCCGCTTCCGCGGCAACCCCCTCGCCGTCGTCACCATCCCCGCCGGCGTCCCCAAGCCCACCCAGGACCAGAAACAAATCGTCGCCCGCGAGTTCAACCTCTCCGAGACCGTCTTCATCCACGACGTCGCCGACCCGGAGACCAACCACTCCCGCCAGATCGACATCTTCCTCACCACCGCCGAGATCCCCTTCGCCGGCCACCCCACCATCGGCGCCGCCGTCTCCCTGCTCCGGGGCTCCCCCCACCCCGTCACCGAGCTCGTCACAAAGGCCGGCCGCATCGCCGTCACCCGCACCGGCGAGGATTCCGCCACGGCCACCGTCCCGCACAAAGTCCACCTGCACGCCGCCACCCTCGCCTCCTACGCCGGCATCACCGCCGCCCAGCTGCAGGCCAACGACGCCATTCGCGAGTTGGAGCTCGCCGCCCCCATCTTCAGCCTCGTCAAGGGCGTCAGCTTTGCCCTCGTCGAGCTGCCGTCGCTGGAGCTGCTTGCCGACGTCACCGCTGGCCACAAGTTCAATGCCGAGGGCTTCCTCGACGAGGACTGGCAGACCGGCTTCATCGGCCGCTTCTACTACGTCCGCACCGGCTCCTCGACTGCCGATGGCGTTCCCGTCGTTCAGCTGCGCACGCGCATGATGGCCGAGGGCTTCGAAGATCCCGCCACCGGCGCCGCCTCGAGCTGTCTGGCCGCCTATCTTAGCACCCAAGGCGGTGACAAGCAGACGACACCCGCAAGACGGTACGACTTCACCCAGGGCGTCGAGATGGGCAAGGAGAGCGCCATCCAGGTCGACGTCAACCTCAAGGACGGTGCCCTCGACACAGTCATCCTTGGCGGCCCAGCAGTCCAAGTCATGCGTGGACATGTTCAAATTGAGTAGAGTCACTGCTTAACCCTTCAAGATAACTTGTTCGAGAACCATTCATTTCGCATTGTCCATCATCTTATCGCCTCTGAAATGTCCATCATGATTGTCATCCTAATCCCAATGTTATCCGGAGAGGTCATGAACCTCGATGCTCCCATATGCGCCGTGATAGTCTCGCCGCCCCGCATCGAAAAGCTATTTATCGTACATCAATACAAAGTATTACATTTATGCCGTCCGCTCGAGTCCCCGCTCCCTCCTGTGCCTAGCCGAGGAAAACTGAATCCGAACTTTTCTTTGACAATCACTATTTTCCCTTTCCGTCTAATTCCCAAGAAAACCAAAAAAAGGACAAGTGTAAATATGAAAAAAAAAAGAGAGAGGAAGAAAAAGAACAAATCAATAGGCGTATCCCTTGCTCCGACGCACCAAACTTATGCGATTAGCTTCATGCTCAGCTCCACCGTAGCTTCGTGGCTTCGTAGCGAATCCCCATTACCCCTGCCGATGTAAACTATACCCGTTGAAGAACTGAGGCGAATCGTTCGGCAACCTGATGGAATATTGGTCAGTTCTCTTTCCTTTGTGTCAATTGTTGAAATAGCAAACATACCTCTGGTGTCGATCTGATAAAGGGGAGATCGAAGAACATGTTCTTCTCGTTTTTGCACAGCTCCACAACTGTGTATATAAGTCCCCAGGGCTGGGGCCAGAAGCCCACCAGTCGCTCTAGGAGGATTCGGGTAATCTCCTGTCGAATGTCCGACTCTTCGGGGTCGTTCATGTCTTTCCCAAAGATGTACTGAATGAGCTGACTGAAGAATTCGGTGTGGGGGTTGGGGAATCTCAGCTGGTTCACCATGCTGGCTATCAGATAATATCTGGCGTCCGCAGGCAGTTCGTGCACCAGCAGAGACAGCAGGGCAACCTCTGGTTCGCTTCCTGAAATGGGCGAACTGGTAACCGGCGGCGACTGCTCAGTGGCATGATGGGCGGCATATATCACAACTGCGCCAATAATCTGAGCATTCGCCGCAATGGCCACGTGTCCAAACGTGGTCTCGGTCGGCGTGTTCGAAGTGATTGTGTGGGCAATCTGTGCCACTGCCTCCTCTGCTGGGCCGTTTTGGAAGACTTGGTCCAGCATGCTCAAGAGCCCAGCTTCCGTCAGGATTGCAACAGCATCATCTACGAGGCCGGGGTATGTCCTCAGCTCGTCTACCCGATCGCCTTTGAGGTTATCAAGGGGCTTTCCGTAGTTTTGCTGTGGAGTAGCGGTCAGGACTGTGTTGATCAGCTGGATGCAATGCGTTGGGATGCCGGCGCAGAACCGGACGTGATTGGCCGCTAGAAAGTCGGGGAAATCGTGGTGTAGAATGACAAACAACTTTACGGTCCCCCTGGACAGGTCTTTGCCAGCGTCGGTAACATTGAATGCCTTGAGCTGCTCGCTCACGCAACCAAGCAACTGGCAAACTAGATCGGCAAAGGCCTTCCATCCTGCATTGTCTGCTAGCTGCAGCAACACGGGCATGAAGGCTCGATGCTGGACAAGCAGCAGCCACCCAAACACAAATCCAGGAAGAGATTGCGGGCCGATGGTCTCCAGTCTGGAAGCCAGTCTCAGCATCACGTCGCGGCGGTCTTCATCTGGCAGATCCTCACAGATGGAGTATATCTCATGGAAGAGCGTCGAGTAGAGGCGGAAGAAGACCCTTTGATTAAGGTGTTCTCCTCGTTTGACGTGATGGTGGTTCAGTACCAAGGACACCAGGACCAAGACTGAGTCCAAAAAGGCTGCGCGTGACACCGGCGTTTCAGTATTCATGCTAGCAAAAGAGCCGATGAATTTGGCCAGAGCATCGATCGCCATGTAAGCATCACCGATGGCCCCTGTGTGCAGAATGTGCTCATAACGCTCGACCGAAAGGTCGATGCCGATGCGCACGAAGAAGAAGAAGTCGTCGCGGTTGCGAATAACGTGCCTTGCGTGCAGCTGCTGGATGAAAATCGCCGTAGCCTTGCTGGAGGCGTTGTGATTGTTACACAGGTGCACCCACTCCTCAAAGACGTACTCCAGCTGATCTTGCTGAATTGACTGTTCCTCTAGGCTAGAAGGTCCCTGTGGTGGTTGAGCAGGAACCGAGCCCATCAGCTTGTTCTTCAGCCGCTGGCCGGTAGCCGAGCTTGGTTCTTCGCAGATCCAGGTCCATGCCGCCTCGAGTGTGCGGATAAAGTCGGCATACAGAGCAATCGGTCGGTGGTTGAGGATGGTAAGGTCGAGCATGTGCTCGAGAAACTCGAGCGAATTGTCCTTGCGGGCTTCCAAGACTTTGGACATTGCGAGATCAATGTTTCGCCAATCAAGGAGATCAGTTCGGATCAATGCTGCGAGCAGAGGCAGGCTTAGGAAATTGGGTCCAGGCTGCTGGGCGAACAAAGAGCGGACTCGACTGTTCAGGGCTGGGCCAGAAATCTTTCGAAGAGTCTCTAGAACGTGAACAAGGCTCTCAAGCGTCAAGTTGTCCTCAACCTGTTGGAAGATGAGCGAGCTGATCTGCTCGGCGGCATAAATGGCAAACTCCTCCGAGTTTTGAGACGTCTTGATGATGAGCTGCACAAGTGCATCGACGACGTCGAGGACGGGGTGCGGCCTGGGCAAGCCCACGAAATGATCCTCTCGAGCCTCTCCAGCCACGCGCAATAATTCCTGTAGCAGCTTGTTGACCCGCTCTGCCAAACCTCGAACATCCATTTGAAAGCCAGCAGCTCGCCCGTTGCCCATCGCATTGGCAGCGGCAAGGTTATGAACTGGAGCGTAGGGCTGTAGTTGTGCGCCAAGCTGTTGGATCGAAGGCGTCTCTGCGGGAGTAGGTATGTTAGGCATGCCACTATATGTCTCCTGCAAAACTTCGTTTGCCAACGACCTGGTGGCCTCTGAGGCGGATGGTGCGTGGGATGCCACCGTGGAAGAAGTGGTGCGAGGTTGTCTGGCGAAATCTTCGTAGATGGCCATCTGTTCAGCATTCAGGCCACCGGGCCTTGGCTGTATCTTGTAAGGACTCGGAATCGTCATGGCCCATCGGTTGATTCCTGTCGGGTGATACGGCTCGTTTGGCTGCTGAAGACGATGACGTCTCCTGTGCTCCATGTCATTTTCCAGCATCTCCTCAATCTCCGGCACGGCTCGCTCCTCAGCCTGCTTTTCAATGATGCTGCAGGCCAAGTCGAGATTGGAGTTGACACACATGATGATGGTGCCCTCAGGAAGACCCGAAGGTAGGTCGTTGGCAAGACTCCTCATGTAGTTGGTCAAGTTTGCTCGTAGGGGCTCCTTGGACGTGACGAGAGCCAGGCTGCCGGCAGTGGCCTTTACCATGTTAATAGCAGATGTTCGGACGCGGTTCTCATCCGGTTCAGCAATGAAATCTTTCCGGATCATCTGCTGGGTTGATATGGCAGCAATAGTGACGGATCTATCGACGACTGGTTGTATAATATCCTGAAGGGCGCGTGTGAGAGCCGTCCGAACAATCTCGTGCAGTCTGCTGGTGCTGACCACCATCTCATTGGTGGGAGGGATGGTGATGAGCGGCCCGAGGTCTGGGATAGTTGGAACCTGAGGGGATAGCCCGGGCCCAACTGCCGACCCGATTCCATTTAATGACAGGCTCTCGAAAGCTTCGAGCTGCTCCTGGACAAGCACGTCCGACTCCTCCAAGATGGGTCTATTGAGAATTTCTCCAGAGGGTTCGATGCTCTTGTGATCTAGGTTCAAACCCTTGCATAATACCTCGATTTCGAACTTGAGATTGAGCTTCAGCTCTGCGTGATGATAGAGCTCTATCAAGAGATGGATAATGTCCATGAGCCAGGGATTGGGAGGTTTGAAAACTGCCGAGGTTGCGCTTTGGGTCAGGACCTTGCAAACAAATGGGATGACAACAATCAGCCGCTTGGTATCATGTGCCTCGATAAGCAGCTGTTTAAACGCAATGTTTCTGTGCTTTATCGGATAATCTCGAGCCAGGGTAAGGAGACCAAGCCACCCTCCAAGGTTTTTAAGATGTGATCTCTCTGTGGAGTTTTGCAGAGTCGCCTCAGAATTGAGCATCCTAGACACACTGATAAACGTCTCGCGGAGAACTTCGGCCCAGAGGATCTTGTCTTCAAACAATTTCACGAGCTCCAGGTACACATGATGGTAGTTTGGTTGCATCTTGGCGCGTTCCTCGACGAGATGGCTGGCAAACCACTGCTGGTATCTTTGTTCGAGCATGTCGCGAAGCTCAATACACATGGACTGTATCGTGTTTTCAGTGATGTTATTCAGGACAAACTGGATCTTGCCTTGCGTCTCATCATCTGGATCTTCAAACTCAACTTCTTGAGAAGGGGGGTCGACACTGATGGCTGTGAATGCCGGTGCAGGGCGGTCAATGCTTGCCTGCTCATCGCCGTTTGCATTCGCAAAGGAATCGTTAGGGAATCCCGCTCCATGCGGCGTGCCTGATCCGTTACGAGCGCGCGCAAGCTCCTCTTCGTGATCTCGAACAATCTCCTCCGCTTTCTTGAACGCCTCTGTTCCCTGAAGACCCGGGATCTGTAGTAGCTGTTTGCAAAACCCTGGCCATTCTCTGAGACGTACCAAGAGCTGCATCAGTGCCTGGAGACCAAACTTGAACATGGCATCATCGGGCGAATGATCCCTCACCGCCTCCAAAATCATTCCGAGGCCTATCTTAAGGGGCAGATCGGAAATTAGTTTGTGGGAAATGATGCCTCCGAAAAGAACTGCGGTCGTGGCAAGGGCTTCGAGGGGATAGTCCACATAATGGTTGTACTCATCAAAAAGACCGTGAATCATGCAGGAAAATACGTCTTGATCGAGCTGATCCCGTGAATGCTTGTAGCGGTCTAGGATCTCAACAATCGTGCGAACCTGTATCTCGTCACCGTACATCTTTTTATAATGCTCCTCCATCTTGCTGTTGGCTGCCTGCGGCAGAGCATTTCCATCCTTGCCATTTGCATCGATGATATCATCATACCCCTCTCCGTAGTTGATCAATCGAGGGTACGCAGTGATGCAGTGGCGCTGGACGAGAATGAGATCGAGAACCGGCGCCTTAGGCAGGAAATCCTCAAGAATCTGCAACAACGCCGAAACAGTCCGCACCTGAAGACTGGTACTTGTTTTCACGGGCGGTTGACCATCTGGTGGCCTCTGAAACTGAATCTCCAGATTGGCCTTGATCATGAGAAATTGCAACAAAGTTCGAGCAATCTCGTTACTCCGATCGGCATTGTATTGCGCCCATTTCGACAAGTCCAAGTAGCCCTCTGCGTGGGCAAAGGCGGCGAGATCGATTCCGAAGCCATTTGGAAGATAAACCAGCTCTTCCAACCAGTTGTGCTTGGCGGCGTGGTCGAATATCAGAGGAAGATCAACAGGCTTAACCGCATGCGCATCAATAAGCCGTTGAATAACCCAGTCCTTGTCTTTCTTCCAAAGGCTATCGAGAACGAAGTCATACTCCGGCGAGCGCTTGTACAAAAACGTTTCGAAAAGGGAGTTCAGGGTGTCAATCGCCATGGCAGCCCAGGATTGTCTGGGAACTTCAAAAGCGGACACGAGGAAAATGTCAAGGTTAGGAACGACAACTTCTTGGAATAATCGTTTTGCCTCGACACTCTGCGAAGCATGCACAGAATTTAGAGCAACGTTGAAGATTGCTGACAGCGCCGCCACGGATACAAGAGGATGTTTGACGACGGCAGCGGCCCGTTCTTGTACGTTGGGTGCGGAGTTTGCGTAATCTTCGAATGTAATGCTTCGCTGGAGATGGGGGATTGTGGTGGCGTCAAGTTGGTCGGGCCCCAAGGAAGCGTAGGCGCTAACAAAAGACAGCTGTGCCTCTGGCTCGCTCCAAGAACCACCCCACAACCGCTGAATGTCGAATTTATTGACTGGATCCTCGGCAATGGGCAAAAGAGCCTTGTAAAGCCGTAAAAATTGAGCAGATGAGATGCGTGCCGACGGCTGATCGAAAGAGAGGACGACTTCTTCCCACACAAAAGGCTTGGGGACGTGGCGTAGGAGGGCGTTGACGAGGATGATGGGATCATGTGGAGGATTTTGGCTGATGGTGGTGTATGTGAGCGCGGCAGAGACTTGCTCAGGGGTGAGCTGGATGTTGTTGGGACGGCCTCGCAAGAAAGAGGAACACGATTCCTCGTCCTTTGTAAATTCCGGTCCAACTTTTTGGATATAGCGAGCCAACGAGTTTGCGGGCCGATCGGCTACAACTCTACTGATATCGAGGGCCGCCAGAACTTCAGACGGAGGCGCTTGGTCCACAGACAAGTAGCGCTTAGCAACGGAGTTTTGAAGGTCTCGGCGGGAGGCTGCGTTGAAACTCGGCGGATAGTATTGCAAAAACCTGTCGATGATGAGCGAGATAAAGGCGGGCGATAGGTCAGCGTGGGCTTCGATCTCTGGCCGAGAGATGATGTCCATGAAGGTGGGGAAATTAGTCGACAGGATAGCATCCGCTGTGTTGAGAAGAATGGTCAGCCGAATATATTAAGCGATGGGGGAAAGAAAGACCATAACATGGCGTTGTAGATTACGGCCGTACCTTTCGTTTTCAAATCAGGCCGAGACCCGAGTTTAAATGCCAAAGCTAACAGAGTCTTTTCCAAAGCATCGAGCTTGAAGTGCTCCATAAACGTCGACAAGTCGAATTCGCGGAATATGTCTTCCGTGCCGCTCTCGACGGACTCTGCTATTTTTGTTGCTTGGTCGACATCGTGTGCAATCTTGCGCATCTCACCGACGAGAATGTGGTAGTTGCCAGGGTTGGCGACCTGCCTGTTGAGACCGGGGAAGATCTGAGGTGCGTTGCCCGCCACCAACCGGGTGAAGTATTTGGAAAAGACCTCCATGCCGTGTTCATCGATAAGCTATCATCGGCCACGAGGGTTAAAATCCTGCCAGAGTGTAGAGCCGATGCCGGGACTCACCTTTCTCAATTGCTCGACTTGCAGCTCCCACTTGGCGCGATCCTTATCTTCCTTGATGGTACTGAGCAAGAGATAGACTTGGGCGACGACAATTTTCGTCAGGGAGTTGGCCCCCGTTGGACTGCTTGTGCTGGGGCTTGCGCCAGCACTGAGGATACCAGTGTGCGACGGATGAGGTGAATGATTACTGCCAGTTTGAAGAGTCTGCGCAGGATTTGGTGAGAATGATCCCGCTCTTTGTGGAGGGACCATGGAGGGTTATATGCGGCGGTCGAGATTGAATACTGTGGCGTCTGCCAAAGGGCCAAAGGCAGGGCTGCGTATGCGAGGAGGGGAAATTGACGGTTATCAGCGAACAGTACTGAGAGGTTTTCCTACATGGGCGGGGGGGTTTGAGGCGTTGGAACAAGGAGCGGTCGATTGTGGTGACGAGACGCAGCTTTCGAGCCGAAGCTTTGGTGGGCGAGAACCGGGCGAAGCTTCTTGGTGCGGGACGACCACAAGTGGGTTGGGTTCACGTGAAAGACGCTCGGAGTCGTGCTGCAAATGCCGGATTGCCAGGTGCAAGGAATTAGGGTTTTGGGGAGGCGGAGGTTTGCGGTCTGGCAGCGGCCGAGCGGCTGGGCGAACAAGGGCGGCGAGATGAGATTGAGCGTCTGGAGTCTCGTTGGATGCTGCAAGATGGAGTAAGAGAGGCTCCGGTGTACCGCAGAAAGAATCGTTATTCGCCTTGTCTTGGACAGGGTGGCAGCCCGCGTTGGGCTGGGCATCAGGTACTCTGTACTGATACGGTGCGCAATCTCACGTGACCAGCCGTGCCCGCCCGTTTCCCGGCCAACGCTCGTCAGCCACTGCAAACAAAGCGACGGCCTGTTACAGCGCTGTGGCCGTATCTTACAGCGTTTACACCCCATAACCAACCATACCCCTACCCACATCCGCACCTTGCATCCGCGAACGCTTGCTACTGCGCGTTGGACTTCCAAATTCCAGAGAGCGCCCAAGCGTTTCACCTTATTTACAAGGACGACTTTGATCTTCTCCCAAGAATTGGCATTCGGTTGACCCCTCTCAACATCGGGCATGATGCCTGCCGCAATTGCTGATGCCCCAGCGGTCGCCATGTCATGTCAGTGTATCTCGCGACTCCGCGCCGAGAGCAGGCCGTACTAACAGTTTTGTCGATATAGTTGCCAACAACTTCTGGGGCAAGGACGATGCTGGCGTCGGTCCCCTTCTCGAGCGCATGGTGAATTCGAAGCAAACCTGCGATGAGCTCAAGTCATTCTATGGCGGTGAGGATATCCGCCCACATGCCGGGCTATCAAATCTGTTGCTAACCTCATGGTGATACAGCACGAGCTGCGATCGAAGATGAATACGCCCGAAAACTGCTTAACCTTAGCAAGAAATCCCTAGGCACCCACGAAACCGGAACATTGAAGGCTTCGCTGGACACAGTCCGCAGCGAGCTCGAGGCCACGGCCAAGCAGCACCAAAGCATTGCCGCGCAAATGAAGACGGAGCTCGAAGAGCCGCTCGCAGCGTTTGCAGGGGGTAATAAGGAGCGTCGAAAGATTATTCAAGGCACGGTCGAGAAGCTGCTCAAAGTAAAGGTCCAGCAGACAAATCAGGTGAACAAGGTAAGGATAAGAAGACACACAGCCCGGCACTCAAGCATCTCAGAACTGACCGTGGATCAGACTCGAGACAAATACGAACAAGAATGCTTGAAAATTAAAGGTTATCTCGCACAAGGCCATATGGTCATGGGCCAAGAAGAACGTCGAAACAAGGCCAAGTTGGAGAAAACGCAAATCAGCCTTGCAACTTCAAACACGGAATACGAGAATGCCGTCAAGATATTGGAAGAGACGACAGTCCGATGGAACCGAGAATGGAAGGCTGCTGCCGATAAATTCCAGGACCTTGAAGAAGAGCGGCTCGACTTTACCAAGAACAGCCTCTGGACATTTGCCAACATCGCCTCAACCGTCTGTGTCAGCGACGACGCATCTTGCGAAAAGATTCGACTCTCTCTCGAGAGCATGGATGTGGAGACTGACATTGTCACTTTCATAACTGAGCGTGGTACAGGCCAAGAAATCCCCGAGGCTCCCAAGTATATCAACTTCGTCCGCGGCGATGTTCACGATACCCAGTCTGAGGCTTCCGAAGATGAACACAACTATACGGTGGCGCAATTTCCTCGGAGTATCAATCCGGCTTTCCGCTCCTCTTCGCCGCAGCCTTCTACGTTTGAGTCTCATCATGATCCCAACTCGGCCCTAGCAAACGATTTGGCTCACAGGCCTCCCGTCAAGCCAACTGGCCGCGAGGGTGCGTCGACTCCTCAAAGGAGCCCCCAGAAGTTGCTTCCGGCTGGACGCCCATCCATGGATGAGCCGCATCGTAAGCAGCAACCTTCAAGCATGGACGATCGATATCGAAAGCAACCACTAGCGGTTGAGGATCAGTATCGCCGGCAGCTGCCTCCTGCAGAAGAGCAACAGCAGCAGCCTTACGGAAGACAGCCACATGCAGCTGATGACCAATATCGCAGGCAGCCGCCTGCGGCCGAGGATCAATACCGCAGACAACCACCGACCACGGAGGAGCAGTTTCGCAGGTCCCAAACGAATTCGCAGCCCCCATCGCCATACGACACTCGACACCAGAGTCCAAAACCAACGACCCCTCACGACCCCTATCCAAAGGATGGAATGACGATGCTCTGCCGCCCCGGTGCCCCGTCAGCCAGCAGCCCTCAGATCCAATCAGCCAGGACCTCTGGCCGGGACTCCCGCAGCGAATATTCCGATCCCACGTCAATTTCTAGCCAGGAGCCTCAAAGTGGCAAAGGGTCTCCTATCAAGCAGGATCCGCCAGCTTCTGCAAGCCCTGATAATCGGATGCTCAAAAAGAAGAGCGGCTTCTTCCAGAACCACAGCCCTTTTAGGCGCAAGAGCACCAAGGATTTGCAAGCTGCCGCCAATGGTAACCCATCGCCTAGCAACAGGAACACCTGGCACCCGTCCCAGTCGCAGACATCGACGAGTCCTCTGCGTCGACCTCAGCCCTACAGCGGCAACAGTGAGCCGCAAACTCGCAATCTGCTGAAAGAGCGAACCGCCAGCCCAGAACCGATCGATGCCAATGCAAGCTTAGCTCTCGGAGTGGGCGAAAACGTTCTGCCCGTCACAACATCTGACACCAATCGACAAAGACCACAGCAGCCAGTTCAGAAGGCTGAGCCGCAGGATCCAATTGCAGCTGCCTTGGCAGAGCTTAAGAACGTCAATGTGGGCAAGCAAGCCTCCGTGAGGATGTCGGCCGATCAGTATCATGGTATTTCTACGCCTGTTCCAAGCACGGAGGCTGCCATGACACGGGCCTTTCCAACGCCTGGCAGCCAACCTCCGCCTTCGTATCAGTCACAGACTCAGGTGACAAGGCTGGGTGTCCCTCCCCCAGCTGTGACGTCTAGGGCAATGAAGGAGGCTACTCAGAAGATTGCGAGCCAGTCCAGGAGCGTTTATGGTGACGACGGCCGCAGAGGGTCTGTGAGCAGCGCTGCCTCACCTATTTCCCGACCCGGCACTCGAGGCAACGATGGCTCGGTTTCTCCAGCGACTAACCGCGGCGCATCCCCTCAACCCCAACGGCGCATGAGCAACGATCCTCGACAGACGGGTCGCCATTCAGTGTCACCAAACCCTTATCATGACCATCGGCGGAATGGCTCTCAAACCAGCTTATCGCAGCATAATCAAGGGTACTACCGCGGTGCGTCCCCCCACGGTTCGACCCGAGGATCCACCAGGGGTGCTTCGCCAAACCCATACCGAGGCGATTACAACCATTCTCAGAGCCGTCCACCGAGCAGTTATGGTGGTGGGTCTGAAATGGCGGTACAACTGGCTGGTGGTGGCGATGATCGATATGGCTCAACTCGAAGTCGAAGCTCCGTACGCCCAGGCTCCCGTGCCGTGGGTTTGTACGAGGGAGGACATCAGCGAAGCAAGAGCGTTGCTGATCCATCACGGCAATATTCTCGAGATGGTCGACCAATCCTACATATGGGTAAGTTTCTCACGCTCTTCCAAAAATGGCCCCCAAACAAGATTACTAACGTTATGTGTAGCACGCGCAATGTTCATGTATCAAGCAGCTATTCCTGAGGAACTTGGCTTCGCTAAAGGCGACTACCTAACTGTCTATCGTCATCAAGATGATGGCTGGTGGGAGGCAGAAGTCCACAACGGAAGTGGCCAGGTTGGGCTGGTCCCAAGCAACTACCTTCAGCAATGCTGAGTGAACGTCGATAATGAATGATTTCTATACGACAGTCTTTACTTCTATTTGCCTCTTCTTTTCTATTTATTTCTTATCCCTTCTTTCTCTCCCCCCCTTTTTTGAATGATCAACACGGCGGATCTGTTTATGGTTCGATTGAATGTACATGATTTGATGATTGATGTTTTTGCAATTTTTATTTTTGCAAAAGCGCTGACATCCGACTGTTTATGCTTGGTTTAATTCGTTTATGGTTCGGTTCGTCAAATACAACCCCGTCTCTCTTTATGCTGTATCTCTTGTCAATGATATGAATTACTGTATGCCCCCTTTTAATATTATGTAGATGCTAGATTATACGTAACTATCTGGAAGTTGGTCAAAGTGATGAATACCGAAGTGTCCATGTGCCTTTTGTGAAAAGTACTAATTGACCTAATACGGTGATCACCTAAGCATACCCACAAGGTACTTTGGCCATTAGCCTGCTAAATCAGGTTCGGACCAAGTTGCTGTGAGGTTAGTAGATAGAAAGCGGCGAGCTGCCATAGATTCAGGGGAATGTATCGCTAAAGTACAGCGACACAAGCTAAGACGTCATGTTGATCACATGCACCAGAGCTCAGGTCAATAAACGTTCGTCTCGGAGTCTCTTTCCAACGACATGGACCGTTTGTAGATAATTTCTTCCATTCTGTGCATGCTCTTGGCGCCTCCACGGAATTGAGTCGTCTTTTCGCAACCGAACTTGTGCAATCTATGGAGTAATTCTATGTCATGGTAATTTTAATCTGCCCCTCAGATTGTTTGCATCTCCCAGCTTCGCTCCCAAGCTAACGCCCGCTGCGTGCGCCAGGAAACATTCCAAGAGACCGCGCGCGTCGTCACCTCGAAGCCTGTCCAGAGGGCCGTTGTCAATGTCGTATTGCTCGTGTCCGGAGCAGTGACGTTGCTCTGCCTGGCAGCAGTTGCTTCTGTGCTCTTCTTCCAAAACTTTGTTCCTGACCAGTTTGTCACCACGCCGATTCATCTTCAATATGGGTAAGTTTAGCAATTCGTGATGCTGTTGCGACACCTCAGATAGCGTCCGCTAACGCTTGACTGCATAGGCTGAGCTCCAACCCATATGGCGTTGCTGCGCTCACCGTTCCAATGCTGAAATCGCAGCAAGACTACGACATCTCCGTCACCCTCTCCATGCCGCGATCTCCACCAAATGTCGAGCGAGGGAACTTTATGATTAGTTTATATCTGTTGGATTCGAAAATCAGCGATACACTAGACGTGAGCGCACGTAGATTCGCCAATGAACGATCTGATTTCGAACACAGCAACGTGTTGTTTACGTCGCGGAGACCTGCCTTGATCCCCTACGTTGATCCTGTGGTGTCTTTGGCTTCGCGCATTCTATTCCTGCTCTATCACTTGATAGTTCCGACATCACAGACTTGCGCATTGAATGTACCGGTGGCAGAGCGCGTCACCTTCCCCACGGATTCTGCTATACCTTCGACGGCGTACGTGGAGGTGGAGGCGGGGCAAGGAATCCAGATTTACAGCGCCTCCCTGACGATGACTGCACAGCTCAGCGGTCTTCGATGGCTCATGTTCCATTATCGCCTCTTGACTTTTATCACTTTTACGATGCTGTTCTGGGTCTGCGAACTCGGGTTTATGGTTGTTGCTTGGGCCATATTGAGTTCTCTGCTAGGGACGTCAAACAGCACGGAGCTCAAGAGCCATAGAAGTCAGCGCCGGTCTACCACTGGAGGCATGACTGACTCTGATGGTTATGATGAGAACGACGATGGAGATGATGCATCCGACTACCCGCAACAATTTCCTACCTATGGAAAACAACCCCCTTTGAAGCATGAGCCCGACGTCAAGGATGAAGAGGAACCCAAGCAGCCTCTTCACGAGATACCCGTTGCCGGGGAAGAGGCTGATGACGAGGAAGAAGATGCACCTCGAGACTCGGGCATTGGTACAAGCTATAGCGGAGAGGGGAGTAGCAGTGTTCGGAAAAGGTCGATACGATCAGACCCAGAGAGGTAGATGATGAGTAACATGGGGTGGCAGAATGAGCATTCGTTTTATTGGTTTCCATGCCAATTTTCATTTCAAAGATACCCCGAATAGCAGGCAACGCACTGTTGCCTAGATATCTGTGTACTTGTATTATCAATCTTTAGAACGACCATCTGTGTGCTGAATGAAGCTTTGTGCCAACAGTGGGGCTTATACTCGGTGTCAGTGTCAATGTGCCGCTGTCTTGTGATTGATGACGCAAAATAGGTATGGATAGTTCAGGTGCACGTCAAAGACGACTACTATAGGGGTTTGTATCACTGATGCTTTGTTTCCTTGTTGCAAAACCTCTCTGTTCACTTTGAAGTCTCGAGGTGGCCCCCCTTTGGTAACACCCGCACTTGGACGGCGGCCCGTCCCAATAGCCTCGATGCCCTGAGACTTCTGAGAGGCACAGCATCCGCACTAAGGCAGCGCTGTGGGCGCCGTGGGTGCTGAGCACATGCAATAGCGCTGTTGGGCTGCATGACTTACTGGATGCCAGCCACGAGACACTGTGATGAGTGGTGAAAGAGCCATGGCAGGGCAGTAATCCTTGCAAGACAAGGCCAGGCTAGGGCACAACAAAAAGCGTTAATGCGAGTCAGTGCCAACGCATGCTCCAGTGTGCGGTGAAAACCAGCTGGCTAGGTTGTGGCATTCATGCATGAGGCGGCCTGTGACAGCGCCACTGACTGGTACAGCTGGCGCCCAAAAATGCAGCTGGCGGGGAGCGAAAAGAGAGGGCTGGGGTCCAATGTGCACCCAAACACGTACCTAAACAGCTCGAGGCGCCACGCCAAAGCTCCGGACCAAGAGATGATCCGCTGCGGCGGGACGGCACCCCCCCATTCACTGACGAAGCGTCTCTCGGGTGCTTATTTACTGCACGGTAGCAAGTCATGGCTGTGATTCTCGCGTGAAATCTCTTGGTTGAGTCAAAAGGCCAACGCGACGCCCAGCTTCTCCCTTTCTTCTGCTGCCCTTTGTTTCTTGGTGCGCATCGCCCGCTCTCGCTCTCGCTCACGCTATCCCCCTCGTCACATGAGATGGCTAGCTGGTGAAATCGGAGCTTCTAATCGCCAAGCTTAATCTGGTCTCCCCCCCCACCGCCCTCTCTACAACAGCCTCCCTCGTCTCCCAACGCCGCCAGCTTTCTCGCCTGGCCAAAACCCCTCTCGCTCGAGCGACAAGCATCTTTGCTACGAAAAGCTCCCCGTCCGAAACGATGCCCTGCTTCAAGGGCATTGCGGTGAGCATCCATGCCAACTCCGCTCCGCTCCCCGAATACGGCATCCAGAAGCAGTCGAGGCTGTCCCGCATCAGCACCTACATTCCGGTGCCGCAGCCAACCCTCAACTCGAGCAACAAGCCGGAACCCGCCAAATTTGCCATTTCCATCACGCTCTTGACGCCCGGCCTCCCCATCCCGTACTCGGCTCCCAAGGCGTCCGAGTCCAACCCCTACCCGAAGCCGCAATTCGTCGGGGGTCTCCACTCTGGCTCGCAGAATGAGCGAGGCAAGGCTGCTGGAGCCGTCGCTCCCTACATGCCCTTGACAAACTCGGAAAACGAGACGATTGCCGCCTACATTTATTTTGATGGGAGAGGCAAGGAAGAGGTGGCCACCTTGCTTCGGCCTGGCGAGGAGACCTGGGTCAACAGTCGCTGGGTGCAGGTCCCCGACTCCGAGGGCGGCGGCCTGGCTGAGCGCGAATTCCTCTTCCGAGAGGTTGGTCTTGAGCGCTGGCTTAACGGCCTAGACCTCAAGGGCCACGATGCTGCGGAAAAGCTCGAGAAGCGGCGTCAAAAGTTCGAGAGAAGGAGGCGGCGACAGGCCGCAGCTTTGGAGGGGAACTCTACCATGGATGCCGATGGGCGCAAGGGAACTCTTCGATATGGCGATGAGGCTTCTCCCATCGAAGCAGTCTATGATGATTCCGACTCTTGGTCTGATGATGACGACGAACCCCCGGAGGCGACAGGTCAGATTAAGGTGGCAATGTTCCGCGTCCTGGCTTCAGGAGAGATTAAGAAGGGGGAATACTCGCCTCAGTTTGACGCACACGACGGGGATGAAGAATACGAGAATGGCAATGGCATCGACGCGGATGTTGAGCACACGACCAGTTTTGCCAAGCCCAAGACGCTTGATCCCAAGACCATTAGCACTCAAACAGTTACTGGCATCGACGGCCCGGACAAGCCTTATGCTACCTTTACATTTTTCTATCGCGGTGAAAGTAAGTTCAACCCTCGTCCTCTTTTATCACCTAATTTTTCCCCCTTCTCATCTGAGCGTATTCCTCATTAACACCGAAATAGGACAACTGCAAAAGATTGGCGTCCTCCAGTCGGCAAAGAACAACCCTCAGGCCACTGCCATCTCTGCTAAAAGGCGCTCGGGCCAGATCGACTTCTCCAACCTAGGACCTCTCAAAGCAGGCGGCACTGTTGGATTTTCTGCCTTTCGAGATCAAGAAGCCGAAGAGGCGCGACGAAGAAAGGCTAGGAAGAAGAGCAACGGCAACGTCGCCGATGACAGCGATGACGATGACGAAGAGAGCGCAATCATTGGCAAGATGGAAGAAGTAGCCGACAAGGAAACCAATTCCAAGCTTGCACCAGAGGATGCCAAGTTCCAGGGCGAATTAGCAGACGGTGTTAACCGCATACACGTATGACCCAACCGCCCCAAAGTCATGGTCAAGCTGGATTTGCTAACGTTATTCCACAAACAGCTTAAGAGGGCACATTCGGCCGAACCCGACGCAAATTCCACTCCGGAAACCTCACAGCGAACCGACTCTCCGGCCGACCAAGGAGTGTTGGCCGGATCAGCACCAAGCGCTTCTTCGACCCTACAGGCGAATTTCGACTCTCTTGCCGCCGCAATGGTTGGCAGTCCGCTTAAGAAAGCACGGTCAAGCGTCGATCAAGGCAATGTCGAGGATAAATTCTCTGCTACACAAAGCTTGAGCGCAGCTCTGGGCACTGCTGTTTCCATTAAAGCTGAATCACCAACCAAAGAAGGTGCTTCTACTTCAACACCGGAAATCAAAATAGAGGAGGAAGAGCTGTAGTTGCGGCAGCGTGTTTGCCAAAGCACTCTATACCTCGGGGAAATTTGAAAACGTCGAGTTTCCAAATCTTTAATAACTTGCTTATTGGAATGACCAAGCGACGCATCAAGAGCGAGCCGAATTTTGCCGCAACTACGAAATCAGCCTTTGACGACTACGCTTTACGGGAATGGACCATGATGTACGAACGAATTTGCTGGATGTGATTGAAGCCAAGTATATTTTATTTTTCATCTTTTTCACTGGATTTGGTAAAAAGGAGAGCCGGAATAAATGTGGACGGAAACATTGGGGGCACCTTGGAGCCTTGAGACGCCGTTTTCGATTTTCACAGCGGCATCTGGAGAGCGCTTCTACAGGCTTGCCGGTTGGAGCTGGGGCTGTGTGGCAGGTTGCATTCCCTACCTATAGACAATAGCGATGACCTACGAGCGGCGTTGCTCATCCACCGCTTTTCGGTATGCGAGTCTACGGTATGCTGAGAGGGTTGGCTATATATCGGGGGACTAAAAATTCGTTAGATGTGCATCAGGAATCAAGTTTTTTGTTGACCTAAAGATGCTTCTATATCGATTAGCCCATCCTTTTTATTTATATGCTATATGCAGAATCCTATGAAAGGGACAGGAGGCGTATTTTCCCATACGACTTTGTTATCTGCCTTGATGGTGTGTTGACCAATCTGATATGGTTTTGGGGGTTTGGCTGTTGGATACATGGGGATTGATATCACATCATCTTAATGTGACGCTTTGCGCGAAGGATTCGATGATTCAATCGTTTACGCAACGCGGGGTACTTTTGCCAGACCAGGGGCTACTCCAACTCTATAGATAACTATATATACGAGTTACGATTATCTGCTCCTCTTTGTTGAATCTTGATTCTCTATGATTGACGGAAGAAGTAGAAGAAGAAGAAGGGAAAGGAGGCATAGCACACTAGTTGCTGGCTTTCTTTGAGAACCTACCTTTAACCATGGGTCGACGTTTGCGCCTCTGCCTTGCTGTGGCCGTGGCGATTGCCGGGAGTCGTGTAAATGCAGCGGCATACGTTCACGAGCAGAAGCCTATTACAGGACAAGGTTCTACAGTAGCAAGTGGAAACCCATTGACGGCTGAATTTGGGGATTTTGTGCGTGAGCAGTTGGAGAAGTGGAAGGTTCCTGGCGTTGCGTTGGCGGTGATTGATGGTGATGATGTGTATGCCGAGGTGAGGGCTTTTATAACAAATTGACGTATAGTATAGCACGAGGTTGCTCTTCTGACGCTGCTGCTCCAGGGCTATGGATATGCGACGTTGCCGGACATCCCAGCCACGCCAGAGACTCTCTGGTACGGCGCATCGACGAGCAAAGCACAAGTAGCTGCTGTCCTATCCTCGCTTATTCACTCGAGCAATTACTCGGCCTTTTCGCAGGGCTGGGCAACGCCTATCTCATCCATTATCCGCGACGACTTTGTCCTGCAGGACGATTGGGCGACGAACCACATTACTTTGGACGATGCCGTGAGCCACCGAACGGGCATGCCCCGTCACGACATCTCTTCCGTCAAGGAGATTGATGGAAGGCAGGCAACTCCGAGGGACATTGTTCGCAATTTGCGGAATCTCCCATTGGCCGCCGAGCCGCGGGTGACGGTGTATTACTGCAACTTGATGTACGTGACGCTGTCGTATGTCATTGAGACAGTCACGGGCAAGTGGCTCGGAGATGTGCTGAGGGAGCTCCTGTGGGAGCCTCTGGGGATGCGATCGACCTATTTCGACCTGCAGAGCGCTCTGGACGCGCCCGAGCACATGGCTTCGGGATACGCCTGGAACTTAGACAAGGAAGAGTATGAGGAGATCCCATTCATGACCTTGACCGAAGTCAGCGGAGCGGGATCCGTCATCTCCAACGTGGTCGACTATGCGAAATGGGTGAAGAGCCTGATTCACCAGTCCGGTCCCCTATCTGGAGACGTGCACAAGGACGTCAGAGCCCCGAGAGTGTTTTGGCCTGGCGAGCCCGGAAACGGCCTCGATCTCCAGCTTTATGGGCTTGGCTGGGTGAGGACTCTGCACAAAGGCCATGTGCTGTATACTCACAGCGGAGGGATGCATGCGTATGGAGCGGAAGTTTATTGGTTTCCGGAGGTCAAGTATGGCGTGGTGGTCTTTGGAAATACCGCCAGATGCCATGTCGTGGAAGAAACCGTTGGATGGAAGCTCATTGAAGACAAGCTTGGTATTCCTGAGGAGGACCGCGCTGATTTTGGCGCCAAGTAAGTTTTCAATCGGCGTCGTACTTGATGTTGGAAGTAGCGTTTATGGTTACTAACTCTGTGCTAGGTGGAGGAAAGCCGAAGAGAAGCTGGATTGGTTGTATGACAATGCACTGGACGTTCTGTACCCCGATAGGCCAAATCCCGGATTGCCCTCTACGTTGTCTACGAGCGAGTTGTTGGGCACATACTACAATGTGGGATACGGAAACATCACCCTTCGCGAAGAGCCTCACCCAGATAAGCCGGGCGAGAAGATTCTCGTTGCGGATCGCCCAGACTCCACGTGGAACTACTCGATGCGCTTTCACCACGTCTCTGGCGATCATTGGATCGTATACCTACCGGCGCCAATCTACAACGGCCGCAAATACGTGGACTTTATGGCGGCCGAGTTCAAGGTGGGCGCTGATGGAAAGCCTTCGGCGATTGAGATTGTGTGGGAGAGTCGAACGGATCCCATGCCCGAAGGAACGGCGGAGTATAAGCGAATCGCGTAAGTCGACGAGCTGAATTGCGATGCTGTTAGCGGTTGCAAGCTTCAAATGAGATGTAATAGTGAAGAGGGACAATGTAGATAGAGAATGTGTTTTCGTGTCAGACATAAAGTTGGTGATTAAGAATTCAACATGAAATTCAGTTGGCCGTTCTTAAGTTTTATCATCAGGAAAGAGATGGGATGTTTTTTGCTACAAAAGCACCAGCTTTTGCTAATTGACTTACCATTGAGTTTAAGATTAATCCATTGTAGCGATGAAGCAAGAACAAGAAGTTGTAGTGGGCTAATTATCTTCCGGCCCTAATAGAATTCAGCTTGTGAAAAAAAGAGTCTTGACCTGAAGCTGTTAAATTTTCGGCGGATCCAAGATATAGAGGGACACCCTCTTTAATGCATGTGCTCTCTTATTAGAGCTCCTGCCCCACCTACTATGCACTTATACAGCTACTGTACAGCTATATGCGTTTATCAGATATATTTACCCACGAAGCACGAGATTGAGAAAAAAAACAAGTTGGCACTGTGTGTCCCTCATCTACCCCACCATCCCTCCCTACCGTTTATCGTTCTTCAAAGCCTTGGGCACATTTTGCGACAACCCAACTACGAATATATACCCATTGTTTGTCTCCGAATATCTCGCCTCAGCGGTAGATCTTTGCGCAAAAACTTACGTTGACCAGTTCTTGAAGCGCTCTCGAAAACACAGCTGCCAAAATGTCTAGTAAGACGGCAAACAACCCCTCCGCCGATGCGCCAGGACGATGCTAATCACGCAAAACTGCTATAGACATCGAGGATATCGCCAGTATGTGTTTTCGAAATCGCTGTCGCTGAGCCAAGTCTTCTAACGCGAAATTCTTCTCCGTCGCAGAGCAGTTTGTCAATGGCTTCTTCACGGGAATGAGCACCAACATCCCGGGCCTCGCCGCGGTCTACGTACGTTTGCGATGCTAGGCAGCATTTGGGGGAGGGCGCCTTTTCACTAATGTTCGCAACTAGAGCCCCGAGTCCGTCCTCACTTTCGAGTCCCAGAAGTTTGAGGGTGGCGAGGCCATCCTGGGAAAGCTGACGGTGCGCTTAAACCTCTTGATATACGTTTATTGAAAGCGCTCTTATCTAACTGCCGCGCAGAGCCTCCCCTTCAAGATGAGCGGTCACCAGCTCTCCACCCTTGACGCCCAGCTTGCCTCTGGCGATCTCCTGATCCTGGTTACCGGAAAGCTCAAGGTACTGAGTTCCATATGAAAAAGAAGAGCAAGCCAGAGTGTGGTGGAGATGTAACTGACATGTACGACTCTAGGTCGACGAGGATGAGAACCTGATAAACTTTGTCCAGAACTTCAAGGTCAGCGTTACTCAGGGCCCCGGCGGCGAAATCACTGGTTTCGTCGTCAAGAACGACATCTTCAAGCTGGTTTACTAGGCTATGAATGTGGCGAAGGAAAACGATACTTGTGAGCGAAGACTGGGTAATGTTTGGCTTGGTGATACAAGAGCTCCATAAGACGAAGATAAGGAAGCAGGCTCGGAGAGGAGCAGATAAATGGCTAGAGATGTGTTGTGTATTCTCATGTCTACGAGTCATCAACTCTTTAGACAGATTTCTTCCCCAAAAAAACTTCATAAGCTTTCAGGCATATAGTCGAAACCAAATTTTCTTGATTTCCCCCCAAGTAGTGAATACCCTCGTCGCTTAGTCTGACATGTTACCTGTGCTTTTCCGAGATAGGACCTCAGTACCCCGAATCGCCAACCGCACTGTAAGCACTGTGTGAGGTGTATGTCTCTGGTTGTTTACCACAGTGTCTGTTAGGCTACTGGACGCTTCGCGTTTTGGGTGTACCAGTTGCTGGGGCAATTATGTCATGGCGTTTGGCATTGCTTGGGTTGATGGTTTTTGGTACCTGACAATCGTGACCGGGAATCATGTGCAAGTGAGGGGCGTGTGCCGAAGTGCACGATTTGCGTGAATCAAAAGCGAGAATATAGTAAGCAAGCCGGGCTCTGTTTTGCATTTAAAGGCTCTTCGTCTTCTTTTATTTTGTTGTCTTTTATTTTCTTTCTAGTTGACAAGACTCAATCAAGCCTGATTAGTTGGAGTTGAAGCCCAACATCGGGAACCCAAGCCAACTTTGGACCCTTGAAATCTTGCCCCTCCATCACCACAACCGCAACTCCAGAGATCAACATCAACATCAGCATGGTCCAAGAGCGAGGGTCCAAGCAGCGGCGCGAACAGTCCCCCGAGAGCGACACTGACATCTCGGCCTTGATCAAGTCCACTCTCAAGAGCAATGGGCAGGCCGATGCCAGCAGTGCCTTTGGGGCAGCAACGGCTCATCCCACCTTTGGGCACCCGACCAAGATGATGTCCTCTCGTAAGCAGAAAGCCGACATCTTCATCCGTCAGAAGACTCGCCCCGAGCACCATCTCGAAAGCCACGTCAATGGCCCCAGGGCACCGACGTACCACCCTCGAATAGCACCTCCACCTCCCATGTTCAGCTCAGTCCCGTCGGCTTCGACTGTGCCTTCGACAGCTACGTCGCTGCAACGTCGTGGAGAAGAGGTCTTCTATACAGACCCGGCAAAGGCCAGCGAAGATCTCAAGGCGTTGCTGGAGGGGGGCCTGGAGGGCGATGACGACGAAGGAGTTGACTCTGATGGGAATCGAGAGCCGTCAGGAGAAGGGAAGAAACCCACGGACGATACCGCCGCCAAAGATCCCAAGACTATAGCAAAAGATGGCAATGTAGTTGGTCTCAAGGTACAATTGCTACCTCACCAGGTAGAGGGTGTCAACTGGATGCGTGGTCGTGAACTCGGTCCGGTCAAGAAGGGCACTGTTCCCAAGGGTGGTTTGCTTGCCGACGACATGGGGCTGGGCAAGACGCTGCAGTCAATCTCCCTTATCCTTCTCAATCAAAGACCGAAAAAGGATGGGGAGGGTTGGAAAAGGAGTTTTCAAAAGGTCGACAAGACGACTCTTGTTGTTGCCCCTCTGGCATTGATCAGGCAATGGGAGACGGAGATCAACGAGAGGGTAGTTAAGCAACACGGTCTTAAAGTACTGGTACATCACGGTCCACAGCGGACAAAGCAACCCGAGGACCTCAAGCTGTACGATGTTGTCATCACGACCTACCAGATCCTCGTCTCTGAGCACGGAAAGTCGTTGGATGATGCCCCGACAGGCTGCTTTGGACTTCACTGGTGGCGAGTCATCCTAGATGAGGCACATACCATCAAGAACCGCAATGCAAAGGCCACCAAGGCTTGCTGTGCGCTGCGATCAGAGTATCGATGGTGCTTGTCTGGCACACCAATGCAAAACAACCTTGAGGAGTTGCAGTCCCTCATCAAGTTTCTTCGCATCAGGCCCTACGATGATTTAAAAGCATGGAAGGATCAGATTGAGCTCCCCATGAAAGGCGGCAAAGGCCATATCGCTCTCGGTAGGCTTCACGGCTTCCTTCGCTGTTTCATGAAGAGGCGCACAAAGGAGATTCTGAAGCAGGCTGGTGCACTCACACCGGGCGGAGTGCCATCAACCGACGGCGCAGCGGCGATAAACGGATTCAGACATACCAACCGCAAGGTAGTCACTGTCGCTACTGAGCTATCCCCTGCAGAGCGGAGGTTTTACCAAAAGCTGGAAGCCCGCGCCGACCAAAGCATGGCAAGGATGATGAAAGAGAAGATGAGCTACGCCAACGCCTTTACACTGCTGCTGCGTTTGCGACAGGCGTGTAATCACCCAAAGCTGCTCGAGGGAAAGCTAGGGGATGACAAGGATGCGCTTTCAACAGGCGTTTCGAACGCGAAGCAGCAAGATGCGGATGTGGATTCGGTGGCCGATTTGTTTTCAGATATGGGAATCACCACTAAGGAGTGTAGCATTTGCGGCCGGCCAGTGGATAAAAAGGGGCGAGACTCTGGAGATGATCATTGTGCTGAGTGCGCTTCGGATTTGGCATTCTTTTACGGCAGCGAGAAGCCGAACAAGACAAAGAAGAAGGCTAAAAAGGCTGTGAAGACAGCATCCTCCAAGAAGAAGGGGGAGAAAAAGAGACGACAGAGGCGTCCGAAGGACGAAGAGGAAGAAGGGGAAGAGGAAGAGGAAGAGGAAGAGGAAGAGGAAGAACAGCCTAGACAGAATGCACGGAGACCACGAATCCGGAATGCTGTCCTCGATAGTGATGATGAAGACGAGGAGGAACCGAAGCAAACGTCTCGTCGTCGACAAAACCGCAAAGCCGTCATTGATAGCGATGACGAAGAAGAAGAAGATGATGAAGGAAGCTGGATTGTCTCGGAGAGCGAGCGGGGAGCGCTGAAGCTCGGCAAGGCTGGAGGAGAAGAAGACGAGAACGCAGAAGGTGGCGGAGACTCGATAGGATCCGAGGATTCCGAAGACTCGGAAGAAGATGACGATGATGATCAAAGCAACCTTGACAGCTTTGTGGTGGATGATTCAATCGCCAGGGGGGAAGAAGGGTACAAGTCTGTGGACGAGGAGTCGGATGACGACTCTCTCGTGTCCGTATCTGAAATAACAAGGGGTATGGCCTCGCAGACGCTCAAGGACAAGGCTCCTCGCACTTCACGAGCGAAACCCAAACGCATCATCACAATTTCTGATGATGATTCCGAAGCTGGCTCAGAGACCGACGCCGGTTCAGAGACTGAATCCGAGTCCGAAGAGGCAGACTCAGACGCTTCTTCGGAGTACGACCCCTCGGCAGACGGCAAGAGCATCTTTTCGTCCGCCAAGATCCGGGAACTCACCAAGTTGTTGCGCGCAGAGGCGCACGAGCACAAGTTCATCGTCTTTTCGCAGTTTACATCGATGCTCGACTTGGTGGAGCCGTTCCTGCGCAAGGAAGGGTTTCGGTTCACGCGGTATGATGGCAGCATGAGGAACGATGCGCGGGAGGAGAGTTTGCGGAAGCTTCGTGAGGATAAGTCGACGAGGGTGTTGCTTTGCAGTCTCAAGTGTGGCAGCTTGGGCTTGAACTTGACGGCTGCGACGAGGGTCATCATTATCGAGCCTTTTTGGAATCCTGTAAGTCATTCATCGATTTTTTTTTTCTTCTTCTTATATCAGATACTAACGCTCTATTGCAGTTTGTTGAAGAACAAGCCATAGACCGAGTCCACCGCCTCACTCAAACCGTCGACGTCGTCGTCTACAAGCTCACCGTCACCCACACCGTCGAAGAAGGCATCCTCGAGCTGCAGGAAAAGAAGCGCCTCCTCGCCGAGCAGACCATCGAAGGAAGCTCCAGGAAGGGCGCTCTCAAGCTCGGCCTCAACGAAATCATTGAGCTGTTCAAGCCCATCCACACGTCGCGCTTCCAGGACGGCGGCGCACACGACAATGCGGCGGCGCAGGATGAGGGCAGGAGGGCCAAGGATGCCGTGTCGTTTTTGCACAAGAACAAGCAGAAGAAGGCGCAGCAGAAGCCAGAGAATAGTGCGTATGCGCGACGGTGGTAGAGACGTTATAGTTTTTTATGATTATGATTATGAGATATAGATACGGGAAAGGGACTGGATGGGAAATGGTTTTTATGGTAGCACCATGAGAGTGCTTGCTGGCTTTGACGAAGTTCAATTACGCATCATGAATGAGTACAAGTATATTGACTGTATACGAAGATATGAATATACATCTCAAAATTAGAGACCCTTGACGAAGCACACGCATTATCCATCAAATTCACAACCACCACGTCAGAGTAGCAACAAGCCATGGAGAATAACCAATCAACTCAAGAAAAAAAAAAGTAGGCGGGAAAAAAAAGGTATTGTTCCTATTATCTCTCTCCATCCCATATCCACGCTAGGCATTCCATTCATGTAACCCAAAGATAGAAACACAAAACACAAAAGGCATTCTTCTTTCCTCCCCTTTCGTAAGAGCAGAGTATAAAAAAAAACATCGCTTCCTTATTGTTGGACCAACAACCCACTGATTAACATTCTGAAGCCAGTCCATCTAGTATGACACATCACGCTCATTTAGCTAGAATTAATACACTCCCGGTTGACGATAGTAGTCGTTTGGAGCCGGAGCGCTAGGTTCCGCCGAACCTGGGGGCACATACGGCCTATACTGAGGCCCACCAGGCGCGCCTGATTGACTTGGTAGATTTTGACGAGCGTCATATGCAGCGCCACTGGGTTGCAAGGGCGGTGGACTCATGGTGTTGGGAGGGCGTTGGCCTGGAGGAGCAGAGGGGGGTTGTTGAGTGGGCTGGTAGCTCTGGTACGACGGTTGCTGCGTAGTAGTATAGGGAGCTACTGGCTCGTTATCCTTTGGGTGAGGCATGCCTGGGCCTTCTTGAGAATAGACAGAGCTAGAGTATGTGGCGGCAGAGGTCGGGTTGTTAGGAGCAATGGGGGAATCATATACAGATGTAGCTAGTTCCTGGGCGCCGTAGGTGCTTGGCGGTTGTTGGTTACCGGGCTGTTTGAAGGGGTTGAAATTTTGAGGAGGCGGTGATGTTGAGGTGTTGAGGGGAGGAGGCAGGCTGCCATTGGATGGTATTCTAGGAGCTTGTTCTCTCGGGGGATATTGCTGAGCAGCGGGCGGCTGGCCAGCGGCAGCATGAGTCGGCACTTCGGTTCCTGCCACATAAAAAGGCGCAGGCGCAGAGTGAGGAGGACCTTGTGCAGGAGGAGCTCCAGGCTGTGGGAAGTTAGGAGGAGGGGAAGAAGTCTGTTGGTACTGTGGCCGGCCTTATACCAACGGTTAGCAACTAGAGCTGACAACAATGCTAAATCATTTCAATGCGTAGGTGTGCGGGGAGCCGAACCTTGAGGACCAGGGGTGTAGAATCTCTGAGGATCCTGTTGTTGAGGCTGTGGCGGATAGTTGCCTCCTGGCGGCGCGTAGCCCTGAGGGCCTGGGCGCATGGCATACTGTTGGTAGTTGTGCTGAGGAGGATGGGACATGGACGATTCTAGCAGCGATTCATAGTCTCTTCGAGCCTTGATGAACTTTTCATTGAGCTGGGTGAAGTCATCTGCGTTGGTTGTTAGCAGCGTGCAATGACATGCTAGTGAAAGCAGACATTACCCTTCTTTTGAGAATATTTTTCAATTAGCTTGATCAGCTTTGGGCGGATTGCAAGCGTCTGGTGATATAGTTTCTAATGAAATGGTCAGTATCCCTGATGATATATCTGTGTTCCCAAGGTAGACGGTGTTCAATGCACCGGCGCATACGTACCGAAATCTCCTCGTTGTCTTCCTCTCGTGGCCCCGTGTTGGAGGCGCTCAACAGCGTCAGGAGCTTCTCCACGTTCTTGATCTCAGCAAAAACCTCCGCTTCCATCTGAGCCTCTCGTTGCATCTCCTCTGGTGTGGGATCCGCCAGCTTCTCGACGTAGTTGAGAGGGAAGATGCCCGTCTTTCCCTTGAGCGACCCACGCCACCAATCCTTGTAGACGCTCTCCAGCACGGCAATGACATCACCCTTCTTGAATTCCAACTCGCCGGGCTCGGTGGGCGTAAAGTCAAAGAGGGCGCGTACCCTGCTGACCGTGGCAGCCGTGGTACCTGAAGGCACGGCAGTGGAAGCCGGGGCACTCTGCTGCTGTTGATTGCTGGATCCCGCCTGGGCAGTTGGCGCCGCCTGAGCCGGCTTCTTGTGCTCCTCGTCTTGCAAGCTGAGCCTGAGGGCCATCTGTAGCTCGTCGTCCTCCTTCTGTCGGTCCTGGTCGGTCAGGCCCTGCTTCTGGGGTGCGCTGGGCGGCTGTAGCGAAGGGTTGCTCTGCTTCAGCCTGTGGAATGCGTCACCCATGATGCCCAGGTCGGCGTCGCTGCTGAACATGTCGGTCCAATCATGCATCTTCTCCAAGATCTTGCTCTTTACCTGCTGGTGGGTGTTGCGGTCGTTTGCCAGCTTCAACAGGGCCTCGGTGAAAGCACGGCTGGAGACTTCGCGATGCATCTGCTTGCCGCAGTTTTGGCAGAGGGCGTGCGCAAGCTGGTGGGAGAGGCATTAGTCGGTTGATTTTCTGTCGGCGGCGAGCGGGGGAATCCTGCCGCCATAAGAAGGGATAGAGGGGATGAACAATGACGAACCTCGAGAGTGTAGAGCTGCACGTTGGCATTTCGGTGGGCGAGCCTCTTGATCATGCTCTGGACGGCTTCCTTGGAGCCATTCTGGTCGCCAGACACCTTGTCGCATACTTCGATGATGGCGCCCCAGTCCTCCGACGTCAGATTCTCGTCAGTCGCCTTGGCTGCGATGCCGTTAGCAAGGAGAGCATCATCAAGATGATATCGATGCGAGCGTCTCCCTGGGTTGCAAAAGAGAAGAAGAAGAAAACTCACTGACGACTTCGTCAAACGGCCCAGCCGCCGCCGCTCGGAACATGGCTGCTGCTGACGACTAGAGGTATGACGTTGGTCGAAAGGTCTAGGCTGAGGCTAAGGCAGCAGCTCGAGATGCGGTCGCTCGGGGGTTTGGCAGTTGGGCGAACGGATATTGCTGAAGCTCGCAGGAGATACGGAAGCTTCTTATCGGCCACGGATGAAGCAGGTGACGACAGGATGCCGAGTGGGAGAAGAGCAGGATCGTGGAGGTGTCGAGTCTGAGTTGAGCAGTTCTAATAGTGTTAGGTGCCTCTCTGCCTTGGTTTAGCCTAGAATAGCATGGACCTTTGTGAACCACCCAGTGCGCACATGCATGTACATGTAGGTACGTGGCGAGGCCAGGCGGGTACCCGCTCAGAGTTGCGACACTGGCCTCGCACCTCCAGAATTGCTGGACCGGGTACCTTGTCTGCCGGCGAATGCAGCCATGCGTTCGCGCAGCAGGTCCCGGGTGCACAAGTACCTCGCCTCGTCATCCGCAGCGAGCATCCAGGCCTCCGTACCCGCGGCTTGTACCTGGGAGTATTTAATGTCCAGCGAAGCGATACTTGAACAGGCTCCATCGGGTAGATGGACAAAGAGAAGTAAATTTAGCAATTCATTATTGTTTTCTTTCATATTTTATTAATCAGTTTCATCAACATCAATGGAATAATACAGTCCACCAGCCGCAAGATGGGCATGTGCCTTGCCGTACATAGATTTGCATGCAACCTTGTAATAAAGCTTACAGTCGAGTCCGTCATCCTCACAGCAGAGGCTCAGCAGCTGAGCAGCCCCAGTTGTCACTACGCATTACGTGGTTGGCCGCGCCACTCCAACGCCACGCCCATCCCGCCTTATCTTCGTCATTCCGCCCCATCAATGGATGTCCAATCCGCACCAAGCTTCGTCAACCCTTTTGAGTACAAAATAAACTGAAATCTCGTGATAAAACAGCCAGGCCACGTATTCAGGATAGCGAACCCTCTCACGAATCACCCCGTACAGACGCATCCAACACAGGCAAGATAAGCCGGGGAGCTTCACCCATTGCGTGTCTACCTTCATTTCACACAGCAGAAGACATAAGAGCCCCGTATCTACCGAGGTACCTAGGTATGCCCTCACAAGTAGACGCAACAAACTGCACCAGTCAAACAATCAAACAGATGTACTTCTCAAATTCCAGTCTTTTAAGAAAAGAAATCTTCGCCTACTTTGTACATTGCCTCGAGGCCCCATATACTCCCCAGTGCAGCACTTCATCGTAGATCCAAACATCGTGTCAAGCTCTGCCTGTAGTACCTGTCCAAACCCGTCTCGTTCGTCCATTTCGTCCCCCCTGCCGATATATACACACAGGCTCTCTAGGCCGTAATACTAATAACAACACAGCAGAAATAGCTCGCCGGCCAAAGGGAGGAGAAGATAAGGTCCAAAGAGTAAAAAAAGAAAAAGGAAGAAAAAATGCAACCCTAAATCCCCGTGCCCGTTGTGGGGGGTTCCATGTTACCGGTATCCAAAAAGAAAGAATAATAAAAAAGAAGGAGCCTGATAAAAGGAAAAGGAAGAGAAAGGATAAAAGAGAAAGAGAGGCGAGAAGAGCGACAATTTTATAAGGAAATACCATCAACGCCCCAAAATCAAATATCCAATCAATCATTAGAACAAAATGCTGTCTCAAAAGCCTGGCACTGGAGGGCTTTTTTTTTTAAAAAAAAAAAAAGCAAGATGATGAGTCTATCAACAATCTGTGCAATCAATCAATCAATCTTTAGCCAGCAAAAGTAAAGTCTCGTGTGAGTTTCTCAGCATCACTCGGCCCATCCTCTTCGAGTCGTGCCTCGTGGCTCGAAATGGGGTCGTTCAGTGGATGCAGTGCCGCTGCCGCTACCGCTACCGCCGCGGCTTTCTTCCAAGCTTCGCCTCCCCAGAGCGTCCATCTCAGAGAGAGTAAAGACTAGCGGCTCTTCACCAACAGCCTCATCGTCTGGGCGACCAAGCCTACTAGTCGACCCAGCAAAGCTGCCTCGAGAAGAGTGCGGAGGGGTGCTTCGACGGCCACTTGCCATCCCTACATACCGTCGCCGATGGAAGGGGGAGCTTGGCTGCGTCGCAGAAATAAAGCCATCCGGGGGTGTGTCGCTCGCCGAGCCTCGTTGCATCACGTCCGATGACGCGGCAGTCTGAATGTCAGCCACCGGCCGAAGCGGGCTGGACGGGTCTTCTTGCTGTCCGGGTAGCTCCTCTTCCAACTGCATTTGTCGGCCGAGAAGTGTGCTCAGAGTCGGCGGCTCCCTATCGTTTGCCCCGAGACTAATGCTTCGATGCGTGGCAAACGGCAGATCGGCCTCGTCGTCATCAGTTGCAGCCCGGACCTGCTGAGCAACAGAGCTTGAGCGGCGGTGATGGGTACTCAGTCTGGGGGACAGAGGAATATCAATCGCCGTCGTACCGTCCTGAGTCGACCCTGCTGCTCTAGCTTGTGATGAGCCTCTCGCAGGCGGCTCTACCCTCGTATAGGTCGCCGGTGTATAGTCTATAATCGAATTCTCACTGAGGCGAGATGGGATAGCGGGCGTATGCGGCGTATGCGGTGACACTGGTTTTCCGGGAGAAGAAGATGTAGATAGCGAAATCGTTCCACCGATGCCAGTCAAATTTGCGAGCTGCCTGCTTGAAACAGTTGAGGACCGATTAAGCTGCATCGAAGAAGTCATTGACTCGGTCAAGGCGTTGTTGGACTCCCTCATCATTTGGAACTTGGACAGCTGGGCTACCGTTCTGTTCGTTGCTGATTCTCCTTTCTTGCTCGGCTCGAATGACTTTAGAGTCTTTTTGCTGTCCAGAGCCTTTAGGAAATCAGAGATATCGTCCTCCTCAGTCTGCAGCGAACTATAGCTGGCCGCTCCAACCTCGGCGAGAAATCCGGATCCTGGTTGCGCAATCGATGAGGCCAGGCTCTGCCTCCCGCTGCTGCCCTGCTCTTCATCGCCCATCCGACTCGTGCCACCAATCGATAATCGCCCCCTCCGGTGCGTGAAGCTGCTGCTATATCTGCTGGCGGATGCGGGTCGTGGGGATCCTATTATAGGTGATTCGGTGGTGTTTAAGGAAGTAGGTCCGCGAAGCGAGGCCGGCATACCCGCGGTCAACGAAGATCGGTTTCCTGGTTGTCGGAGGGACGGTAAGCTAGGTCTAGTGAGAGATGCGGGCGATTCTGGGTCAGTGTGCCGGGGAACGGGAGATCCCGATAGGGATCCAGCTTTAAATGGTTGAAAAGATATAGAGGGCCTTCTTCGATCTTCTCCAACGCGGGCTGTGGGTCTTGCTGCAGACGCTCGCCCTGATATCGGCAGTGAATGAGGCGCTACCCCATTGTCCGTTTGACGCGGAAGTGATGCCGGCGGCGAGCTCGTATCCGAGCCAGGCGGCTTGACCGCACGGAGCGCGGATATAGGGCTCGTTCCCATGGGACCATCGCCGTGAAAGGTGGACAGACTACCATATGTCTGGTGAACGTCGTTCACGCTTACTCCCCGGCGGTGGTCTCTCAGTGAGCCCGCCTCAGCCATATGTCGCTGTGGTAATGATGGCTTGAAGAAATTCTCATCAACTCCCATAAAACGGGAGCTCAAAAGTGACTCGGCGTCGTCAACGCGGAATGTGCAGTCGTTTCGATAAATCACAGAAGTGCATAACCTGCCAACAGGTACCTCGAGATCTCCAAACATGTACTCCGTCACTGCATCCCTTCTCCCGTCGATGGAATTCTTCAAGAGGTCAGGCCTTGACCTGTCCGGGTCCGACATTCGAATCCGGCACTGGGGAATCAAGGCCGGGTGAGAGTTTTTAACAGCGCCTTGGCTGGCAAATTTCCAGGCGGGCAATAGTTTGGTGGCGACAAACAGAGATCGGAAGAAAACGATGGCTTTTTTGTAAATGGTAGGTAAAATGGGTCCGAAGTCGTCCAAAGGTTTGTCGACAATCGATTTGAGTTCCACGCGCCATCGCTCCAGTATAACTTCAGTCGGCCTTCTAATGTTAGTGAGGGAATCACTGCCACTCGAAGATGTCGACGCAGCGAGCTGCTCTAGGACATCCCAGCGCTTCCCGTCCTCGTCGATGATGACAAGACTCTGGCTGTCCTTGAGCGTCGACGCATCGAGATAAACTTCGATGATCATGGGTGGAGGGCGGTTCTCAAGGCTGCCGCAATTCTTCCATATCCTCAGCTCTTCCCTAAACTCGTCAATCTCTTCGGTTTCGATCTGGTACTGTAGCAGCATGGTCAGACAACTAGCTTTTCCATCCCTACACACATAGTTTGGGCCATACCCATTTATTAATCTTTGGTACGCCATTGGCGCCGTGGATTGGCTTAACTTTCATGCGCGAGGCGACAACGACGGCAGCCATTTTGGTGTGGAAGTTCTGCCGGCACAAGCAAGGTTAGCCCATTGAAACCTATATAGAGACACTCGTCCTCAACAGAGCCCTGATCCAACCTACCTGGACTATCTGATCCAACTTCTTTATTGACTCGGCCGGCGGTCCGGTTTGCTCCATCGTTGGTGAGCTCGCTGATTCCCTGGCAGATAGGCTCGATCCCGCCCGCGGACGAGATCCCACAGCGCCCTCTCGCAGGCTGTTGGATCGCATGGGTGATCTAGCTGGCGAGGCGAGCCTTGGTGGCACCCGGCCTTGCTGATGCATGGCTGCTCAAGAGAAGAGGAGGAGGAGGGAGGGGGGAGGGGGGAGGGGGGAGAGGAGGGGAAAAGTAGCCTGTATCGGCTCTCGAGACCAAGGTGTTTCCTGTCGATGAGAGAGAAACAAACGGACGGCAGTCGATCAAACTCGGATAGGGGTGTCGGTCTGGAACTGAGACTGCTCTTCCATCGTTGGCGTGGGCGTTGATTTCGACAGGATCCAAGGGAATGCTCGTCCGCTCTCTCGTGCGGCGGCCGCTCGCTTCGAGCAGGTGTGATTATGGGCAGCAAGGCACAAACTCCAACCCAATTCCGTGCGATGCAGTCAATGGGCAAACTGAGGCCGATGACTGGTCAATCGTGGTCCGCGGGATGAGGCAACCTTGGCTAACTCGCCAGGCAGCAGAGGGGGGAGAGACCTGATGAAAGGGTCTTGATGGGCTCGACAGGCAGGCAGCCAACGCAACGCAACGCAGAAGCGGCCAGCACAAGTCGGATGGGCAAAAGTGACGACGCTACAGCTATGCTATCCGCAAGCACTCACTCGGCATCCCAATGCAATGCCCAGAGGAGGAAGAGAGAGAGCGACGAGGTGTTGCGATCCCCCAAGATTCCAACTTGTCTCGAATCGATAAAGTCTGTCTGTGGAGACGGGGTATCGTCACAGGACGCGAGCTCCTTTTAGCACAAGAGTCACTCGCCCCGGCACTCGTCCGACCCCGTGATAGCAGGCCAGGGTATCAGGTACAGGGCCCTTCGTCATCCGACAGCGCGCAGAGAAGCTGCAGAAGCACAACGGGCCTCGTCAACGCCGCGCTCGCACTTTGAAAGCCCTTGTAGTAAGCGGTGAGCTCTGGGCTGGATCCGGGGATGTTTGGGTGGATGAAAGAATAAAGATTTGATGCTTCTTCTCTCGTCAGCCCGGCTGATAAGGTTTGAGAGAAAGCCGGGGGACGGGCGAGGTTGGTGGAGAGAGCACGTAGCTGAGGCGATGTGGTAGTGGGCATGTACCGGGGAGGTAGTGCAGTACCATGGACAATACGGAGCACGGAGCACTGGGGGCGCTAAAGTGCTATTGAAGCCCAGCTGTTAGAGAGTCGAGGTCAACCAGGGCCGCGGACAAGTACCTGGCAGGTACCTGGAGGTACGGGGGTCGGCACATGTCAGCTCCAGTTATTGGTCTCGTGCTTCCGAGCACGATATCAACGATATCAAAGAGTCCAGGTACAGGTGCAGTCTGCTGGGTACCTAGTACTGCTGGGGGTCGATCTGTACATTGGTGCGCCAATTCTCCTCAAGCCGTGACGATATAAACGGTGCCTCAGCATCTTCCAAAAATCGCCCTGCGTCGGATCAAACTGAGTCGCTACAGTACATCCCAACTACATGCGCCTTAACCGGTACTGAGAACCTCTGACGCAACCACCAGCCAACCCGCCCACAGCCGACCACACCGCTGAAGCCAGCGCGGTTCGAATGGGCCTGCAGGGCAGCTTCCAGCACGCCTCTTGCGCTGTGACCTCAGCGAGCGAGCACGCCGAAGCCTGTGGGGGTCCTATCGCGCAGCTGTGGTTGGCCCGCCCGCCATGTCAGAAGCCCGGGCGGGCATTGATTCATGATGGATGGATGGATCCGATTTCCCTCCGGCTGGCGGGCTTTTTGGGGGGAGTTGTCGAGGCGACGTACCGCCACGGTACCTGGCATAACATGCATGATGCCCGGGCAGCAAAGTACGTGTACCCTGTACAATAATGGCCATGCACTCCATTTACATCAATGCCACCATACTACCTAAGGTACCTACCACGGGCCTTGTTCGCGATTCGATGGATTCACGCAACAGCTGGGGCTAGCCGCAAAGGGATGGCCGGATCAGATCAATCGAGGCTTGCCAGGGAGGGCGACTGAGATTAACAAATCCTGGCCGCCGAGCACGCAAGGTAGTGGCAATTGGCGAAATTGGGCATGGACACGGAAAATAGAATCAAGATTGATCAATTGCTTATTTCGGCACGGCTCAGTATCACCTTAGAGTTGTACCTACCTTAGTAGGTAGCCAACTTAGTAGCACAGAAGATTGCATGGTATCTAGGTACCTAGGACTGCTGTTACAGTAAGCAATAAAAGCTCACGATGCCCGTCAATACGTGCTCCGCCCAATCCACTCCTCATCACAAACAAATCCTCACGGCCTGGTCCTTGCAATCCAAGTGCCTGTGGGACAAAGACACGCTCGTGATTGGTGTCGCACAGCCGTTCGCTGAGCCCTAAAATTAGGGATTCTATATCCAGCCCCCCAAGTCTATTATCCAACACCCTAAATTTTGGTGGGAGATATAGAGCAGTACTTTTATATTACTTATACTCACAAAGTTTACTTAATAAAAGAATAAATATATACTTTAGTAAAAGCTATTTTAAATAAATTATAATATTAAAAAATAATTAAAAAATAATTAAATTAATAAAATAATATTTTTTTAAATATTAAAATTAAAAAAGGGTTAAGCCCAAGGTTTTTGGGCAAATGGAGGCTGGGATAGCCCAGGGTAATGAGATTGGGCCAGATGAGTGCAGTGGGGGGCTGCTTTAGGTTTTGAGGCGCGTCTGGCGCGACGGTTTCGCGTTAAGTGGTTTTTTTAACTTGGTGGAAGAGCTTAGTAAATAATAATAAAGTATAATTATATTAAGAAAAAGGGAAAAACTCAGCTTAATATATTTAAAAAAAAAAGCCTTTAATATAAAAAAATTAAGTATATAAGTTACCTTAAGTAATTTAAAATAAAAATAAATAAATTTTAAAAATTAAAAAAGTTATTTATAAAAATAAATATAATATTTAATTATATTAATAAGCCCTTAGAATAAGTATAAATATACCTTAGCCTAAGGATTAATTATATATATATAAAAAGTAAAATTAAATAATTTTAAATAATTAAATAATAAAAAAATAAATAAAGTTAAGAATAAAAAAAAGTAAATTAATTATAGAACTAAAGTAAAGCTTTACTTTATTTTAAATAAAAAAATAAAAGTAATAGCTTTATAATTTATATTTAGGCTAAATATAAAAAAATTAAAAAAATAAAAGGAAATTATTATTTATAATAATAAAAACTATAAGGGCTAAAAATTTTTTTTATATTGTAATATACTTTTTTTAAAAAGCTAAAATTAAGGTAGCTATAAGTTATTTTTAAAGTAAAAATACTATATATAGGTTTCTTTTTTATTTAAGAAGTTTTTTTTATATAAGGAAATATATAAAGGGATTAGAAATAGCTATTTTATATAAGTTTTAGAGTAATATTATTATTATTATTATAAAAGCTCCTAAGTAATAATTATAATTTAACTTTAATTTAAAAAAATACTAAAATAGCTAAGTAAATAATTAAATTTATAATTAATGAAATTATAAATTTATAATTAAAAGCTTTAAAAAAAACTAAAGCTAAGTAAAGTAAAATATAAATTAAATTAACTAAAAGGTATTAAAAACCCTAAGTTAAGTAAAAAAATTAAGAAAATTATTAAAAAAGTTAATAAAATAACTTAAAATAATAAATAAAATTTATATAATTATATATATATAATTAATTGGACTAGCTAATTAATTAAAGGCTATATATATAAAGGTTTTTTTATAAGTAGTTTTTTTTTAAATAATTTATTTTTTATACTTAAAAGAAATATAAATAAATATAATAAAAAAGTATTTATAAATTAAAAAAATAAATAAAAGTAATTCTAAAATAAAAAAGTTATTTATAATAATTAATATTAATATTATAAATAATTTAAATTTTAAAATATTTTAAAATTTATTAAAAAAATAAGTAATAACCTTAATTAAATAATTATTTATAATTATTTACTAAAATATAATATAATTATATAAAAACTTAAAAAAATAAAAATTAATTATAATTAAATTAAATTTTTTTTATTTATATAATATCTTTTTATTTATTATAAACCAGAGCCATTACTAAACGCCTTCCACAACGCCAACCACCGCCGGCGCCCGAAAGGTACTTGCTTGGTTTAAAACTGCCATCTGCACCAGGTGAGTAGAAAGTGAGGTAGGTGGCGCAAAATGGCAAAGATAAACTTTCACCAGCCCTACTATAATATATATAAGCCCAGCTCTACCCCGTGTTCAGCGCTTAATCTTCCAACCAGCTACTTTCTCAACTTCCCACTACCTTACTTACTTCTCTCCGTCGCCCCAAGCCTATAAGTAAATCATTACCATGGATAGGGTTACGCCCGCTCTAGGCGAGTTCCTCGCCGATGAGACGACCAAGGCAGAAGACAAGAAAGATCTGTTGAACTTTTTGGCTGACAGGCCAAAATGCGCGCCAGTTACCAGCCTTTTACCCGTGGAAGATCTAGAAGTTAGGCTACAAGCGATCGACGATATTCGGAAAAAGCTTACGCCAGAACGAGATGGTGATGAGCCCCAGCTGAACTACTTGCAGTTCGCGACGTTGCTGCTCCTGCCTCTTAACTTCCTAACGAGTTTTAAGGAAATGTTCCACGGTACGATTCAAAAGGAATTCTCCACTGAACTCATTGAGGCGACTTTATTTTTCAGTGAGGCCCGTTCAAGGCTCGTCCTATGTTTCATTGCTAACTAGACATACAGTGATGAGAGGTAGAATACCTGGAACTGCGTCTGCTGCGAGTTCTGTTGCAGGTTCTGTTAGGGGCTCCATCACTGGCTCTGTCGAGGGCTCTGTCGAGGGCTCTGTCGAGGGCCCTGCCACCCCTGCCACCTCTGCGAAGAACGATAAAGAGAGCCAAGCTGGCGCCGCTCGAGTCAACCCGAAGAAAACCTACAGGGATGCAAGTGAGCGCAAAAAGGTACGCGATTCCCATTCAGTATCCTAGGCTATTTCTGACACTTGTTATATTATAGTGCCTGGTGCGAGATGGGAATGCGTGTCTTCTCATGCAAACAGCAATGCCTGAAGTATGCCATGTCCTTCCGTTTTCCATAGGCGCCACAGATGCGGCAATGGATTTCTTCTCAAAAACGTGTGGCCATCTTATCTACGGACTTCTATCTGGAACCAAGGACTATAACACTCTCACTGATATGTCGAAGAATCGTGGTTGGTCAGACAAAGCATGGAATATGTTGTGTCTCAATCACCAACTTCATGCTTGGTGGGCTGAGGGTTACTTTGCACTAAAATATCTTGGTACTATCCCAAAGAACAAGGAAGCATCAATTGTACAACTTCAATTTCACTGGATGCCCCGGAATGGGCTTGATCGCCAACAGAAGTGCACCATTCCTGAAGCACTCGAAGCAATGCAGCGTACAGTTTCTGACGACAATGGATTCGTCAAGGCTACCAGAGCGAGCTCCGGTCGGTCCCTTACCACAGGCCAAGTTTTTGAGATTCCAGTTCACCCAGAAGAAGCTCCAAAAATGAAGCTCATGATCGATTTGCAATGGGCAACGATTCGACTCGCAGCGCTTTCCGGAGCCGCAGGATATATTGATGAGCTGGACAAGGAGTATCACGACCCGTGGGATGAAGATCTGGCTCTTTGCAAGCGCCTTATTAAAGAGTGGACTGAGTCGACGCCCTAGAACTACGAGGACCCAGAGCAGCTTCAATTGCCGATTGAATACCAAAAATTGCCCGATTCCTTCAGATCAACACGCGAAGCTCCCACCAAAGGTTCTCCCGCCAAAAATCCTTATGCGAAAAGTTGTTCTGTCGAAAACTCTCCCTCCAAAAGAGGATTCACTGCTCGATTGAAGTCTCTAGATTTAAGCGAAGTATAGAAAAGGTTGTTTCGCCCTACGCCTTGTTGTTGGTAAAGACCATCATGCTATCTGGCGATCAGTTGTATGCAACTAAATGCTACCAGCATAGATATGTTAGTGTATTGGTGACCAATGGTGATAACGGGAATACAGTTTAGAAAAGTATGAGTGGAAAAGATGATAAACAGGTTCTACCTAAAGGTTAGATAAATAATACCCAATAGAAATTTCTTCCTTGGTTGCTAGATGATTATATATTAAGGTGGACTTATAACTTTGCGTATAAACGGTATTTTTATCAGACGTTGTAGCAGCAGGAACTACCAGGCCGTAACAGCCAGGGACTAAGGTTATTAAAGCTTGTCCATCATATATTACTTGCTGCATGATCTGGTTGCGTGAAAGGAAAGGAACACATATGAAACTCCTAGAGGGAAAAAGAAATTCACAGGCAGTGCTATTAGGCTGTGTGAAGAGAAAAAAAGGATCCATATATAACAATGCTTCCAAACAAAAATCATAGGCGGCGTAGTTGGATTATGTGAAAAGAAACGAAGATATATAATACTCTTGGGAGAATGATTCACGGGCCGTGTGATCGGGCCGTGTGTAAAAACGAGAAAATATATCCTTCAGAAAGGAGAATCACGGGCCGTGTAATCGGGCCGTGTACGAAGAAAAGACGAGGAGTAAACTGATTGGGTTTAATTAGCTAATAGAACGTTAGCCATTGAAAAAAAGAGAACAACTCTGCTACCTGATGAAGCTACGCCTAGGTATATCATGTTAAATGCCCAAAGCATCTCTCGGCGTATAATAACTAAACTATTCGCATCCTGGCACGCCCCCTTCCCAATAGAAAATAACCATCTCAATCTCCGCAAGCAAATGTTTCTCCAGTAAAGAAAATCTCCATTCCCCTATTTTGCCCAATTGCCTAGATGAACTCCTTGCCTCCGCATCGCCTAGATAGCCTCCTGATCACCCCTTTTGTAGCCGATGTATGCCTTTGATCCCGATCTCAGGATAATCTATCCGAGATTCCAAAAAAATGTGCTGGAAATGACTCTTCCTTACTGTCGCCTAGTTATTCCTCCCATAGGGCGATGGCCTCTCTAAAGTGTTGTTCTGTAGTATTCGGAAAGTCCTCCGCAAATTGTTGCACCAATCGAGCCCGAGGATGGATGGAACGCCATACCCTCCACTTGGGCCAATTGTGCTTCAGCTCCTGATGACGCACTTGTCTCTCTCTTGGATCTAGCGTGATGTTTGTTGCTTCGTCCACCAAGTTCCAAGTCCTAGGTCTCCCAAGTCTCAACAGTCGGCTGAGAGGTCGGAGATTGCCCTTGTAACGCCGGCTCTTGGTTGTATGCAGACAGCTAATTAGCGTCCACCCAACAAGCCATGACATCTCTCAAATGGCTTGGCATATCTCCCTGGTAACCATCAGCTAACCCTTGTATCAAGCTTGCCAGATCATCGTCATCGGGAAAGACGCCGTCTTCCCTCCAGTCTATTCTCAGCAATCGGCCGCGGTTTCGCAAATCAGCAGGAATCTCGGGCCCTCTACCCCTCATCAGTTCATCAACAAGAAGCATCACTTGCTCCAGGTCCTGGGTCTCAGACTTAGGTGTCGGCGAGGGCAAGGATTCGCCCTCTGAGTGCTCTTGGACAGGCAAATCGGTCTCAGAAGTCTGATGACCAGAAGCTTGATGAAGATGGTACTCATCTGTAATTAAAGGCTGCTCCTCTGGAGCTGGGGTCTGGTAGTCGAAACTCTGCCCACTCAGGGAGGCTTGTTGGTCTTGTTGTAGTTGTTCCAACTGCTCTGCATTGTGCTGAGGAGGGACTGCCGAGAGCCCCATTGCATCTGGCGCTTGGTGGCTCAGGGCAGACTGGTGAACTTGTTCGCCTGAGACAAATTGGAGAGTGTGTCCCCTCGGGCCGTTCTCACGGGCGGTGCTCTTAGGGTAGTTATCTGCTTCCCATTCTACCAGGGCCTGATCATTCAAGGTAGACTGAGGCGGTGAACCAACAAGTTTGGACGGAGAAGGTTGCTCGTCAGGCTTTTGCGGGTGTTCCTCAGGGAATGGTGATTGCTGGCCTGAAGCTTGATGCGTAGGGTGTCTATCGTCGATATTTCGCTCCCAATCGGCCACAGCCTCTGCCAAGTGTGGTGGTATTGGTTTTGGATGTGTGTCACTGATCAGGTCTAGTATCAAATCCATCTCATCGATCAAGTCTGGCCATGATCTCGACCGATTCCAGCCATTGCTCAAGTCTGAGACGTGTTGTGCTAGCTCTAGTGGCAGCTCTCTGGCCACTACTAGTTCCTTCATCATGGATAACACTCGTGGGGGGGTCCACGCGCTCTCTGTTGGCACGGTTGATGCTTGCATAGTTGTCTGGTCTTGCTCATCAGGGGTTCCTATCGTGACTTCTGGGAGTTGAGCATGACCCTCCGGATCTGGCGTGTTGTATTCCACACTTGGGGACTGTCCATCTGGGGCTGGGGTTTGTTCATGTATATCCCACATTTCCTGGTCAGACTGGTCGTGATATTCCATAGTTGAGGCCTGTCCATCTGGGGCTGGAATTTGTTCATGTATATCCCACATTTCCTGGTCAGACTGGTCGTGATATTCCATAGTTGAGGCCTGTCCATCTGGGGCTGGAATTTGTTCATGTATATCCAGCATTTGCTGGTCGGATTGTTCAATGGTGGACTGAAGTGCCAGACTCTGGCCATGATCCGCAATAGAGTGAGAATTATCTTCAAGCGTTGATAGTTGTTCCACAGTGGGTTCCTGCTCGGCCAACATAGGCTGGAGAGATGTATCATCTGGAGTAAGCTGAGGCGCTGGTTCGCTTGGAGACGGACCGTTTGCACGGGCGGTTTCATCCACGTTGTTGAAGGCTGGCTCCGAGGGCGGTTGAAGGGATTGTTGTTCGGGGACTGGTGGTATATGATGCTCTCTCGCGTCGCCATCATGGACCATGACCTCGGGAAACTGGCTTCTCCAAGCATTCAGCCATCGAACATACCTCGCATCCTGCCGGAGGGCCACAAATCTATCCAGCCACTTTGTGCCCTCCTGTCTAACTCTTTGAAAAGTAGCGGGATCTCCCACTTGAGCAAGTTTCAGGGCATTCATGATGCCTGTGCTATACTCAAACGCTAATCCTAAGCCTCTCATGGTAGTGGATCTGGGATTATAGTATCCATACCATAGGTTCACACAGGATCTCAAAGCCATGACATCATCGTCGTCAGGAGCTTCCAAACCCAACAGGCGTCCCAGAGCCAGGGGAACATTTCGCTCAATGTCATCCTGTTGTATTGGGTGTCGCTCTGAGACGGCGTCGATCTTGTTTCTTATGAAAGCCACATCTCCTTCTTCGTCATACATTGCCTTCATTACAAGATAGCGTAGCTTGGAAAGCGAGCGATGTCCTGGAGCCAATCTCTTGGCCTCTTGCTTCCCTTCCGCCCAAGACAAGTGAGCATGGATTTCGTGCTGTGCCCAAAACTGCATCATCTCCTTATATCGGGGATAATCGGCTTCAGGCGGTGCCTTTGGCTTGTTTCTCCAGTACGTAGGTGAGTGAAGCTTGTTTACCTCCCAATGTGGATAGAAAAAGTCATCTCTGAAGTCCGCCGCGGATCGCCCCTGGTAATCTGTGAGTTCAGCTTTGCAATCATCCCAAGCCCATTCTGGGAGAGATAGATTCACGTATTTGTCTCCAAGCTTGTAATGTTTGGAGAACGACGCGGTGTCACTTCCGTCTTGAGCCACACCAGGCGGACTGTAATCAGGAATTCCATAGTAGGAGACACTTGTGAGGCCTGTCAAAGCCATCTCGATGGGTTCAATAGGGGGCGGGGAGCCCGGGCCGTACATTCCTGGCATTTTCGTTCCTGGCATCTGCCAAGGCATTATGGTGAGTCGCAACCCGGGGGAGATGCCCGGCACCACCGATTTGACCTCATCCAAAAGTTCGAAGATTCGCTGCTGATCCAAGGCAGTTTCATCAATGTCTAACCAACCGGCACTCAAAAGATCTGTTTCAATAGCTCGATGGGTGAATCTGAGCAAGTGCGGGAACTCTGCTAGCTCTGCCCATTCGGTATAGCGGATTCGGTGTGAGTTGTAGATGAGGCAAAATGCTAGGTGAGCTATAGGCACATCTGAGTATGCCCTTTTGTTTCGCTTGTTTGTTCTCATGAATTCCTCAAGCAGCCGGTCGTCACTCTTTAATATGTCTTTCCATTGTATAATAGTAATGAGCATGCCTGGCATAGGGAGGTGATCGTGCGGATGCGCGGCAGCGAAAGCTTCAAGCATGTAGAGCAGCTCTTCGGGGAACTGTAGTACTGCTAAATATGGGACCTCGAATTGGTGTCCAGAGAATGCCTCTTCGTCCCTCTTTAGCACAGACGCGTTGCAAGATTTTTGCGTAGTCTTTGGGACAGTATCACTCGGCCCGTATAAACCGGCCGTGTCATCGGCTGCTGAAATAGGGACGAGAGCAGGTGGCCTTGGTGCCTTCCCCTGTTTCAACCGAGCCGAGAATTCTTCATACTCCTTCAAATATCTCTTCCGCTCTTGTGGGTCCGGCAAGATACTTTCCAATGGCTCCCCGGAGGCTAATCTCTTATAAGCTGTCAAATTTGCTGGGGAGGTCGAGAGGTAGTGCGGCAGGAAACACTGTCCTGCCCACTGATGCTTGGGAGTGACCTTGAAGTCGACGCCTCTGAAATTGAACTTGTTTATATCCGAAGCCTGTCCCAATATTTCGTTGTCTGAAGGTTCACCCTTTTTCTTGCGAACGGCCTTAGTCGCGAACACTGCTCCCTGCAGATTTGTCGATAAACCCATATAGGGAGCGGGTTCGCTCTTTGTATTCTTCTTGGGGGGCTCTGTCTTCGTTGAAGATGGCATCATATATAGACAACGTCCGAGAACCTTTTGCGTCTTGAAAGTAGGTTCTGGGTTCCAAGCTCTAGTCGTCTCAGCTATGAGCGTGTTGGCGGTGGAGTATATACCAAACCCCGAAACCGGGTGATCTCGTGCCACGAGGCCCTTGAAGACTCGTAAGTCGCCCATGGTACCTATACATTGTCAGGTATGGACATGGGATGTTTGAACATATGAGGTGATTGAAGTAGCAGGGAGACAGGGCAAAGGATGATTGATGATACGAACTTACCGTCCAGTGCATGTAGCTACCTTATTCGAAACTGGTGGGGACTATCGCCAGCCAAGGATCAGGTCTAGAGGGAAGAAGCTGATGAGGCTTGGGAGAAAAGAAGAAAGTAAGAGAAGAGACAAGAGGGGGAAGGATTAGAAAGAGGGGGAAGTTTCGAAATCCGTGCACACCGCTCACAGAGTGATGGCGAGGCGGAGAATGACAGGTGGCTGGCGGGAGCAAAGTGCCAGCGTTTTGCAGCAACTGCACATATATTTTCATGTATCGTGCACCTTAAAAACTCTTACCTCTCTCCTCCGCAATTTCCAGCAGATTCTACAGTGTTCCTAGTTCTGCGAGCTGACTTTGTCCAAAAGAGTCAACCGAAGTTTGGACAACTGCAGCTGGCAGACACTCCTAATCACCACTACCAGCAAACAGGTCGGCCACCAAAGTAATATTTATTTATTAAATTCTTCCTTTCTTTGTCTCCTCTCCTTCTCTCACTCACAACCACACAGCGGCACGTTGCCAGCAGACTGTCGCCAAATTCCCGCCAGTACCATTGCGAAAATCGGCATCACCACGCAATTATGGCGCAGGCAGACACCATCGAACCTTTGGATATAGCCAATTTGATCTTTGACAAGAACCACATCAGCTACTCTGACGGTATTGCGTGTGTACAAGCCTACTGGGCGCACGCGTTGAACTTATCTGAAGGCGAGCGACGGGTCATGCGCACTGTAAATATCGAGTTCGACTTCCGCCACACGAGATGGTCGCGAACACAGATCTCTAAACATCGTCTCTACAACTGCTCCGCTGGGGCTACAAGGCCGGGTCTGATCCTTTTACGAGCATTGTATAAGGCGGTGCCTGCCGACTTTGAAGAGAGAGTTATAGCACGGTCCTATTCCTGCGCGAGACCGCACTGACGACTACTTCGCCTTATTCCCTACAACTGTCAAACCTCTCATTTTTAATATGATACGGATAATGCAAGAGACTACCAGACACGTTACCCAGGCTTGAAGGTTACCCCGAGTACATACCGCAAACGTTAACGGGCCGTCGCCCAATAAGATCTGGAGGATTGATGGCTACTTCTGAAGGGGAAAAAGGGGGGGGGGATATGGACATCGGAGCGCCACGAAAGTCGGAGCAAAAACCTACCGTGGTATTTGATGGATTGAGACGATGGGACGGGTGAAGTGGAGTGAGAAAGGGGGTTTTTTGTTTTTCGGACAAGGTTCCGACAACGCAACGACCCGTCCAAGGGTTTTTCTTCTACTGCTTGCTGGGAAAGAAGGACACTATTTTGAACGCTTTCTGGTTTTGTTCTTCATTAATGGGGATGCCAATCCCTTATAAATAAATAATATATTCTGGTGAAGTCACAGCCTTGGAATGGGTGAGGTTAACTACATGTACACGTGGGAGTCGTTCAATAATTCCATGACATGCTGACCGCGAGCTTTACGCTTGTTAAATTCTAAGTCGGGCCGTTGCTCCGGGCCGTTAGTCTTAAATAATAAGTTACTGAAGTAAAATAACTAAAGAAGCGAGGTAATATAATATAAAATACATAAAGAACTTATAATAATAAATATTATTACTTAATTAAATATAATATTAAGTAACTAAATCTTAATATCTTAAGCAAAACCACTAATTCCTAGAATATTATATTAATCTACCGGCTACTATATCCAGCATTAGTAATACTTTTTTACTATTACTATATAATTAATATATAACTATACTAACTATTAATATATTAAACTACTATTATCAGAGCCAAGTAATAGACTTAATATTAAGGCCTTAAAAACGCATTAACCTTACAGTAGGGCTTAGTGTTTACGTTATAAAATTACTTTAACTACGCTAGGAAGGCATAGACTAAAGGCTATATAGCCCTTAGCGTAGTAGTAGGTATTATATAATAACTATAAGTTTTATAAAATTATAAAAAGTTAAAAATAAATATAATTACCTTTATATATTTATTTTATATACTTAATATAAAGCTTTTATAAACTTACTTTTATATTTTTTTACTTTTTTTTATTAATTTAATTTTTAATAAATTTATTTTTTTATTTATAAAAAAGTAAAAAAATTATTAAAAATAAAAATAATTATTAATAATACTTATATATATAAATTATATTTTAATAATTATAAAACTATAATTTTATAAACTTAATAAGTAATATAATTATAAATATTATTATAAGTTATTTTATAAGTTAGTATTATAATATTATTATTAAAAAAACCCCTTAATATAGCTTTTTTATTAAAAAAAAAACCCTTAGTTTAAATTTATATAAGTTTTTTTTACTTAATAAATTATAAAAATATATTATTATTATAGTAAAATTATAAAAAAAAAAAAAAATTTAATATTTTTAAGTAATTAAAAATAAAAAGAATTTTACTTTTAACTTTAACTTTTTAAAACCTAAGGTTAAAGTAAAACTAAAGTAAATTTACTTTAATATATAAAAAAAAATTTAAATATTAACTTTAAAATTTAAAAATAAAAATTAAATAAAGTTTTAAATATATTTTATATATTTAAGTAATTAATTTAAACTTAAAAAGAAATAGTTTATTAAAGACTTTTATAAAATTTAATATATTAATAACTACTTTAAAAAAAATATAAAATAATAATAAATTTTTTTTTAAAATAAAAAATATTAATACTTTTTTAGTAATTTAATATATAATTAATATATAAAGTAATATAAAAATAATATTAATAATAAAATTACTTATATATTTAATATAACTATATTATTAAATAATATTAATTAAAATAAAAGTAAATTATTTTAAGTTTTCTTAAGAAAGTTTAAAGTAATTTTTAATAAAATCTTAAGTAACTTTTTAAATAACTTTTATATTTCTTAGTTTATTAATAAATACTTTACCTTTTTATATAAAAGTATTTTTAATATTAAACTTTTTATAACTTAATTAAACTTTTATAATATAGAAAAATAAGCTAAGGTAATAAACTATAATAATAAATTATAAAATTTTAAAAACTATAATTAAAAAAAAAATAAAAAAATAATAATTTTTAAAAATTATAAAAAAATAATTAATAAAAAGGTAATATTAATAAAGCTACTATATTTTAAAAAGGTATTTTTATAAAGCTAAATATATTAAAAAATAAATTTATTTTAAGGCTAACTTATTAAAAATATAATAAATTATACTTTAAAAATATATATATTATACTTAATTATAAAAAATATAATAATAAATACTATATAATAAAATATTATAATAATTTTATTAATAATAAAAGCCTAAATTTTAAAGTTAACTTTATCCCTACCTTAAGAAAAATATAAGGTTATATTAAAATTACTTTTCTATTACTTAAGTTTATTATTAATATTAAAAACTATAACTTAATTATAAAAAAATATTTAAAAATAAAAATAAAAAATAAATAAATAAAAGTAACTTTTATATTAAATTTTAATAATAATATTAATATAATATAATAGTAACTTATATTACTTAATTAAATTTTACTTTATAAAATTAAGCTTTATTTATTTAATAAAGAAAAAGTAAGTAATATATAAAGTATTATAATAAAGTTATATAAAATAACTAATAATTAAAAAGTAATAAAATAGTTTTAAGTTCCCTTTTTTATTATAGTAAATATAAATAATAATATTTTTTTAAGTAAATTATAATATAATATAATTAACTTAAATATTTATTACTTATTAAAATAATAATATTACTAACTTTTAAAAAAAAACTTTAAAATTATAATATTTTATAAATAAATATATAAATAAAATAAAAAAGTAAAAATAAAAATAATTTTAATATAAAGTATTAGAAAAATAAATTTAAAAAAAAAATATATAAAATACCCCTTTTACTTATATACTAAAAACTAAATATTAAAAAATTATAATAAAAAAAAATAAAAAAATTACTTTTTAAATACTTAAATTATATAAAAAATTTTAATAAAAATATAATTATAAAATTTATATTTTTTAATAACTTAATATATATTATTAATATTAAACTTAGTATAATATTATTATAAAGCTTTATTTACTTTTTTATAAATAATAAGCTTAAGGTTTTAAAAAAGTATTTATAAAAAATAAAAAAAAAATTAAATTTAAAAATTTAGTAATTTAATAAAAATATTAATATTTTTTATATTAAAAAAAAAAGTTATATTTTTATATTAATTATTATATATTAAACTAAGTAATTTATAAAAATTAAGTACTTTTATTATTAATTTATAAAATTTTAAATTACTTAAAGAAAATAAAAATATATATAAAACTTAACCTTAAGAATATATATTATTAAATTTATATTTATAAAAAAAATAAGTAAAAAATAATATTTTAATATTACTATAAGTATTTTAAATACTAAATTATATTATTTAAATTAATTAATACTTTTATAACTTTCTAAAGTTATATTAACTAAGTTTTTTATAAATTAGTAAATTATATTTATATTATATATTTTAATAATATTTTAATATATAATAATAATTTTATAAAATATAAAAACTATATTTATATAATCCTTAATTAATTAATAAAATATAGGCTATATATAAACCTTAAGAAATATAAATTTTATACTAATATAATAATATACTTAGGGTTTATAATTAACCCTAAGGGAATTTATATAAAATATAATTATATTAAAGCTATAGTAGCTTAATTATTATTATATAATATTATAAAAATCCTTTTATTTTTTAATTTTATAAATTTTTATAAATAATTTATTAAGGAGTATAATAAAATAATAGCTCCCTTAATAAATATAATTTATAAAAAAAATAAAAAGAATTTTTAGCTAAGGAGTAATAAAATTATAGCTTTTAAGTTTTTAAAATAAAAATTTTTAAAAGCCTTAGTATTAATATATTTTAATTTAAAAGTAAAATTATAAATTAAAACTAATATATTAAATTTTATAATTAATATTATTTTTTTATAATTATAAAATAATAATTAATATTTTATTATATATTTATTATAAAAGCTTAATAAAGCTAAGTAAAATTATATAATACTAAATATTAAAATATTAATAATTATAAAAGTATTTTAAACTTAGTAATATTATATAATATATATAAACTACTTAATTTAGGTTTTTATAAACTACCTAAATTATAATTATTTTATTAAAAAAAAAAGCTATTTAATAAGTAAGTATTATAGCTAAAGAAGTTATTACTTTATAATTTTATAATTAAATATAAACTTAAAAAAACTAACTTAATAAATAAATTATTTTAAAAAGTAAATTTTAAAAATTAAAAAGTAAAAAAAAAACTAAGTTATAATTATTTATTAAGCTTCCTAAGGAGATTTTATAATAATAAGTAAATAATAACTAAAATAATTAAATTAAAAAAAGCTTTAGTTAATTATATATCCTAAGGTTTTTATTTTAACTTAAAATTAAAATTATACCTTAATTTAATTTTTTAAGTTAAAAAAGTTTTAACTATTATATAAATAGCTTTGTCACAGAATATAGGGTAGATCAGGCAGATAGTAATCAAGGTAAGTATTCTGATATAAGAAGACTTAAACTTAATCCTTTTGAGAAAAGGATTAGTAGGGGAATATATAGGGAAAAGGTAGCGAGTCTAGGGTCACGTGCGGGGGTAAGCATAGTGCTATAATCCCGTTACATAAGGTAATACTTTAAAAAAAAAAGTAATATATTAAAGCTAAATAATAAACTTAATATTAAAGCTTTAAAAATATATTAACTTTATAATAAAGCTTAGTATTTATATTATAAAATTATTTTAATTACACTAGGAAAATATAAACTAAAAGTTATATAGCCTTTAGTATAATAATAAATATTATATAATAATTATAAGTTTTATAAAATTATAAAAAGTTAAAAATAAATATAATTACCTTTATATACCTATTTTATATACTTAATATAAAGCCTTTATAAACTTACTCTTATACCTTTTTACTCTCTTTTACTAACCTAACTTTTAATAATTATATTACTATTAAGAAATTAAAAAAATCCCCCCCCTTAAACCCTATTACTATAGAAAACCTAAGTAAAGAAAATATATAAATTAAATAATTTAGGCCCTAACTCTCTAATATAAAATATCTTAGTAGTTAAATTTACTAAGAATTTCTACTTTAAGTAATTTATACTTAGGGGTATATTTTTTCTAACTCCCCTGGGATTTATTAGTATTACCTAATAATTTTATATAAGCAAAAGTGCCGCGGGCTTCTTAAATATTTTCTTTAGTTTACTTTTTTTTCTTTTTGTTTTTTTAATAATTATATTTCTTTTTAGCTCTTAGCTATTAATAAGTAGGTAATTTATGTTTTTGTATAAAAATAACTTACATAATGTTATTGTGAGTATAAGTAGCCTTTTTAGATGAAAAATCCAAGCATAATGTAAAGTCCAAGATTCACTTGCATAAAATGTGAAAGAGCCACGTCAACGTGACCGACCGCCTAAATTCTGCCACACGGCGCTGTAGATAAACGAAAGGAGATATAGTACCTATCTAATCCAAGAGGAAATCGTCTAAATGCTGAGCGTCAAGTTCTCTAAGCATAGTGTGTCAAGTCGACGTTGCGGGCCATCCGACGGCCCTACCAGTTTCTCTAATGTTGCTTTTCCAATGCCATAATCTGTTTCTATGATTGCCACTTGCGGAAAGTGTCCATGACGGTGGTGAAAACGACCAACAGGATACCGCCTCCAGGCCCGAGACGGAGAACCTAGAAGAGGTGAGTAAATGTAGGATATCCATAAACGGACAAGAAAGGCTCACCTTGGGCAAGAAGCCCTTGTATAAAGCACCGAAACCTTCTTCCCTGAAAACAGTCACCACGGAGGGGAAAGCCCAGTTGTACTTGGGAATCTGACCGGGCACCTTGGGAGTATTCTGAATTCTGCTCTTGACGACGTCGAGGGGAGTGTTGAGAATGGTTCCAATGGTTCCACCGATAGCACCAGAGATCAAGTCGTTGCCTATCTTGCCGCGGCCGGTCTCAGCCTTGGGAAGCAATTGCCGGACCTGGAAGATACAGCCAAAGTAGCCGGCGTTCCAGAGAATGTGTCGCCACATTGTGCTCTCAAGACCTTGGTAAAGGGTGAGGGGGCCCTCGTTCTTAACAATCTTGACAACACAATCCACCATGCCGTTGTATTTTCCAGCAGATGCCTTGTCTTGCAGACGAATCTTGACCAGCTCGAATGGAACGACAACGATGGCTTCGGTGGCACCTGCGGTAGCACCGGTGAGGACCGACAATGACTGGTTCATCTTGTCGACGCCAAACATCTTGCGGTAGACCTTGCCCCATTCGTCGTTGGCAGCAAACTTGGTGGCTCGCTTGGGGGCTTCCATCAGAATCGGAGCGGTGATGCCGCGGTAGAGACGTGAAAACCTGCGTCTCTGTGAGAAGGGAGCTCCAAAGGAGATGGCAGAAGCCGAGCAATAGAAGAGAAGAAAATGACCTACCCTTCGTGCTTGATGATCTTCTTGAAGCAGTCAAGCATGCCATTGTAGGCTTCGGCACCTGAGCCCGAGCCAGTCTGCAGCTGAACTCTAGTCTTGACCACATCCAAAGGATACCTGCACGGCGATTTGTAAGTATGGCTACTCAGGTTGGTGAGCGTAAAGGATGCCGAGCAACGTACATGGTTAGAATCTATTGAAAGAAAAGATGAATCGTTAGCTGAGGTTCCTGTCACGAGTAACGGGGTCAAATCGCACCTCCGAGACGCCCGCAATTGCGCCTGAATGTATTGTCAGTCATTAATTGCCATCAAGTAGCGTTGGAGCGAACTGGGCAGCATCTGAGCGTACCTGCGGCAAACTGGTATTGGAAGGGAAGGGGCTTTGGCTCGGCCATCTTGACGAACTGGCTGTTCAACCTGGATGAATCAATTGCAGTGCTGAAGGGATTCCGTGGCAGAGGGACGGCCGAGCACAGATGCGATTGTCGTTGTGCTTAGCGGAGGAAGATCGGAGCGTCACTCTGGAGGGGAATTTTTTTTCCATTAGGTTATCTTTAGCGGCGGGCAGGCCATTTTCATGGGCTGAGTGTCGCCGGCTATAAGCGACAGTCCCACCAGGCGCTAGCGGAGACCCCTGTGCAGTTTTTAGCGGCCAAGGGTCACGAAAACTAGACGAGAACACGCGACACTAGCAGTGCGTTAGTCTGATGAGACGAGACGATGACCTCGAGTCTAGATACTTGGTAGTTGTGCCCTACAAGCTTTAGTGCCTGATTTGTCAACACTTTTACGCTAGAAATATTCACGTCAGGAGTTGGAGTAGAGCTTCCAGAGAAGTGTCTGTCCTGAGCGGATCATTGCGACGTACTGTACCTATTCGACCTATTTCCCGATGGCGGGATTCCGTGTAAGTCGTATATGAGTACGGATTGATGCCATTCAAACTGAATATTGATCTCCGCAGCCCGTTGATAGGTAATGTAACAGTACTAATGTTTAGGTAGCATGATATCTTAGTACGGAAAGCAATGCAGCTCTTGTCTGGATGTTACGTAAATATTCTTGTGATTCGGCATCCTGAACTAGAGGCATTCTCACATCATCATCGAGTCCATCTTCAGATAGCCTGGAAAGTCACCCATCTCTCGCACACTGCAAACCACCTACAAGTCACCACAAATAATCACATGGTTTATTTGGATCTGCCAACTTACTCTAAAACTTACAGGCGAGAGTAATTTTTCTCTTCTTGAGCCGATCTATATGTCCTGTCGCTGTTACTGGTAGGTACATAGCAGGGCAGAGACGAGACGGCCCCAATGCACCCCGATGGCGGGGTTCAGAGCCTTCCCCCACAAATTGTCCAAGTCATGCACGGCGGCTGATGGCCTTCGGAAGGGCCCGGCTTCCTGGTGCGCATCTGCTCCTAATGCCGCCCGGTAGGCATAAATACCTACCTACCTGTAAGTACCTAGGTAGGTAAGATCTTTGCTGCTTGGCTGTCCAGCATCTTTTATATGCAAGATCCGGGGAATTGTACCTCGCTTCGGTAGGCAGCAGACGATTGCCGAGCCCCCTTCGGCTCAGCTGGTCTTATGTACCTAGATGCGCACGTCTCACGGCCCGGAGGCTGCGTATCAGCAAATTAGACCCGAGCAATGTCGACATGTGCTATCGTTGGGAAGCCCTATCCGGAAGCTGAGTGTCAAAGCGATTTAGCACAGGCTGTATTTGCGCGCTGCTATTGGCCACGGCTGCACAGAGGGCCATCCGTCTTATCGGCGCAAGTGCTCCGTGGCCCGGACCTAAACCCCGCCATCATCAACCAGGAAGCGACAGGTACGTTGTCGGGAGACGTAATGTGATAAGGGTATACAACCAGCTAGCATTGACTTAACGAGGAGAATTTCATTGAAGAGATTATATTCGAGTGTTCAACATGCAACCAAAGCGTTGCGCAACGCTTTCCCTCAGTTTCTTAAAATTTATCACTGGACTTACAGCTGCTTGCTGCCCCGTACCTCGGCGTAGACATGTCGGCCGCCAAGTCTTGACCTAACAGCCGCCACGGCCCCTTCCATGTACTTTCCGGGCACCAGGAATGCGGCAAGGCCACGCTCACGGAGCTTGGAACTTGGAAAGACATAACCACCAGCCGGCTTCCAATCCTCTCATCCTCCATTATCGCCACATCTTTCTCATTCAACTCATCCGAGGATCCAAATTCATCCAAATCCAAGCCACTCGCCGGTCCAGCTCGTTTCGCGCCGCCCCTCGATATTATCGATAACAGAGTCTTTTTACCCATCTATCGACGATTTATCCTGCGAGCGCATTCGGTGATAACAACCTGTCGAGTCCCACACACGCACGTCTTGCTGCAGCCACGCCGAGTCGCACAATCTCCTGGCATCGAATTCCGCACAAGAGAGCTTCCACTGTGTTTGCTGAGGCGTCAGCAACTCTCCGGCGCTTCGAATCGCACCTTTAAAAAAGCCGTGATCCTGCGAGACTCACAGCGAGGTGCCTTTTCAGGCGTCTGGGCTTCCTGTCCGTCCTGCAGCAGCTTATCCCCGGCCGATGAGTCATTTGCTGTGGAAATACTTCTGGGAGAACGATGTCGACAAGTTTCGGCGTCTGCTGGCTTCGGCTGGTCCCAATACCCAAGCGACAACAAGGAGTCCAGCCGTAGGCGTTGGGACATATCTTGGAGCCAGTCCCGGTAGCATCGGGACTTCGCCAAGGACTACCACCAAACCGCGTAAGGCGTCAGGTTATGCCTCTGGCCTTGGCAAAGCAAAAGACGGCAGCTCTGGTCTGAACAAAGCGGAAGTGAACAGTCGTGATCATGCCGGACTGACGCTATTGCTGCGCGCATCTTCTTCTACCGATCCGAACGCCCTGGCCTTCGTCCAGGCTCTACTCGACCACCCACATATCGACCTGTACGCTCAAGATCCTGAAAGTGGCTGGAATGCCCTGCATAGGTCACTCTACGCCGGAAATGCATCAATCGCTAGAGCGTTATTGGCCAAAGAGCGTGGAGATTTAGTCAACCACGCTCTCGGTGCTTTTAACAAGGTTGGCCAGCTCATCAAGACCAAGGATCACGAAGGAAACAGTCCATTTGACCTCTATAACTCGACAATTGCTGCGAGATCATTACGTCATACGATGGTTCAATCTCTGGCCGATGATGATTCGGACCTCGGCGACGGTGATTTTGACCAGGGGTGAGTTATTACTGCTACATTTGATTCTTGGCTGCTTCGTATCTGATGTTGACTGACCTGGAATCGTATAGTGCTTCCAAATTTACGCACTTCAACAAACATTATGCAGAGGGAGATGAGCTTTTCATGTTTGGAAGCAACAAGAACCTCTCCCTTGGAGTTGGGGATGAGGACGACAGACAGTATCCTGAGCGGATAATGCTACAACGGTCTGACCAATCCATACGCCGCTTCTATGAAGATTACCTTACACGGAAGCATGTGGATGCACCGCTCGATATCACGACGGATCTCGAAACCATCCCTGCTCTGGTTCAAAACCGACCCCTGGCAATTCAAGACGTGGCCATGTCAAAGCTGCACAGCGCTATTCTTACAGACGACCCGATATCCAACCTTTACGTTTGTGGCGTTGGTCGCGGCGGAAGGCTGGGACTTGGGGATGAGAACACGCAATTCAAATTCACCCCTCTCTCCGGGCCATTTGCAGACAAAAAGGTCTGTCAGGTTGCACTCGGGCAGAACCACTCAATGGCAGTCGTTGGAAACGGCGAGCTGTGGACCTGGGGTCTCAATTCCGATTCGCAACTTGGCTACGTGCTACCTCCTCCCCTGAGGACAGATGAAGAGCCGATGAGCCTCGTCCCGCGGCAGGTTTTCGGCCCTCTCAAGAAGGAGATTGTCCTTGGTATCGCTGCATCATCCATACACTCGGTTGCTCACACTGGATCGTCACTCTACTGCTGGGGCCGCAACGCGGGTCAGCTCGCGCTTATGGATTCTGATTCTAGATCGCTGGATCTGCAGCAGACGCCTCGTAAAGTTGCCGCATCTCTTCTGTCGGCGCCGATTGAAATGGTTGCCGCGATTGATAGGGCCACCACCTGCTTGTTATCGAATCGCCAAGTTTGGGTCTTCACCAACTACGGATACAACCTCATAAGGTTCTCCTTTCCCGACGTCGCCCTTAACCGCTCTCTCAATGCAAGCGTCTTCTCCACCAAGCTTGATGTATCACGAAGAGATATTCGATACATAGCGGCTGGTGGTGAGACGATCGCCGCAGTCACGGCTCGTGGCGATCTCTTCACCATGCAGGTCAGCAACAAGGGAGATGCTGGAGCCCCATTTGGCTCCACGACCAACCCCGTCAAAATTAAGAGTGCGGTTTCTCAGCCGCAGTGCATATGGGATTCGGGAAAAGACGGTGTTACATCAGTCAGCGTTGGGGAGCATGGATCTGTCATCATTTGCACAGCATCTGGCGCTGTCTGGAGGAGAATAAAACGCCTCAAGGGGAAGATCGAATCCATTGTCGATTCCGGCGATGTGAAGAGAAAAGACTTCAAGTTCCAGCGTGTTCCTTACATCACAGATTGCGTGGCTGTGCGCAGCTCTACCTTTGGGGCGTTTGCCGCCATCCGAAAGGATAGCAAAGTCATGGCTCAGGAAATTCACATTACTGAACAAAATCTCTGGAACGACATGGGCTCACTCCTTTGCTTGAAGGATTTCTACACTCCCGAAGGCAGTTCTGAGAGCGACTCATTACGAAAAGCTTGGAACGCTTCCATCGTCAGAGAGGGTCTTGGTACTGTGGCCCATCGGATTCTAAGCTCCTCTGATATCGAAACGGACATGCTTCATTGGCTACAAGCCAACTCGTTCTTATACGATACCGACCTAGAGATTTGCACAACTGCGGCGCCAGATATCAGGATACCGGTGCACGGCTGGCTTCTCTCTGGAAGGAGCTCCGTCCTCCGCCAGGCTTTGTCTGACTTTCGGCTTGATGGCTTCCACACACAATTGGACACATTTACCATAGAAAACGTCAATGATAATATGGTACTGACTCTGCTCCACATTGACGTATTCACAATGCTTAATATTGTGGTATATGCCTACCAAGACAACATCGTTCCCGTGTGGAAATACACGCGCGAAGCCCCTGCTCTGGCCCATCGCTTCCGCCAAGTTCGATCGGACTTGATGAAAGTCGCTACGAAGCTCAACATGCCGAAACTGGAGGCTGCAGCTCGGCTGCAGGCAGGCCTAGAACGGACGCTCGACATCGATTTGCAGGAAGCAATAACCGACCCGTTGTTCTTTGAGGATGGCAACGTGATATTAGAGCTAGATGGAGACGAAGTGACGGCCCACAGTCATCTCCTGTGCCAACGCTGTCCATTTTTCGATGGAATGTTCAATGGAAGATCACAGGGGCAATGGCTAGCCGGTCGCCGCGATGCAACGCAGCAAGTCGAGCCAGTCCGAATTGACCTGAAGCACATTCATCCGGAGACCTTTTCTTATGTGCTCAACTTTTTATATGGGGATATCGGCGAAGAAATATTCGATGAAGTGATGATTACGTCGATTGACGAATTCTCGGAGCTCGTCTTGGACGTGCTCAGCGTGGCCAACGAGCTCATGATCGATCGACTATCACAAATATGCCAATCCTTGATTGGCAAGTTTGTAACAAATCGCAACATATCGAATCTCCTGAATGAAATCAGCGCTTGTTCCGTGGCGGAGTTCAAGAACACTGGGCTGGAGTACATCTGCTTGCAGCTAGAATCTATGCTTGAGAACCATTTCCTAGACTCCCTCGACGAAGAACTCTTGTACGATCTGGATAGCAAAGTTCGGGACAATCAGCTCGCGTGCTTTCCAATTGCAAAGAGCGGTCGAGCGGAGCTGCTACTTCACGAGAAGTACCCTGACTTGGTAGCTGATATTGAGGAAGAAAGAAGGCGCCGTGTCAAAGAGATGGCATTTAAGCACGCTCAGAAGGAGGAAGAGAGAAGATTATCCTCTGCATACAAGCCACGCTTTGGGAGTCTGGATGATCTCGCGCGAGGGGTAGAGACCCCAGAGAAACTCACCAGACAGTCCAGGAATGCGCGAAACGAGCCATTCAGCCCGACTTTACGCCCCAAGGATTCCCAAGCCGATATGATCTTTGATATGGATGATGAAGGACCCTCTGGAGGCAGCAGTCTCGTGTCTCCGCAGCTCTCGCCCCCTCTGACTCGCACCGATACTGATACTGGATCGATCTCAAGGCTCTCGATAGAATGGAAGAGCTCAAAGGGCAAAGACAAAGCTGAGACGCCGCAGTCGCCTGTTCCAAGCCTGCCTTCTCACCAACAACCGACTATCGACTCGGTCACACCCGTTTCCAAAGAGGCTAAGAATGATGTAGAATCCCCATACTCGGCCGCCAACCCTCCGTGGGCCTCTGCGACACTGCCTACTGCTAAACTGGATCTGAAGGACATTATGTCTGAGGCTTCCGGAAAGTCAGCGTTAACGGCCGCCTTATCAGCACAGACGACGAAGGACTCGTCTAGTAAACCGCTTTCCAAAATGTCACAAAAGGAACGGAAGAAACAGATGCAGATGCAGCTGGAATCACAGGTCGTAGCACAAGAGGAGCAAGCCAAAGCGATACCGTGGGAAACAACATCGTCTAAGAAAAATCAGCCACCATGGAAAGCAGCAGCGCCCGTTCCAAAGACTTCACTGCAGCAAGCTATGGCATCTGACGTTGCACAGCGAAACGCAATATCTACCAATGCCAAGCCCCTAGTCGCATCCGAGTCTAATCCTCAATCCGCGCAGAGACGGACAGCTTCCCCGGATACTCGATTCCCCGGACAGGGGCGTCCTGGTAACCCACAGGTAACAGCCCAGACAGGCGCTGGAGCGGAAAGTCAACCGCAGAAGCCTCTGATACCCCACTCGAAATCTTACATTAAGCCGGCACAAAAGACGGAGGCGACATTGGGGTTGAGCATGGCAGATATCATCGGCCAGCAGCAGAGAGAGCAGCAGTTGGTCAAGGAGGCAGTGGCAAAGAGATCTCTCCAGGAGATCCAACAAGAACAAGCCTTTCAAGAGTGGTGGGACCAAGAGAGTCGTCGTGCGCAGGAAGAGGAGGCTAGGCGGCACAGTCGAGCAAAGGGTAAGGAAGAGCAGGGAGGAGGAAGACGTGGCCGCCGGGGAAGGGGCGGGAAGGCTCGAAGCAGCGAACAGTCGAACAATCAGCAGCCTGGCGTTGAAGACTCAATCACGAGCACAAAAGAAGCACCCAGGACCGGCGGTAATGCATCTCGGGGCCGAGGTAGAGGGAAGACGAACAGAGTTGGGATGTAAGTTTTTTTAATCGGGCTAGAGCTTGTGTTTGGTTTACTTGAACTTGTTTTGACGGCTACACCGGCAGCCTTAATACTATAGTACTTAGATATCCCCAGCTCCTTGCAACCGGGTGCGATTTTGTAACAATACCAATCATGACCCGGCACGCTTCTCGTGTCACCAACAGCTGCAGATTTGGAGCGCACGGGCAGATGAGGAGCTGCAGGCGATGACCCAAGAACTACCTCTACCTAGTCGTATTCACATGACGGGAGTACGGAGTACGGAGTAGAGATTCCCGATTATCACCGGCAAAGGGATCAAGAGGCGGCGGAGATGGCCAAATTCATTACAAGTGCCAGCACATCATATCTTTGCTGGGCGACACAGCCATTCAGAGGCTCCAGGGCCTCACCGACATAATTTTACTTTGGGCCTTTGCAGCCACCGAAATCTCCCCGAGTGTACTGTAGATACCTTACATGTTAATACTCCGTAGGTGCAGGGTATTGCTGCATGCAACTGGAAGTGAGTGTGTGCCCGGCCCACAGCGGTGACAGTGAATGACCTCACAGGTGCCGGCGTACTCCGGACCTATTTTACTGCACTGTAGTGCTGCAGCTCCCAATTGGAGAACGCGCAATCCGGCCGAATCGGAATTGCCTTGCCCTGGACGCACGCTGTGCCTTGGATGGAAGCCCCGGTTGATGCACTGGAATCACGCATGGAACCACAGAGATTTTAATGATTACCCAGTAGGTACTGCTTGATGTAGGGTAAGCCTGGGGCTGACGGGCTTGCGACCCGGATCTCCCTTTGTCTAGGAGTATTTCCCTCAATTCGTTGCGTGGCTGGAGATGGGCGCCCGGCGCGTGACGTAACATGGATGAAGGTACCGGCGCGAGGCATGCAGCCTGGGCGTCACCATCGGCTGACAAAAATACGACAGGGCAGTTCGGCCTTCGGCGTGCTCGGGTATTTTTGTCGTCCGGGCCTGGGGAACTTTTAACCTCGTCCCTCCTCCTCTCCTCCTAACGTAATCAAGCAGGGAGCGTACGTAAACTGACTCAAGCTAGCTGGAAACAAGGCGAGGCGAACCGACTGATAGACCTGTCAAGGCCCGTTTCGCACTGTCGGACAAAGCCTCTCTTCTTTCATCCAACGACTCCTGCTCGACCATCTATCCCGCCTCTTTGCGCTGCGCAATCTGGCTTCATCACCGCCTGCACGCCAAAAGACGCTCCTCTCTGTTCGCGTGCATTGCCTCTCCCCTTTGTTAAGCGCCACAGCTGTTGCGACCAGCCGCCCCACGCCAAGCAACCTCCAAGGTACACCAAAAGCGTTGCAGCCGCCGAGTTCGAGTGGCGATTCGATTCACCTCTTTGCGAGGCTCGTCAGCGTCAGCGTCTGCATCGTGCTTGTCTGTAGCCGTTTGCTCGAGGTTCACGCTCGCAGCGTCTAGCGGCTGAATCTGCTGCGCACCCCGGACAGCCGCTTTGATCGATCTCATTTCTCTTCTCTCCTATCCTGCTTGCTAGCTGCGACCAACCCCCATCAACTTCTCGCGCGCCAATCATCCGGCACTTTCCCTTCTTCTTCTTTTCTTTTTCCTACTCTTCAACTGTGAATAGTACAGATCGCCCATCATGTCGAAGGTGATGCGCAGCGTGAAAAACGTGACCAAGGGTTACTCTCATGCCCAGGTCAAGGTCCGAGATGGTTTGTCACCGCCCGGAATTGCCGCTCATCGGCCTAGTCAGCCATGCTAATCGCAGCTTCTTTCCATAGCGACGAGCAATGATCCATGGGGTCCAACCGGCACGCAGATGAGCGAGATTGCCCAAATGACCTTCAACACGTATGTCACGCTCTGAATAAGCAGGGACCGGTAGCGTCAAACTAACCTTGAGCCCGATTGCAGGTCCACCGAGTTCTACGACATAATGGATATGCTTGACAAGAGGCTCAATGACAAGGGAAAGAATTGGCGCCACGTTCTCAAGGCGTTGAAGGTTCTCGACTACTGTCTCCACGAGGGCTCTGAGCTCGTTGTCACTTGGGCGCGCCAGAGCATCTATATCATCAAGACACTGCGAGAGTTCCAGTACATTGACGAGGAAGGTCGTGACGTCGGCCAGAATGGTAAGTTGATGCTCCTCCCTCTTCAGGTTGGCCGTTATTAACGCGGTGCGCAGTCCGTGTCGCGGCAAAGGAATTGACCGCGCTTATCCTGAATGACGAGCGATTGCGAGCCGAGCGAAGCGACCGGAAGTCCTGGAAGTCGCGCGTCATGGGCCTGGATTCTGATTTTGGCCCGCAGTATGCTGAGCAGTCTCAGAGACGCCAGCCCCGATCAGAACGGAGAGCTCCAAATGAAGAAGATGACGCTGAGTATCGCCTTGCTATCGAAGCTAGCAAATACCAGGAGGAGGAAGACAGAAAACGAAGGCAGACTCGCTCCGGTGGTGAGAATGACGATGATCTCGCAAAGGCCATCAAACTGAGCCAGGAGGAGGAAGAGAGAAGACGCCGTGAACTTGAAGACTCCAACGCCCATTCTCTATTTGACGATGACACTCCCGCAACATCCCAGCCGCAGCACACAGGATTCAACCAGGGCTACCAACAAGGCAACGCTGTGGATTTCTGGGCTAACCCAATCGACCAGCAGGCTGCACAGCTTCCCCAGCAGACGGGCTATCTAGGAAACGCTTATACTGGATACCAGCAGCCGCAGCAGCAGCAGCCGCAGCAAACTGGCTGGCAGCCCAACTACAACGTCGCTTTCGGTGTAGATACATTCCTCCCGGTGCCTACAGGTAACCAGCTTGGTCAACAACAGCAGCAGCAACAATACCTACAGCAGCAGCAGCAGCAGCAGTTTGCCCAACAACAGCACTTGCAGCCTTCTCAGGCACTGGATTTGGCCATCCAGCCTGGAAGCAACAATCCTTGGGCAACTAACAACCAGCAACAGCAGCAGGCTATTCAGCCCACACCGACCGGTTCCAACAATCCCTTTGCCCAGAACAGACCGCAATCAGCTAGACCTGCGACATCTTCTCTTAGCCCTCTGCCAGAACAGAAGACTCTGTCCAACTTCAACCAACCCCAGTTCCAGCTGCAGCAGCAACAGCAACAGAAGCCTGCTTTTAGTCAACCCCAGAGAGAACTCAGCGAGCATGAGATGAAGCTGAACGCTTTACTGGCCTCTGGAGACGGAATGGACACATACGGAAACACGGGAGACTTGCGAATTCCTTCACAGCACACTGCTCCTGGCACGTTTATCAATAGCGCCGGCGCCGGTCTTGGTCGCCTCAACCCAGAAGCCACCGGCAACAACCCTTTCCTGCGACAGCAGTTTACCGGTCTGCCCAGCATCACTTATGGTGGCCAGCCTCAGGTGAACAGCAACCCATTTGGAGCCCAGCAGCGACAGCAACCAGGCCAACCGCAAGATTTAATCCAGTTTTAAGGCGAAGAAGTTTGAAAACCAAAAAAATGGGCTAATTTTTATATACCAAAGACGGGACTGCCGGATTTCCATTGCTCTTGACGCTCTTTCTAATACCGCCATTTTTTCCTTTTGTTCCTCCTGTTCATGGACTTATTATACCTCGCCTTTTCTTTTTCAAAGGTGAAAAGCCTCTATTCCCTGTAGCAACGACTTTCTCGGCATCGTACCCATTTGTTTTCTTGACTTTGCTAGGGGAAGGGGATTAAGATTCTACTCGTTTGGGTGGCTGAGATGGGATTAAACGGGATATCTCTCTTTTTTTTTTTTTGTCTTTTTATCTTCCTACGATCCATGTGGTATGTTAATTAGACAACGCGCCTCTGGAATTCAAAATTGTAGATCTGAATTCGACCTTGTTCATATTTTGTCCAAGCTTTCCATCTCGTGAATGCTAGCATAGGTATCTCGTAGCACTTATTCTAGTCCTGGAGCCGAAAGCAACTCCTGCTGCCATTGCCTCGTTATACATAATCCTAAACAAGTAAAAAAAAAAAGAAACAAAAACTACCGATACGCCATCTCCAAAAAAAGATATACTTGGTGAGCATGTGCGCATTATATGTGATCCATTGTCCTCGACTATAACTTTGCAACATTCCGAAATCGTGTGCTCCTTGGGGCGGGTCGACCAGCTTTCATGCGTTCCCCGGCGAGGGCGGGCCGTCGAGAAGGCGGGCCATATCTTGGACGGCGAAACAGCTCTGTGCCGGGAGATTGAAGGCTTTTATTGCCGGGGGGTGGAACAGTTCTCTCCCCTGAAGCTTTCGTCGTAAAACGTTTCGTCGTAAAACGTCTTTCTGGCTTCTCTTGATGCCCAACTAGCCAGCCTCCTCCATCATCTGTATGAACTCTTCGAGATTCACCCCGCCTTTGCCGTCGTGGTCGAGATGTTCTATCATGGTCTGGATCTCTTCATCCGTCATTGTGCGTTCTTCTTTGATGTCTTGAGCTAGATGCCTCATGTCCTCGACCGAGATGATGCCGTCCTGGTCGTAGTCGAACATGTTGAACACTTTGATAGCCTCTTCACGCGGGTCTCGTCGGGCAATGAGCTTTGCGGCGCATAGTCGAAACTGGTCGGGGTAGATGAGGAGGCGGTTGACTGGGCAGCTGTGAGGGTCTCGCCAGTCGGGCGGTACTGTGCCGTAGTTTTCTAGCTCTCTGCAGTAGTCGGGTTTGGGCATGTCGAAGCCGAGCGCGGCGAGCGAGTGTTTGAATTCGTAGCTATTCAGCCACCCTTTCTTCTTCATATCCATCAAGTCGAACTAGGAGGGCATTGCCAATGTGAGAGGTCTGGGACGGGGCTCCAAGACAAAAATTGTGGCCAACTTACGACTTCATCAATGTGTTCGCGATCCTCGTCAGCAATGGTGCCGTAATCCTCGTTGGAAGACACCTGCGGCGCGGGGGGATTCCGTGGCTGCGCATGCTGGTTGGACCCTCCTGCTATTGATCGTCCCGGAAAAGGGCGAGGCGTGTGAGAGTTCATGCCAGGCAGATAGTCCAGGGTGTATATCGTGAAGCAAGCGAGCGAGCGTGAATGCGTGAGTGCGAGGGCGTATCCAAAGAGAGGATTGGGCTTTTTTTTTTCTTTCTCAGAAGCTTATACTGCCAACAGGGGAACCAAAAGGCAGCGCATGGGTTTTAACGGGGGGGCGAAGGTCCAACCCTTAAATAATGGCGTAAGGAGGACAGGAAAACGAGTACAGGCTGTGGAATGTTGTCTTATAACAGGAATAAAGAAATGCATGAAAGAGAGGTCTGTAGCTATGGGCAGAAGCACTGAAAAGTCGAATGCTTTTGGGTAGGTGGTTATTTTTGCCGGGTTAGCGGGCGAGGGATGCGACGCGACTGGAGCTTGACGCGCCAACAGCAACAGCACAGGCGGTTGCGCTCGCGATGCAGCGGCTTTAGGCACTAAACACAGGCGCTGGCTCGCCCCGTCAGTTGAGGGGAGCTGCTGCACAAGGGGGCCACAGGGTTACACCTGACCAAGGTTCCTCCGTAGGCAGTGGCCCAGGCACCCGCAACCTGCCTGCCTGGTAGAGCAATTGGCGGCGTTGATTGGCCGGCGTTAGTCAGCACGGCGGTTTGGGCCAATGGGAGGGGAAAGTTCTTGTCTGAGGCACCAACATCAGTCAGCCTAGCGGGCAGCAGCAGCGACACGAAAAAAAAAAGCTGAGCTGACCAAAGAAAGGCCCGGCTTTTGCTTTGACCTGAACTTTTGCCTCTCCCGTCTGCTGCTGCCACCAAAGCTCAACGGGGTGACCATCTTTACCCGAGGTATAAAAGGCCGTTTACGCCTTTTGCACTGCACCTCTCTGGTCTCTGTTCAGCAGTTTACTCTTCGTTTTTCTTCTCCTGTCTCTCATTCCGTCATTGCGCCTCTCGTTGTCCCTGCTGCGGCGCCATTTCGTCGCGGCTTCAGCCCTTTGTCGGAACAAGGCCCGTCAGAATAGAGCACATAATCCCCGTCTATCAACCAGAACGCGACTTTTCGCTCATCGCCTCATCGCCTTGCAGCTGGGCACGATTAACCTGGGCCGGGCGCTGCTGTCACTAATCCACACGCCGTCGCATATGCGCGCTTTCTCCCGCGACTCTCGATTTGTTGTCCGTGGCCGATATTGATCGCGCCCTCTCGAGTCCTCTCTTCGCGAAGCACATACACTTTTACCACAACAAAGCATCCCGTCTGCGGATAGCTTCCAACACCAGTCACTCCCTCCGAATACCGCGATACACGGACGCCCATCATGTCGTTCGGCGGATTTGGGGGCGGTTTCGGCTCAAACACCAACCAGCAGTCCTCGGGCGGGTTTGGTGGCTTCGGGGCCAACAATAACACCACTCCATCAGGTACATTCAATCACGACCACGACCAGGCGTTACACACCAATAACTAACCATAACTCACACAGGCTTCGGCTCCAACACGGGAGGCTTTGGTGCATCTCCCAGCACGGGCGGCGGCATGTTTGGCAACAACGCTACTTCGGGCGGCTTTGGCGCAACACCTGGTAAGTCTGTTCTCATATTGTCATGAAATGGCAAAGGGCACGGGGTATTCATCTACTGCCCTTGTCTTGTCGATAATCTCCATCTCCACCTTCGCGCCTCTTGCAATTTTAACAAGATTCTAGGCGGCTTTGGATCAAACACGGGCGGCTTTGGCAGCAAGCCTGCTTTCGGCTCGACCCCTACTACTACTCCTGCTTCAGGTGGTCTTTTTGGAGCCTCCAGCACCCCTAGCAGCACCGGTACGGGCTTTGGTGGGTTTGGATCAAACACCAACACTACCACCCCCTCTGCGTTTGGCAGCAACACCACTGGTGGCGGCCTATTCGGCAATGCTAATAAACCAGCAGGCGGTTTTGGAGCTGCGAACACGGGCTCTCTGTTTGGCGCCAGCAACACTAACGCCGCCTCCAACACGGGCACGGGCACGGGCTTTGGCAACTTTGGTTCGACCAATACCTTGGGCGGCGCCACTGGCGATCCTCCCGGCACGGCTGTCACTCCTTTCCAAGCCTTTACCGAAAAAGAGCCCAACAGCAGCACCAACCTGTCCAACGCCTTCCAGAACATCTTGTTCCAGGATCCCTATAAGAAGTGGTCTGCTGATGAGCTGAGATTGGCGGATTACGTCCAAGGCAGACGACACGGCAACCCCAGCGGCGCTGGAGCTTTTGGAGTGAACTCGGGCTTTGGCGGCGGCTTCGGCAATCAGACGAATACCCCCTCGACCGGCGGCTTTGGAGCGACAAACACCACCGGGGGACTGTTTGGATCAGGCAATACTGCCAGCAACACAACCTCTGGCTTCGGCGGCGGCTTTGGTGCGCAGAATACTCCTGCTGCTAACAACACTGCTGGTGGCCTCTTTGGCAACACCAACAAGCCAGCCGGAGGCCTTTTTGGAAACACTCAGCAGAACCAAACCGGGGGAGGTCTCTTCGGAAGCGGCGCTACCAACACTGCTACGACTGGTGGTTTTGGTCAGACACCAAACACCCAGAGTGGTGGGCTCTTCGGCGCAACGAACAATGCTGCGGCCAACACTGGTGGAGGCTTGTTTGGCAACACTGCTCAGAAACCCGCAGGCACTGGATTCAGCTTCGGTAACACTGCAAATACGCCATCTACGGGCTTTGGGGCGACCGGTGGCGCTTTTGGCTCGAATACCAACACCGCGACTGGTGGTGGTCTCTTTGGCAACACCAACGCCAACCCACAGCCTACCGGAGGTCTCTTCGGGAACAACGCCCAGCAGCAGCAACCCTCAGGAGGCTTGTTTGGTCAGGCGCAAACCCAACAGTCTGGAGGTCTATTTGGCAACACTCAGCAGAAGCCGGCTACCGGTGGGCTTTTTGGCTCCACGCCTGCCGCTGCCAGCACTGGTGGCGGCCTTTTCGGAGGCAATACAGCTCAGCAGCAGGGGACGATAGGACTGGGAGGCGCGAATACAAATGCTGGAGGCCTTTTTGGAGCTAAGCCAGCTACAGGCGGTGGGCTCTTTGGCTCCGCGCCTACCGCTGCCGGCACAGGTGGTGGCCTTTTTGGCGGTGCCAACACGACCCAGCAAGCTGCTGGCACTGGCCTCTTTGGTTCAGCCGCGAATCAGCAGAAGCCTGGCTTCTTTGGATCTACGCCTGCGGCGACAGGTACGGGAATGTTCGGTGGCGGTGCAGCGGGAACTCAGGGCGGCATCTTCAGCAATGCTGGTGTCCAACAGCAGCAGAGTCTTGGCCTTGGCGGTTCCTTGCTAGGGGCTTCTCAAGCAGTTAACAACGCGCCCCAAGGCCTCACTGCAAACTTGAGCGACGTGTCGGCTTATGGCTCACCGTCGTTGTTCTCTGGAATTAGTGGAGGCGACGTCCCGAACCCCGGTCCACTCGCGGTGCCCCTGAGCGGACAGCCAAAGCCCAAGAGACCGTCCATCTTCCCTATGTACAAGTTCACACCTGCGGCATCGGGCCGTTTTGGCACGCCTCAGAAGAGAGGATTCGGCTTTTCTTACAGCAGCTATGGTACTCCTGGAGGAGGAAGCCCTGCAGGTCTCTCTGGCGCTCCCAGCACTCTGGGCCGTAACTTGCTCGGCGCCAGCAGCAGCGGCACCGCCCTTAGCAAGAGCATATCCTCAAGCAATCTGCGCCGCACCGTCAACGCTGACGACAGTATTCTCCTACCTGGCGCCTTCTCGAATACTAACAACACGCGCTGGTATGGAAGCACGGGCTCGAAGAAGCTGGTTATTAACCGCGAACTACGGAGTGACCTCTTCTCTACGCCGAACAAGGATGGGCGGAATGGCGATAACGGAACTGGCCCACGGAAACTAGCTAAGCGCGTTAGTTTTGATACCAACGTAGATGGTGAAGACTCTACCCCTGTGCGAGCATTACCGGCTCCCGGCGATATACCAGAAACTCCTGGTGAGGATACTCCCCGATCGGACAAGTCTACTCCCACCACAAACGGACTTTGGACTCCCGAAATGGAGCAGGTCAAGGGCAAGGGCAAGGAGAAGGAGTTGACCATTGTTCAAGAGGAAGACAGTGCTACCCCCGAGCCCCAGGCCAACGGTTTCGACAATGCTCCAGGGAAGTACTGGATGAACCCTCCGCGAGAGGAACTCCAGAACATGAACAGGATTCAGCGACAGCGGATTGATAACTTCATTGTTGGCCGAGAAAATGTCGGAACCATTGCCTTCAAGATCCCGGTGGATATCAGTGGTATCGATTTAGATGAGCTTTGCGGCGGTATCATCCAACTCGAACCTCGATCTGCAACCGTCTACCCCATTGCGGCGAAGAAGCCCCCTGTCGGAAAGGGGCTGAATGTGCCTGCCAAGATCACATTGGAGCAGTCTTGGCCTCGCGGTGGTCGAGACAAGAGGGTCGCGAGCGACCCCAAGCGCTTCAACAAGCACATTGAGCGGCTCAAGCGCATCGTCGACACGACTTATGAAAGCTACGATGTGGACACGGGAGTTTGGGTCTTTTCCGTGGAGCATTTCACAACCTACGGACTCGACGACTCCGATGAAGAGACCGAGTTTGACACCACTCTCGACCTTTCTACTGCTGCCCCTTTGTCCAACGTCGCACCGCCGGCGGCTTTCCGTCCGTCACAGGATGATGAGATGATGGATTTTCCTCAATCACACATGCTACCTGGCGCATTCAATGACCAGGAGAGGCTGTTTGCGACCGAGCTCACTGGACGACAGTCTTTTTTAGGGGCTAGCTCCGCGGACTCTGCCACACATGATGTCAAATTGTCGCTGGAAAACGAAGTGACCGGTGACGACATCGCAGAGTATGATATGTCCGAGGATGAAGACATGACGAGGTCTTCTGTCGGACAGCATCTCGCCGCGGAGCATGACGATGCCTCGTCCGAGGGTGGCCAGGATGTTAAGCGCTCGACCGCGACTCCTGGCGGCATTCTCAGAGCCAGAATGAGAGCGATGAAGGATTCAGCTGGCCCCGTTAAGCTTGAAGTCGCAGATGGCGACGATTGGATGGAAATGCTAAGGAAGACGGTCAGCCCGATGAAGCGGGACCGCCATCTACTAAGGGAAGAGGCTGATTCGACCTCTAAGCAGGGGGGAAAGACAGTCACGTTTGATCTCGATGATGAATCGGATTTTCGAAAGTCGTCTATTTGGGGCAGGAGCATTAGCAGGCCCGACAGGAAGAATGGAGCTGCGACTGGTGCTCAGATTGGTATGGATCAAGGACGTGGATTTGCCACGAGTATTGACTTGATGAATTCCTTGTTTGAGAAGCCAAAGCCAAAGCCGGCACGCCAGGATTTTAACGCTTCTCAGTCCTCCCAAGGTTTTCCCAAGGTCGGTACCCTCATTGTTTCGTGACTTGACACCCCCTTCCCCCTTTTCTTTTCCTGTTGAGATTGATAATACTTTATTTCGGGCTAGGTGGAGGCCCCATGTGTATTTAACCAAGTAATGAATAGAATGCTAAAACAATATGTGTCCATTATAGTTCCCGTACGAAAGACAGGCTAAGACCGCCACGGCTGAAGGGGACGAGCGCGCCTTTCACAGCGCCTCGAGGCCAACCTGGGGCCCGGATGAGACGCTTGTCTTGGTTCGGTCCTTGGACGGCTCACACTCGCGCCGGTCAATACGTGATACCTCGGATATCCTGACATATCAACGATCTAGTATACAGACCGATGAGCAGGACATCCGCCTGGCTACATTCACTGCCGAAGTAAGAGGCGTTCCGTAATATGAACCAATAAACGGCATTGACTAACATTGTTTTAGCCATCAAAGAAACATCTCGCCTCTCAGGATGTCGTAACCGAGATCGATGTTGTTGAAGGAGTACCACAAGCCAGCCTTCATGCCACAAGTCTCAAGAGCCTGTATCAGCCTAAATATACGAATGATGCGGCCAGTATCCATGAGAAGCAGGTGTGGGAGCTCGCAAGCATCCTGTTCGACAATCTAGACAACCAAAACTCGATGGAGGAGGAACATTTGGTGCGAAGAAATAAGCTGTCCCAGTTCTGGTCCGATTTGGTCGAACAAGCCTCATCTACAGGTATGGGTCTAGCAGCTACCAGTGAAGAGAAGGCGCTCGCATGTCTTGCCGGTCACCGAATCCCAGAAGCCTGCAAGCACCTCTTGGATGGCAAAAACTTTCGCCTTGCAACTCTGGTTCCCCTGATCGGCACTAGTGATGTCGCCAAGAGGGAAATGAGAGAGCAGGTCAAGTCGTGGCTGGATTCGAAGATACTGTCCGAGTTTTCCGAGGCCATCCGTACCATTTACGAGCTCCTGGGTGGAAATGTCTGTGTCTGCGAGGGCTTGAAGGGTGTGCCCAACGAGGATCGAGTTGATTCCTTTATCATCTCAAAGCACTTTGGTCTGGACTGGAGACAATCTTTCGGCCTGCGATTGTGGTATGCCATTTCGAACCATGATGACTTGTCCGCTGCCGTTGAAAAGTTCAAGGGCGACATTGATCAAGACAAGGAAGACCTGCCTCGCCCTTGGTATGTTGAGCAAGGCATCGCACCTCTTTGGGACGACGCCAAGATCGATACCCGCCAAGATCTGTTATGGGGTCTTTTGCAGCTGTATGCTGATCAAGACGCCGACTTGGAGGCTGTCCTTCGTCCGGAGAACTCGCAGCTATCCCCCCTTGAGGCAAGACTTCGATGGCAACTGGGCATCGCCCTGACATCCACTGGCAAGGTCTCGTATGGCGCAAACGGGGTTGAGAAGGCTGATGCTGCCACTCTTGCATATGCTGCCCAACTTACCCGAGCAGGCGAGTGGCTCGAAGCTGCTTTCGTATTGCTACATCTGCACCACACAGCAGCGCGCAAAAAGGCACTCCAAGAACACCTCTGCCAGCACGCCAACTTGATTGGATCTGAGTCGGATGCCAACTTTGCCATGCTCACGGAGAAGTATCGCATCCCAGCAGCTTGGATCTGGGAAGCTCTTGCGCTGTATATGCGTTGCGTGAAGAAGGATTCCGTGGCCGAAATGCAGTGCCTTTTGCGAGCGGGATCACACGTTGAAGCCCATCGCATCTTGGTTCAGCATGTTGCTCCGCAGGCCATCGTCGAGCGTGATTACGCCGGCTTGTTGTCTCTCATCTCACAGTTCCAAGATCGCCAACAGGGCATCACGGAATGGACTCAAGGTGGCGAGATTTATGGCCACTTCCTCCAGCTGATCGAATGTCGCGGCAAGGGAGAAAGCGTTTCCCCTGCATTGCTCGACAGGCTCCTGGCTGGTCTGAACGCGATGAAGGATATTGGAGTTGAAAACAATATTACGCGATACGCCGCTATTTCCGACATGGCAGACGAAACTGCTAGAGAAATTGTAAAGTTGACACGACAGAAACAGGTATGTGGATTTTTCATTGGAAAGATTTTGTTTGACCATCTTCCACTAACACGATTGCAGGATATGGAACTTCGATCGAGAATTTTGAGCCTTCCACTTACCCAAGATCGACTGCTCGCATACTCGGTTGACCTGAGTCTGGACCGTTACAGAGAGGTGATGTCGCATTAAGGCTTGGAAATGAGAACAGACGAGATGAGATGAAACGGACTGGACATGGCTCGGAAATATCTGCTGCATTGGGTTTTCTTTTATGTATTCACTGTTTTTCTTTTTATTCCTCCATTGAAAAGACGAAGGAAATGCGCATACTGGGAGGTGAGGAGATTAGCTAGGATCATCATGGGTGGAAGAACAAGGAAGGGAAAGCAAGAGCCAGCCAAGGGCTGCATTAGTAGTGTAGTATAATAGCTGTTCTATTTAGATTGATGCGATTCTGCCATCGCGCGTAATGAAGATGCGGATGAAGCCCCAAGATCACGTCGGTTGTATAAGTGACAAGACACGCATTGGACCCAACGCCAAATCTTCGGCCACGAATAAATCCTGCTCTTGCAAAACAAAATTCCAATCCAATATTGCATCATTTGCATCTTCCATCTTCCATTTCCCCTTGAAGAAAACCATGTCAAAGCCCAAAAACTGGCCTGCAACGCTCCCCTATCTCAAAGCCCCTCTCTACGGCAAAGACATTTCCCCAACACACATCCAATTCCTCCGCACAAAACCCCACGACGACAGCGCCATCGATCAGATTCCCATAGCGCCAGCCTCGTCGCCCGCAACGGAAACGCCGTGCCCGCGCGTCAGGATCCAGGCCATCACGGACCGCAATCATCCTGCATACGGCCAGTTCGGGCTGTTTGCGGCGCAGAACATTGCGCCGGGGGAGTTGATACTGGCGTACTTGGGTAGGTTGCACGGGCGGGCGACGACGAGCGAGGAGAGCGATTATGATCTCTGGCTGGATCGGGAGATGGACGTTGCGGTGGATGCGGCGAGGGAAGGGAATGAAGGGCGGTTTGTGAATGATTATCGTGGGGTTGAGGGTAAAGAGAGGGCGAATGCGAGGTTTGGGAATGTGTTTTGCGAGAGGTGGGGGGATGTTTGCGTGGGGGTTTGGGCGGTGGGAGGACGAGGAGGAGGGAAGAAGAAGGATGGGAAGAAGAAGAGGAGTGAGGGGGGGATTAAGAAGGGGGAGGAGATCTTGGTGAGTTACGGGAAGGGGTTTTGGGAGGAGAGGAGGAAAGATGGCGATGGTGATGGTGATGATGGTCAAGGGGAGAAGTAGATGGTGAGGAGAATCACATTGTTGCAGGATGTATAGATCATAGAATGCCCTTGCTTTGGTTTACGTTAACAGACATACTTCTCATACTCTACAGCTTCAAATTCCTCCTCACGTACGTAGAAAATCACAATAATAATAATACTAAAAGGTATACCCCCGGTGTTCCGTGGCGCCACCCAACCAGCCCTTACGCCGGCCCCCTTCCCAACGATACCGGCAAAAGAGAAAAATAGTAATAAAAACACAAACAACAGTAGGTTTCATAAGATGACACAAAAAGGGCAAGAATCAAGTTTTTGATATCCCTTTCCAACGCCCTACGCATGCTGAGCAGTCCCAAAAAAACAGAGAGAGAGAGAGAGCCAAAAAAAGAACATCCCCGTGAGTTGCAGTCGGCAGTTTCACTATTCGTCTTCGCCCTCAGCATCCACATCCAATTCTTCTTCCTCTTCGTCTCTCCCGTTGATCCCTTGGCTGGATGCCGCCGCCGCTTGGCCGCCCAGCTGTACGACGCTCACCACAAATCCGTTGCTTGAAGGCTGAGGAGTCATGACTCTAACTTCGTCCTTGGCAGGCTCTTCGTCGCCCAAAGATGTTGAAACACTGTGATCGCCGTCTGTAACCAAGTCTGCTCCAAGAGCTGCTCTGTCTCTCCATCCGGGTGGTAGTCCCGGGCCGCTGTCTGCATTGCCGTAGTCCGACTTCTTCGTCCCCTTAGGCCACCTGCCAGGACCACGGCCAGTGCCGCCGGTCCTTCTCCTGGATCCGCTGGTTCTAGGGCGACTGGCAGTAGGTCGCCGGCTGCTCCCCCCGGCCCTTTTTGGCCGTGGTCGAGAGCTGCTGCCGCCGCCGGAGCTGCGAGGTACCAATGGTCTGCTCACGCTCTGTCGCGAGCGGTCGGCGCGGCGGCCACCGGCTACAGGCGGGAAAACCTCAAAGCGATGTGGTGGTATGTCGCGATAGGGCGTCATCCAATCTGGTTCTGAATCCACGTCATCCATGGCTTCGTCTTGCGGTTCTGCGTTTTCTTTATCTTCAGGCGCCATCTTCTCCTCGATCGACATGATTGGTGTAAAGCCGGGGTTGCTATTGCTTGAATCGCCCGTCTCTGACGCAGAACCAATTCTCGACTGAGACCCGTCGTTCATTTCACCATTCATCATCATCGAATGGTTTTCTCCCGATATGCCGTTTGCGCCCTCTTCAAGCTTAGCCTCATCGTCTTCCCGAGGGGCAATCGTATTGATAGGCGGGCCAAGCTCAAAGTTGACAGCATTGCTCCGGCCCATCACATACGGCGTCCACGCAAGAGCCTCGGGCTTGAGCTGCACATAGCCCTTTGATTCCCATTTGGCCACGTACTGTCGGCAGTACTCTAAATCGATCCGGAAGGCATACACTTTTGTCTGCGGATCTCGTACCAACGCTCGAAGGCCTTCCAAAGCGGCAATCACGTCGTCTGGCGTCATGCCCGTGTCATCTGATATTTGCCTAATACTCAGGCCGTTTTGCTTGTGCTGGCCGTCCTTTAATGTCTCGATGAAGTATCGGCAGAGTCGCAGGCGCCAGTAATTTCTATAGGAGACAAGACCCATATCAGAGAGCGGCTTCTCCGGAGACCCCGTCTTCTCCTCAACTTTAGTAAGGAGATATGAGAAATCAATGAGTAGGTTGCCGTATCCCTTCCTCTGGTGGATGGGCAATGTTAAAATGCATGAGACGTTGTTTTGGCTGCTTGCGCGCTTCTCTTTGGAGAAGTAGCCGACGAAATGGTAGCCGCAGTCATCGTACTCACACAAGACGTAAAACAAGAACGGTTCCACGTCGTAATACAATGTCTTGGATCCTAGGAAAAGCTTTGCCAAAAGACACAGATTTTGGCAGTAGACTGGGTTCTTGCGGCCATCAACTTCAAATACTGACACCGATCCATGTCGATAAATCTCGTCACCCGGAGGATGCTTTGCAGCGCATTTGAGCTTATGGCGCCACGCCACGTAGTCTGAGTTCATGTACTTTAGGCAGAACTCGCATATGTACAGCACGCGGTTCCTGCTGTACTCGGCTGGATATGGTGCTGCGTACCACGTATCAATCTCCCAGCCGCCAAACTCGATGCACTCTATCTGGCTGGCATTATCGCTCGACTTCTTGGACTTGCGAATAGGCATGTCCACTTCTGCCTGCATTGCCAGCACACGTGCTCTCCATTCATCTTCTGCACGCTGCTTAGCTTGGTCAAATCGTCTCCGATCGTCAGGCTGCGGCAGCGTCTTTGACGTGTCTGCTTCCGGTTCTGTCAAGATACCGCCGTAGGGCTTGCCCTTCATATCTTCGGTTTCCTTATCAAACAAGGAGTAGAAAGGTGTTGAATAGAAATCAGTGGTGAACGGCGTCGGGAGTGCGGCAAGCGGTGCCGTAACGGCTGCAGAGTTGGGGCGCACAGCTGATGGTGCGACTGGAGTCCGTGGCGGCCGCGTGCTTGCTCCTGAACGCCTCCGTTCTCTTCGTCTGCGTGAAAGTATCTCTTTGAGGTTCCCCGGCCGCACGCGCATCGTCACGACAAGGGACACTCGAGACTTCCTTTCGATGACGACGAGAGAGGGGCGAGCAACTTTTAGCCGAACCGCACGGGAGCTCCCTCTCGTTTGCTCCGCTGATTTGCTATCAGTATCTTCGTTACCCGATGCGGCGTCCGTTGAGAGACCCCGCCGGCGTCTCCGCAGGGCAATTGTAGCTTCTTCAGGTTCAGCAGACGAAGTCTTTCTCTTCCGCAGTAGACGAGGCTCGTCCGAGGCTTCTGCATGGGCTGCGGGGTCGTTGAGGCTGGCTTCTGCCTCTGCGCCATCTTGCATGTGATGTCTAGGGGAGAGGTCGGGAGGGGCGTCAGAGAGCTGCGACTCAGGCCTAGTTTCGTCGTCAACGCTGGCCTCTCTCCCCTGTTCTTCGGGCTCCTCCTCCTCCTGGTCAGAGTCGCTATTATCGCACTCTGGACATTTCCAACGTTTTGCAGCTGGCCCTGAGTCAGTGACATGTTTTCAGGGACAGGCTTGTCAGTGACTTACTGTTCTGTTCGCTCATCGCCGCCGCATCTCGTGCGCATTGCTGGTGAGCTGAGATACGTTAGCCAAGCCCGTATTGACATCTTGCAGCTTCTCCAGGACCCACCATTTTCGTTACATCTGGAGCACGTCAGGAATGCCTCGAAATCCTCACTCGGGTCGTTCTCTTCATCTTGTTTGCAAAACATGCAAACGTTTGAAGGGCCGGTCTCTGATTCGTCCTCGTCCTCTTCCACCTCTCCAGCTTCTTCCCAAGCGGGCTCCTCGTCAGAATCGTCCTCGGCATTACTGAGCGGTTCTGAAACATCACTCTCCGCATCTTCATCGTCCTCGTCCTCATCATCTGTATCCCCTGGCTTGATCTTGACGGCGCCAACCCCTTCATCACCGTCTTCCTCACCATCCGCATCTTCGTCTTCTTCGTCTTCGTCTTCTTCATCGTCATCGTTCATTTGGAAAGGGCGGCCGTTGCTGACCACAATCTGCTGATCCACAATCTCGGTATAATCTTCCCCCTCCGCATCCTGATCCATTTCCTCGTCGATCTCCTCTCCAGAAGCGTCACGATCACTCAGCTCGTCGTCGTCGTCGTCATCCTCGTCCACCTCCATGCCGTCAGCGCCCCTTATGGTTGTCTGGGCAAAGACTGTGCTCAAGGTCCTCTCCTTTGTAGCTGCCGGCGTAAACACATCCTCGCCAGCCGTATCTGCCGTCTCGTACTCAGCGTCTTCGGAGAGCATGACGCTCTGCTGGAGCTCCTCCTCCATCGACTGCGCACTCGTCATGGTTATCGCTGCTTAGTGGAACTCTCGGAGTGCAGATGTGGCTCTGACGATGGCATATCGATCGAGACTCGGCGTTTGCGATCTGGACTGAGGTGGCATGTGTGGCGCTCTCTCGATAGGCTTCGTGAAGCAGAAAGTGGCTAATTGCTGCTGTTTCCAGGTAAGCCATACGGAATCACCCAACTGGATGCATAGATCCTACCTGTAAAATTGCATGTTGCCACAGCGGTTTTCTGTTGACTGTTGCTGGAAGCAATGCGACAACAATCACCACAGTCGCGTTCTCCAAGCCTGCCCCAAAGTCGCGGAAGTAGGAGTCACAGTGCGTGCGCATTCGATAATCGCGTTTCCCCGCCGAGATTTGACTTGCATACAGTGTGAGATTCCAGTGCGCTAACTATATCTTGGTACAGGGATGTCCCGCTGAGGCCTCAGGCATCCAGATTGATAGCTCCAATTGGTCCTCTGCCCACTGACGTGCAGGCTCAGTATCAAGAACGACGCTCGGCAGAATCTCGATATTGCGGCCGTGTTCCGATTGTCGAGCGGTCAATTCGGTTTCGACCTCTTTTATTCAACCGACATATAGCCCAGAAGACCGTCAAGGCGGCACAGCGCAATCATGCCCGTCCCTTTCGAAACTCTGATACCGTATGGTATCATGATTGTCGTGCGTATTATAGCGAGCGAGATTTCACCACCAAGGAATGCGAGGCGGCTCACAGTTTTTGAATAGATGTTTGGTGTCTCGGGTACCGGACTTGCAGCTTTCAAGACGTGGCAGAACGAGGGCAAGCGACCGCGCTATTCACTGGATCAGTGGGATAAGGTCAGTCAACTCCAGCCGGAAATGCGGTTATTTGCACTCGATAACTAACTACTACTTGCAGCAAAGTAAGAAACTCTCAATCAGACAGATTTCCCTCCGGTATAGACATCGGTCGATTTGGATACTGACGAACTCGAAGTGATGGAGCGAGACCGACGCCTCACAGGCACATTGAGAGGGCAAACCGACAACCCAGAGGCTCCATTGGGATTCGAATTCAGCAATGGATGGAAGGTAAAGTCGACTCACGTACACATCTCATCTTATGGACAAAAAAAATGCTGATACTGCATATAGCTGGAGAAGAGATTCACCTAAGGAACCGTTTGTATACAACCCAACAGACTGGAGAGGGGGACCTCGGAATCCAAAATGAAAGAAAGTGTATATACCAGACTACGAATGGGCTTGACTGGATGGCGGACGACCGATATGGAGCCCGAATTCGACCCCGTTACCCAAGCATTCACATGGCAGTGCTAATGAATGTTGGCTTATGTTGGGAATTTATTGGCAAAATACCTAACTCTATATTGAGATCTCTGGTCGGTTCTTGTTGAGGTTTTCCAATAACGTACACGCCTGGCACATTGCTTGGCTAGACATGTAGCCACACTTGACGCATTTCCCGAGCGTCTGTAGTTGAACAGGACCGGGCTCCTTGGAGCGGCGCTGCCGTATAGGGAGCTTTACGACATCGTCGTCATTGGCTTTGGGTGTGCCATTTGATGTGATCTCAGTTTCGAGCCCATTATCCACAGGTTGTTCCGTGGTGCTTGCCACTTGTGTGATCTCGTTCCCTGGTGTTTGAGCATTGGCTGATCCACAACCTCCCATCCCCTCGCCTTCGTCACAGGCGCATGCCCCTTGCCCTTTGTCCGGCGTTAGACGGGCCATATCCTCGCCGCTCCGGACAATATCCAATATTGCGCTTGGCCGGACCTTTTCCAAATTCTTGATGAGACTTCTCGCTGTCCCTCGAAATGCCTCGGGACTGTATATGCATTCCGTACTGAAATAGTCCAGCTTCTTGTGATGTGCATACAGCACAATCTCCTTCTCGTAGGCGTATTTGAGAGGCTTGCTTCTCTTGACGTCGTTCAATGAGCCGCCAGTAACAATGCTGGTGCTACGGGATAGCCGAGGCAAATCTCCTCTAAGGAGATTCATGAGGACAGTCTCTGCGACATCATCTGCATTGTGTCCGGTAACAACGTGCTTGATCCCCAGCGTCTTTGCACCCCGATCCAACGCCTGCCGACGAAAAACGCCGCAGTATGTGCAGTTTCCTTTCTTTCCAATAGTCTCCACGACTTGGTCCATTGTCCAGCCATATAGCTCATCGTAACCCACAATCTTCAAGGGCATGTCGTACTGAACTGCGTTTCGCTTCACTGTTTCCAAAGAATCATCTCTGTAGCCCTTGATACCCTCGTCTATGCTGAGAAGAACTAGATCAAGCTCATACTTGTGGCGTTCGTTGAGGGTCTTCAGAACAGATGCCAGCACTGTTGAATCCTTGCCTCCTGACGCTCCAATAGCAACCTTTTCTCCGGGGTAGAACAACTTGGACGAGATGATGGTATGATGTATCTCATCCTCAAAGACAGTGATGAAGCATTCTCGACATAACTTATGATGGTTCTTTGGCCGCTTAACAACTGCCTTGTTCGCCTGGCAGCGCACGCATGTGGTGGGCGGCATCTTGTAAGGAATCTATTGTGAAATATGTGGTGCAATGTGATGAGGTTGCTGGTAGTCGTTGATGTATGTACTCCGGTTTACAGCGGAGCCGTATATACTCAGTGTTTTAAGTCGAAGGGAGTTAGGAATTTGAAGAATTTATCTCTAAACAAAAACAAAAGGATATAATATGGATTCGGTCTTCACAATATTAACGACTCATCAAATGAACTCCGGACAAACTCTCAAGGCGCCAAGCATTGGAAATGACTCCAGAGTACTTCTTATCTCTTATCGATCTTTTTCACAGCAATCGATAAAATCACGTGCATACACGCCACACCAGCCACATCTCAAAGCCTTCTCATAGCGTTAGGGCCCACAAGTTCGCGGGACGCCAAAGCCCTAATTTTCCGCCCACGAGCTACCGTCGAACTTTTCTTTTGCCTTTTTTTTTCGCAACCTGCCTCCAAGGAAATTTGTTCAACCTCGACAAATTCACCCCATCGCCCAAAGAACAAAATGGTAAGTTAACAGTCAACCAAAAGACTCTAATGGCCACAGTTTGTGAGTCAAATGCGCGAAAGCGCAATTGATGCAACAGCGTCAGCTTTTATGCAAACCTGTTGGAAACATTCCGCCTGACGTTCACACCTCGTGTGGACTGAATGGTGAAGACTTGGCTGGAGACACAAATGTGTGCTGAAACATGCCGCAATGTGTTCTCGTTAGAGTTCAGAGAAGACTTTTTGGCTTGAGCCCCTCGCTGATGTCTTCTTTTCTCAATGACAGCCTCCCAAATCTGGCAAGAAGGTCGCCCCTGCTCCGTTCCCTCAGAGCAAGGCTGGCAAGAAGGGACCCAAGGTTAGTGAAGAAGAAATTTATCCCCCCTCCCCAATACGTTGAGACGACACCTCGTAGATATCTAACAAGATGGCATAGAACCCCCTCATCGAGAAGCGCCCTCGCAACTATGGCATCGGCCAGGACATCCAGCCCAAGCGAAACCTGTCTCGCATGGTAAAGTGGCCCGAGTATGTCCGCCTCCAGCGCCAGCGCAAGATCCTTCGCCTGCGTCTCAAGGTCCCCCCCTCTCTGGCCCAGTTCCAGCACGTCCTTGACCGCAACACTGCCGCCCAGGCTTTCAAGCTCCTCAACAAGTACCGACCTGAGACCAAGGTCGAGAAGAAGGAGCGTCTCCTGAAGGAGGCTACCGCCGTCAAGGAGGGCAAGAAGAAGGAGGATGTCAGCAAGAAGCCCTACACCGTCAAGTACGGTCTCAACCACGTCGTTGGCCTGATTGAGAACAAGAAGGCTTCTCTCGTCCTCATCCCCAACGATGTTGACCCCATTGAGTTGGTTGTCTTCCTTCCTTCTCTCTGCAAGAAGATGGGCATCCCCTATGCCATCATCAAGGGCAAGGCCCGTCTCGGCACTGTCGTCCACAAGAAGGTTAGTCTAGCTCCCAGATACCAAAACGAGGCATGAAAGAAGAAAACTAACTTTTGTCGTAGACCGCTGCCGTCCTCGCCCTCACTGAGGTCCGCTCTGAGGACAAGAACGAGCTGTCCAAGCTCGTCTCTGCCATCAAGGATGGCTACCTGGAGAAGCACGACCAGGTCCGCCGACAGTGGGGCGGTGGCATCATGGGCCCCAAGGCTCAGATGCGCATCGTGAAGAAGCAGAAGGCTCTTGAGGCTGCTACCAAGATTTAAGCTTTCTAATACCCGGGTTGCATTAGGATTTATGGGATTATCATCGGTGTTTAAGGGTTCAGGGCATGGCAAAAAATGAATGAATTTCCAGCACAGTTGTGTATCCCAAAATATGATGGTTCCAGGCACATACGTGAAATGAGTGATGCGGTAACATGAATAACAAGAGGTTCACGAGAGAGAGAGTCGTATCCAGCTGCCGCAAGCTGAGTAAGCTGTGACCTTGACCCGAAAAGGTTTTCAATACCAGGACAGGCCCATTACTACGAGGCATTACTGAAGTCCTGTCCCGTATATGGACGTGTCTCGAAGGAATAAGGGGCGTTCCGATGGAGTTTTGAAAATAATGACCATTCTCAGGTAAGGGGGCGACGGTGAATGACAACACCTTGCTCTTTCAATTAATTCAGTGGGCTTTTGACAGAAATTGTTGAGGCGGAGAGTAATCTTGGACAGCATTCACGGTCACCGTCGCATAGGCAATACTCGTCTGCGTGGTGTTCACATAAGTTCCCTGCCTCTGGGAGATTAAGCTAAGAGGAGGCTCAGGGCAGACGCATGGTTGGCTCTTGATACGGTGGGAAACAAACTAATATCTCGTAACGACCGGCCGCCAAGAGAACGCTGTTGTCGGAGGAGGGAAGGGAAAAGTGGTTAGGGAAAAATCCCAAGAAGAAATCAGGCAGTTCAGAACACTCTGTACCAAAGTACAACACGAGTAGATAGCGTGTGACGTTGGCCGGCCTGCACACTCGCATCTGTTGGTTGGAATAGCCATCCCCGGTTCTGGGTTCGGCTATCAACGCTCAACCGACGGAGTGGTATGGTCTAGCCTGCTTTTGACCATTGAGCAATTATCCAAGATTGGCTGGGCATGCGAACACTTGTCCATGGACTGTAGGGGGAAAAAACTGCTGCATCGGCTCTCCCGGAGAGCCTGGCCACAGACAACGGACCCCCATATAGGGCATTCGACGAGAACTACTAGGCAGTCCCGGAAGCTGACGAGGAGAAAAGCAGGAAACAGCCTGTGAGCTGGCTGAGGCTAAAGACCTGGTCTCTGCAGTGCTAGTCGCAATGCACCGGAACGGTGTCGTAGACCACCCGGACCCAGAAGCCAGAGCCGGTGGTGGAATCGCTGAAGCATGGAGAATCAGTATGTACCTAGGCAAACCCACCAGCTAGAGCGATGTGATGAAGCTACAGCGCTCATATGAGAGAGTTCCATGCTTAAACGGAGTAGAGTATGTACTGAGCGTCCTGGAGATGGGTGGGTTCTTGGGGGCCAAAAGCTTGCACCTCGCCGGACCAGGGTTCCAGATGCTAAAGATTGTGACGGCCGGTCACAGTGTGCGCGAAAAGACACATGTACCTGCCAGGCCTGACGGAAGTACTGGTCTAGTGCGAACCAGGACCAAAATGCCGCGAGATGGGGCCGGCAGGGACTCCTTACAAGCCGCCGTCCCACTTGGCGAGCGGTGCTTGGAGCCATCGGGAATGGACTCGTTTCTAGATGCCCACTGTATCAGTCAGCACTCGTGCCTGGGGGCATGCAAGGGACCGTGGAAATACTCGTAGATGCATCTTGTCTCCAGAGGGAACCCTGCCTTAGCCAAACGACCACATGTCTCCCTTGGAGGCTTCTGGGATGCAGGGGGAGCCCTAGAGGGAGAAAGCCAGCATCCATAGTATCGTACTAGCATAGCGCAAGTGCTATTCAGACTGAAGCCATGGGCTCGGTAGCCGGCGCGATTGATATTGATTTGACGGGCCCGTATGTGCGTGTCGACGACAATCATTTCCTGTTCCATATTGATTGGAATCGAACGATCTGTGCAGCAAGACATGCAGGGAGCCGCTGCATCTGGTTTTGATCACAGTGACAGGTCTGATATCATTGTAAAAATCAAAGCAAGATTGGCGGGGAGCAAATAGTTCGGCAGCCACAGCACTCTGGCCAAAACAAAAGAGAAAAGACAAGAGCAAATCCAATCTCCGGTACTCCCTAGTAGTACTTTGCATGATTTCGGATGTATCAGTGGCCCCGTACTTGATATTTCTCAGCACAGTTCTGCTCTCGGCCTACTTCGATGTAAGCCAAGCTGCATGCAAGGAGTTTTTACCCGAGGGGAAAAGCAGACTACGAGTAGGTACACTCGTAATACTTCGTACCTGCACTCACCACTCGTAGTCCGCTCTGTACAGGACCCTGCAATATGGAGCTACGTACCTTAGGATCCATTGAGTTCTGACCGATGCAACTAAGAGGAGCATCGAGGATGGAGTATGGATACTCACGGTGCACTAGGAGCAAAGGGGACCGCTTCGGTACCGCAGAGTGGCCGAGAGAAGGCGAAGAAGAAGAAAAAGCTGGGGAATGTCTCGGCCAATCCGTTAGAGCAATCCCAAGACAAGGATTACTTTTTGCGGCCTATCATGACACATTGTCGCTTCTCTTTCTTCTTTTCTTCTTGTCTATTTTTTTTTCTCGCGCTCGGCCTTTCAATCTCCGGTGAATTCAGACTGGTGTATTCGTATATGTCATGCTGGTTTAAACGCTTCAACCTGTAAAGGGCATCGGCTCCGGGCCTGTGGGGACTCTTGCAGCGCGATTGAGAATCGATGCGGAGAGGGCTTGACTGGTATTTGATGCAACTTAGCACCTTGCATTGGAAACTCCCCCCCACTGGTGTTTTATGTTTTTGTTTTACTTGCTGCGGCCGAAACGAGACGCTTCCAAGCTTGCTGCGTTGCTATTTTCAACGACTTCTGCAGCTGCTAACCACTGCTACTTGTATCAGCCCCGAGCAGGGATTCTCCGAGCCTAAGACGTTTCCTACCGTTGCATCGCGGAGATTTTTGAAGAAAACGAGCCAACAGATAGAAGAAGAAAAATAAAAGAGGCGAAAATGGTCATCAGCACCGACAGCACCGGCCCTGGGGCCAGTGTACCGGGAAGCGCCAAGCCGGTCGTCCTCATCATCGGCGCCGGCGTCAGCGGCCTGCTGCTCGCCCAACACCTCAAGCGCGAGGGCATCTCGTACCGCATCTTCGAGCGGGATGCCGATTTGGCGACTCGCGGCGCCGGCTGGGGCTTGACGCTGCACTGGTCGTTGACGGCGCTGCAGAGCCTGTTGCCGTCGGGGCTGGCAGAGCGTGTTTGCGACGAGTCGAGCGTGGATCGATGGGCGGATCGACGCGGTGAGCTGTCGAGATTCCCTTTCTTCGATCTGGACAGCGGAGAGCTCAAGACGCAGACGCCGGGAGCGGTCAAGAGCGCGAGAGTTCGAGTGACTCGCCAGAGGCTGCGGAAGCTGTTGGCAGAGGGGATTGAGATCGAGGTAAGCCGCAAGTCGGGCGTTGTTGCCGTTGATGCTGTTGTTGCCGTTGATGTCCTTGTTGATCCTTCTTTCCCTCAATGTCTATCTATGTCATCCCACTTTTCTCGTGCAGGTTCAAGTTCACGCCAGCATTGGATCTACAGATCTTTTGTTTTTTCTTCTACTGTCTTCTACCGCCCGTCTGCTCTCTTAACGCACTGCTTCACGTCTTTCTCCTCATCCAATGGCGCATTTCCGCTAATAATCTCGACGCAAGTGGGGGAAAACCCTCCGCGAGTTCCATACCAGTGACAACGGCACAGTGAGCGTCTCTTTTGAAGATGGCACCTCATGCATTGGGACGCTGTTGGTGGCGTGCGATGGAGGCCAGTCGCGCGTGCGTCGCGCTCTGTTCCCCGACCAGACAAACCTGATGTTGCAGCTGCCTGTGCGGACCATGGGCGTCAAGATGTTGTTGACGGCGGAGCAGATCGAGCCAATTCGGAAACTAGATCTGTTTTTCCTCCAAGGCGCATCGCCAACCAACGATTCCTTCATGTACATCAGCGGTGAGTCGCGCAAGCACACGTTTCCTGTTCTTTGTCCTTGATTTCTTCTTCCTCTTTGTACTCTTCATTTTCTATCCATCAGAGCAGAGCGCATCCGTATTATCATGCTTTGTGGCCTTGTCTCGTTATCTTCGGTCGATCTTTGGTGCTGTTAGGGCTTCGGCCCGCCCAGAGCATCTTGTTCTGTGGAGCTCCAGATACGGAGCACATACGTATCGTACCCATCACGAGGCACGGAGCACAGGCGGGAGCGGCGGCGGCCGTCGCGGATCTGGCGATCACCCCCTCCCGTGGCGGCAACTGTAAGATTCAGACGTGAGAAGTGACAAGACGCTTTAAAAATGTGCATTTGCTGCGAAACTGACCAAGGCCAAAAAAGATTGAAACTGTTGCATTTGCTGACGCATTCATCTGCACTTAATTCACAGTCCTCGATGTCCCCGGAAACCAGGCCGACAGTGACCCCGATGTCTTCAGCTGCCAGCTGCATTGCTCGTGGCCATATCCGGGTAGCGGAGCGCCCACCGACGTCCCAGCCACCAACAAGGACCGGTGCGAGCTGCTGCGTGCCTTTGCAAAGACTTGGTCCGAGCCTTTCCGGTCTCTTGTTTTGAATAATGTGTACGCCGACACGGAAATCAAGCGCCTGGATGTGCTTGACTGGGCGCCGCCCATAGGCTTGCACACGAACGGTCAAGTGGTGTTGATGGGCGATGCGTTCCATCTAATGTCCATGTGTAAGTTGTTTCCCCTTGCCTCGAGGGGATGGTGTCTGCTGCTTTCTCAAATTTGCCGACCCTTGATGTTTTTTTCCGGATTGTTTTCTTGCACTCTTCCGAATTACCCTCGGCAGTTCGGAGTAGATTGGCGACAGTGACTTACTCTGCCCTAGACCGTGGCGAAGGCGCCAACCATGCCATCGTCGACGTGCTCGACTTTGCGACGCACGTCGTCCCACTACTGGCGCTCAACCGCGACGACTTCAGCTCAAAGACGGGCTCGCAAGCACATACCCATCAGAGTCAAGGTTCGGATTTCCGGCAGGCTCTGCGCCAGGCGCTAGATGCCTATGAAGGCGCCGTCGTCTCTCGTGCCCGGCCAGGGGTATTGGCCTCACGCAGGGCGTGCTTAGACGCGCACGCCTTTTCCAGGCTGTTTGGAGAGGCAGCGACCGGCGTCAGCCCGTTGCTCAGCAAGCGCGAGATGATGCTCCAGTTTGACGACGAGTCGACGGAGCTAATCAAGTAGTTGTAGCTTAGCACATCAGCTCCCCAGAGCAATGTCCTGTTATACGAGCAAATACAGCAAACCACTCAACTAGCCATGTCCAATCCCAACACCTCAATTCGCCTTTGGCACCTGGTTCGTGGCGCAATGCACAGCTGAGGTGTTTTATCACTCATAGGTAATTACCTAGTACCTACCCACCCATTGGCCTGCGTACCTGGACATCGGCTGGCCAGCCAAAGGCCAATAGGCCTCTCTTCCGGGACTTGTTCCAGGGACTTCTCATCCATGGATGTTAATGTTAGTCAAATATCCACCTGCGGTACGGAGCATTGCGGAGCAGAAGGAAAGAAAAAGGGAAAGGCAGAAAGAGGGAGGCTCCAGCCTCCGCCCCAAGCACCCAGACGAAGCATCTGCAGGGAGCAATCAGCCCAGTACGGACATCGTCCCATGGCCTGATGCCCTCAGCAGAAGCGACGGGAGCAGGGCCGTTAATTTAATCAGCCCAAACAAAGCTCGTTAAAGGCGTGGGCTGGATCCCGTCTCCTGGATCCCCCGCGCTATCACCACCCCAGCCTAGTGCCCCTGCTCCGTCGCCAAATTCTAGATCCCCCTATGCAAGAAACCTGCCGGGAAGAGGATCCGAAACGAGAACGGAATCCCCCCCGAATGCATGGAGCACAGAGTGCTGTACCGTAAATGACCCTTTTCTTTCTTAACCTTTTCCCGTTTTTCTTTTATTTCTATAGACCAATTGAAAAGGCCCGTTGTTAGCGAGAGAGCGAGGGAGCGAGCCCCCCTCGGTATCATCGCCTGTTGTGGTAAGGCCGTTTGTGACGATTTGAATCTTGAGGCTGGAAAGGTTCCGAATATTGATTATTCTCATGCGTTTTGATGAACTTTTTGCTTGGATAATCTTGCAAAGGGGGTTCATCACAGTTCCCGCGGCTGAGGGTCTGTTCATCTTAGAATTAGAAAGGAAAAAAAAGAGAGACATGTGCCAAGCTTAACGTAACAAATCATTTCAAGAAATAGTAGTGCTATTCAGAGCCATAGTATTCATTGCCTCTGAGGCTATCCCTAAACCCAAGTGCTCCAGTTTTTTTGGTACTCCCCTAGTAAACACCTCGCGAGAAGCAAGAAGAGATGTATTGAGAAAATAAAAGTAAAAAGCCGGCCCAAAGCGTTACAAACGTTCCATAAATATAGAAGTAAAAATATCAAGTAGCAAACAGGAATCATATCTTTTAAGTAAACAAAGCAAAGTAAACAAAGGGAAAAGCAGCAAGCCCGTTAACACGACGAAGGCCTGCCATAGAGCATCATGGTCTAAGCGTTATCTTCGAAACTGTCGTTACGCCGTCTAGGTTGATTGCGGTCATCGTCGACTCGTACGCTGTATGTAATGGACTTCATGATGCCACTGTTCTGAAGGATGTTCTCCTCGCTCGATGACTTTGCAACAGTCATAATGCCCTTGTCGTTGTCGTGGTCTTGGCTAGCGGTCACGTCGCTGAGCTTAAAGTGCTCGCCCTTGGGACCTCCTCGACTGTTCTGATGAGATGATCCGTTGTTGTACGAGTTCTTTGTGCGGTATTCCTTGGCCTTTCGCATAAAGACTGGCGCCAAGAACGGCAGGGATGAGACCATGTTCTAAAATAACGAGTTAGGCGCGTGCATGCAAGGTAGATATGGAGATTTACTTACGCCAACATTGAACTCAATGGTACCCCAAAGGACAAGCATTGTGGAGTTGCCATCTCCGTTGGAGATTCGGTCGATCTGTGTGTATCTCAGGATAGAACAGATTGTGGTGAACAGACCAAGCAGGAAGATGGCAATAAGACCGACCTTCTTGCTTGTCTGGATGTTGAGCTTGAGGAGAACTGGCAGAGGCAGAATGGCAACGATGATATCGGAAACAATGGTGACAACCGCGTAGGCTGTAAATGAAGGTCCAGCCGCCAAGCAAGTTCCGGCTTTCAGGGGATTCCAAGACTTATCAACGGGGTGACAGGCGAATATAAGGGAGAGGGCACAGCCGAGATGCGCCAGAAAGACCAGCATAATGGTACCAAAGACAACGTAGCGATACGTCTTTTGGTCCGTCCCCTTGAGCAGCCGCAAATAGCTGATGAGGAGTGCAATCTTGAAAAAGCTGATTCCGATTTGGTAAATAGGGCGTCCTGCAAAGTTGACTCTTGTGTAAGGAATCAGATTGGCCGAGGGTCGGTCCTTGATAGGCAGCCCCAGCCCATATCTTGTTTCTGTGTATCGAGTCAATGCCTACACTCATGACTTTGGAAGCGACCAACAGTATGCAATGGTGTTGACTTACGGACAATGCAGAGAATCGAATAGATGAGAGCAAACGCCACGGATAGAGCAGACATCCAGTCATCACTGGCAAGACCGCGCGCTTTGAAGCGTATCCAAAGACGGGTACCAACGACGATGATGGACACCACCGAAAGAACGACACAAATGGCAATGATGGTCGGATATTGAGACTCATCGTTGACAGCCTCCGTGGCGTTTAAGACCCAACCCATTGTGGAAGATGCTGAGATGTTGTTGGTAGTTGATCGATCAAGCCAAGCTGAGGGTGTTGGTGGCTGAGCCAGGGATCACGGTTGCCATGCAAAGTGGCGCTCAGGCAGTGAGTGAGTGGGAGAGGCTCGGCGACGAGGGTACGAGTTGGAGTAGAAAGAGGGCGGGGAATGATGATGTCCACGGCCAACGCCAAGCCGAACCAACAGTCGGTATTATGTTAATTCGTCACTGTACAGTTAATCGTCAGACGTAAAGAAAGATCAAGAGAGAAAAAAGAGGACCGATATAAGCGGGACCGAGAGGGAGGACGGCCCCCAAGGGAAATATATGAAAATAGGAATGAGCGTGTGTTCGAGGCCAGAAGCCGGGAAGGGTGAAAAAGTGTCGGACGATGAATGGATCCAAACTAGTAGACGCGAAGTGTGTCTTAGATAGGGTTTCTTTTCCCTTCGGTCAGCATAAAACTGGACACGAGACTTCCGCCTGGGACCCTTGGGAGGTTCGCGTTCTCAAATCCTCGTTCTCAATGCGACCATTTCGGTTGAATACGGTGCATGAGCATCCCTATCCGTACGTCAGACCTAGGATGCTCGTCCCTTATGGTCAAGCGTGGCGTTAGACGATGGCAGGTCTCGTCTCTCGCATGAAGTGCTAGTCGATCCCTACTTGTAACATGGTGTGGTAGGGACAGATTGGACCGAGCAGAACTGGATGGACCCTGCTGAAGAGAGCACAGGTCACAGTGGACTCGGGGCCAATGGTGCATGACGTTTTCAAAAGTCGCCCTGCATCCCCTGCAACGATACCACGTCTTCTTCGCTGTTTGGGGCGAGTCGGGCCCGGGAGACAATGCTACGATGCCGTCTCACATTAAATTAGCAGCAGCATCTTGGCTATCGCTTCAAGAAGGGATTGGCTGGAAATCCTACGCCGTTATCCGTGGAAAAAAAATCCCATATCCTTTACCTGAGCTGGGGTGCTCAAATACGCATCTCACCTCATGGCGAGCAGGGGAACGAATGCGCGGTAGTACCCCTGTCCTTGCCCTTGGCTGTACCCATAAGAGTTTGCTTCTGTACATGCCAGAACAGTGGCCATACTGTGAGGGCGTGGCTTGGACCGGCGCGCGGTTGGCGTGGTGATCTTCGCCAGTCAAAATCCACTTCCCAGCAAAGGCTTTTGCTCTTGACATTGACCGGGCCGCCACTAACAAGCCCCAGTCCCCTTGCCGTCCAAAGAGGCGCCTGTGGCAGCGCTCAACATCTGTCATGGGATAGCGTGTGTCTCGGCGAAGCGGCTGCCGTTGGCGTTACACAGCAGCAGGAATACTAGTGTTCGCCTGACGTTGACTATCGGTCTGAGACAGGCTATTAATGGGAGCGGCTTCAGCGCTGTCCGAGACACCGGATGCCTAGCCACAACTGTCAAGGAATGGCGCCATCCGTTTTGAAGTCGCTCTTAGCCGATCAAGTAGAGAGGAGAAGAGAAAAGAAGCGATTTCTCATGGCAGTGCTGCTCGTACGGGTAGTCGCCCCCCATTTCTGGCATACAATGCGCTGCTAATAAGCGTCCATCCTCAGGGCCTTGCTCTCTGGTCTGCTAGCCCTTGAAGATCACTGGGGCGATTTGGTGGGCCTTGCTCATCGAGAGCACAGTTTTGGCATCTTGTTGCCGAGAGGATCCGGCCGACAAAAGGACACTTGCGAATATCGTAGGGTAATGGAATCCAGCTTACGGCGTAGACATCGTCATGTTGACTCAGGGGCAGCTGAAATGGCGGGAAAGGAGACAGAAACAGGAATCGTCATTGCGGTGGTAGCGTCGAGATGGAGACGTGCAGCCGCACAGGTCCAAGGGCGGATTGAGCGCCGAAGGGACGAGTAAAAGCCGACGATGGAGATTTTGGTGAAGGAGAAAAAAAAAGATTAGAATGTGGAGAGGCCGAGGGCTTGGGCGAGTAGCGTCCAGGTGAGCGCAGATACGAGTACCTGGTAGGTACGTACCTATAGTAGTACTAACTGTACTGTACGAGTACTGCCGGCGAATCCACCTACCAAGTGAGGAAGGAAGGGACAATAATTCTGCCGAATGCCAGCTGCCAACTGTGGCAGTGATAAACTGAGCTGCCAAAATGAATCAAAGTTGAGACGCCAGAGATCGGTGACGGAAATAGTCGAGGAGCTGAACGGGGAGGGGAGCAGCGACAGAATTGGCCCCCAAAACGTGGGCGATCTAAAGGGAACCGGTACGATGCCCCGAGCAGCTCGATATATTAGCAGACGAAGCGACGTGGTGCTATTCCCTGGTCAAACCGCCCAGCCAGGCGCCGGTCTTGCACCAGCAAAACATCAATGGAACGCTGTGCTCTGTAGTACCGAGTGCCTGTATGTGCGGAGTGCCGAGTGCACATCAGCTATCGAAGTGCTACCTAGGCAGGGCATCTGGTTACTGACACCTGGGGCTGCGCGTACAGCATCTATGGATGTACCTACTCGTATCGTACAGTATGATGGACTAACAAGGTGCCTCGTTCGTGCTGATGCACCAGCTCACCATATCAAGCAAGCTCCTGCAGAGGCCACACGCAGGCACTCAACTGATTTGACGCACATGGTATTGACTCCATACATGCAAACCCGGCGTGTCTGCTGCTTAAACGAATGTATTAGGTGCAGCTGCAGGCCCGGCCACGCGAGACAGAGTAGTCGTACATGTACATGCTCCATCTGGGAGTCGAGACGAAATCACGGAAATGCCTCGATTCGACGCAGCTTGCATAGGTAACTTTCTGGCCTCGTGTGGGCTCCAGCTTGTCATTGTGGCGCCTGGATGGGGAACAGCGACAGCCCCAGGGGATCCAGCCGCGGAGCGGGTCGGGGCGGTGGGGGGAAAGTACTCGTCAACTACCTTGCCCGGGCAAGTTGTGGGCCTGTGCTGTAGCACCTCCAGGGCTGTTGTAGTGCTGAGGGCAGCCCAAGAACAGCTTGAGCTACAGCTGGAGGTCTCGTGTACTCGTACGAGTAGGAGTTGTAGACACTCGGACAGCTGCACACAACCTTACCTAGCGCTAACAGGACCACAACTGCTAAAACCTCTAGCTGCGGACGACTGCCGGGCCCCAGTTCAGCATCAAACACTACTCTATTACGATACAACTGCGCCAAAATGGCCTCCGTCCAGCGGGACCGTCGATTCGGCCATCGTACGAGACGATCACTCAACGTTACTCGAGTCAATCTCCCCGGGCCCCCGTCGATTCATGCTCGATGCGTTGTGCAACGCGATGCCTGACGCCCGACAGGCGATGCTCCGTTGCACGGCCCAGAGACCGCAGACAGACTAGACGCTGGTTGACATTGTTGCTGCGCGAAAAGGCCTTGCATCGACGGCGTCGACGGCGTAATTTGCCCCTGCAAACCCGTCGGAAATGCGTCGTGTCCCTTGGCCAATCCTTCCTGAACCACGCTGAGTTCTGCTGGGCCGCTTGGCTGCTTTCAGCGCAGCAGACCAGACGATGTGCGATCGCGGCATCGCTTCCGCCTCCACAAGCTCGCCAACTTCTCACCCCCCTTGCAATATCCGGTCTTGGCTACTTGGCGCTGGCCTCGTTGCTAGACCCTTCCCTGTCGTCTGAGCAGAGTACAGCACTGCATGGCTGTGAATCCCCCGAGGGGAAAATCGGAAAATGGGGAAGCGGTCGGCTGTTTCTTTTGCAGGTGCTGGCAATGCAATACATACTCGTACCTTCGGAGATTTCGATTTCGCCCATCAGCAAATACTGGATGACGGTATCAATGCCTTTGAGCCGCGGCGACCCTTCTGGACTGTTTCTAAGACCAGTTAGCAACACTTGACATTGCACCGAAGGCAAAGGTGCCGCTGCAGGGCAACCCACCCATTGTGACCATCCCTTTGGGTCACGACATTTGCCTCTTCTCCGGCTAGACGGTACTGTCCCCCGTTGCTAGCACCGCCGACGAGACCACTTGTCTTGTCCATTTCCCACCTCTCGTTTCCCTGCCTGTGTTTTTTCCCCTTTCACTAGCATTAGCACCATTTTCTATCCTTTTGCTCTTTCTTACGAGTCATCTTCAGGTGGTCAACGGCCTGTACATACTAGGCCGCTGCCTGATGGGTCTGTCCGGCCCAGCATCCCTGGACCTGCATCCGAACCTTGCTCTAAGCATCGTTGCGGCCCCTCGTGGCACCGCTGCAATCAATCAAACCCGCCCAATCGCTTTCTGCGCTGAGGTGCTCGTACGAGTACCTCTCTACCTCTACTCCGTACCAGAGCTACGATACCGACGCCGTACCGTAGCTGGTCAGCTTTAGAGTGGCCAAAAGAACCCTGGTTCTGTCCTGCCAGGTCCCCTCATTACACATCAACCCTCTTTGGGAGTCCATAAATCTTCTTATTACTACGTACGGCATCCTCCCCCTTCCCACGTCGTATTTGAACTGCCATTCCTGGCTCGAGGTGTTGATCTTTTCGCATCCAGCGCCGATCGTCCTCGTTTGGGAGGGAGATTCTGTTCCCACGTCAATCTCACACACCCTGCTCGATTTTTTCCTCTTCACTCACTCCCTCGCTGGCTGTCAGACTCATCACGTCACTTCCCCCAGTCTTCTCCCACATCGAATCTACGGTATACACTTTGCGCCTCTCGCCGGATCCGAACCTACGGCCATAGCTCTTGTTTGGAGTATTGACTCGTGAGTCGAGAGCTGCGAGGGCAAATCGCAAAGATGTCTTCCCAAAACATCAGCGAGAAAGGAGGGGATATCGATGTTCGGGGAACGACCCCTTCCCATAGCGATGTCGATGTTCCCGAGGCTGACATCGACGATGCGTGGAAATTCCTCAACGAGCATCGTGATGCCGCTGGCGTTGCCGCCGTCAACATCAAGTCTCTTCGGCTCAAGATTGACCTGCACATTGTCCCCATCATGTTTCTCTGCTACACAATGCAGTTTCTTGACAAGGTCATCCTGAATGTAAGTTGATCTGGTATTGATTCCACCGTACCTGCATTTCGGCCCCCACTCAGATCGAGGGAGCGGGTTCAACTGGGCGCCTATCGTGTGTTGTGCCTGCGTGATGCGAGATGCTGACGCAGATCTAGTATGCCGCTGTCATGGGCCTCAATGCAGACCTGCATCTTCAGGGCAACGACTTTTCAAACGTTGCCACGTTTTGCTTTGTCGGCTTGCTCTGCTTTGAAATCCCCAATAGTGAGTCTTTCCAGCTCCGTTCAATGTCATACCGTCTTCCTCTTGGTGAATGGCCCATAGTAACCAAAGGTCTCAATAGCCTACTTCCTCCAAGTCGTCCCAGCTGCCAAGTGGCTCGGACTCAATGTCACCCTCTGGGGCGTTGCCACTGCTTGCGGTGCCGCCGCTCACAACTACCAGACGCTGCTCGTCTCTCGTGTCTTCCTGGGTATCTTCGAGGCGACCATTGGACCTTCTTTGATGCTCATTAGCAGCCAGTGGTATACAAAATCTGAGCAGGCTCCTCGCTTCTCCTTCTGGTATCTCGGCCTGGGCCTGGGTCAGATCCTCGGCGGTGCCATTTCGTACGGCTTCCAGCATGTCACTCCTGGCGCTTCCCTCGCTGGCTGGCGTATCATGTTTGTCGTCTTGGGATGCGTCACCGTTGTCATTGGTCTCTCCGCCTTCTTCTTCTTGCCCGACACCCCCATGAAGGCCTCCTGGCTATCCGATAACGAGAAGGTTGCTCTGCTGAAGCATGTCAGTGTCAACCAGACTGGTATCCAGAGCCGCAAGTTCCGCCCAAAGGAGATTGTGGAGGCCCTCCTTGATCCTCAGATCTGGCTTCTCCTCTTGTCTGTTGTTCTTGTAAGTGTCCCACAGCCCTCTACTGTCTCTTTATACTAACGTGGATTTTTTCCCCCTGAAGCTCTCTGTCTCTAGTGGTGTCGTTACGACATACTCTGCCACTTTGATCAAGAATTTGGGCTACAAGCCGGCCCAGGCTGCCTTGATGAACATGCCCTCGGGCGCCATTAGCATTTTCTTCACCCTGCTAGTCGGCTTTGGCGTTCGCAAACAATCCCACCGATGGGCTTGGATTATTGTCTGCATCATTCCTGCGTAAGCTTGACATCTTTGTACCGAGAGACGCTAGCCGGTGTATCTTGCTAACCTCTCCTGAATAGTATCATTGGAGGTGCCTTGATGTCTTTCCTTGATTCCAAGACTCATTCTTCGGGCGTCTTGGCCGGCATCTACCTGGTCAATGCAGTTGTTGCTCCCTTGCCCCTCTTCTACGCCGTGAGTGCTCCGCCTTGCAGTATCGGTGCGCAGCAGCGAGTGACTAACATGATGGATACAGTTGACTGTTGCCAACGTCAGTGGTGCTACCAAGCGTGCCTTTGCCGCTGCTATTGTTAGCGGTTCGTTCTCTCTGGGCAACATTATTGGCCCCCAGACCTTCCAGGCCCGTGACGCGCCCGACTTTCGACCTGCCAAGCTGGCAGTCATGGGCACTCAGGCTGGTTGTGCCGCAACTACCTTTGCACTCTTCCTCTACTATGTGTGGTGCAACAAGAGGCGTGGCGACCGCAGCAAGGAGAACGAGGAGCAGTTTATGTCTCCTGAGGTCTGGGCTACCATGACAGATAAGGAGAACAAGATGTTCCGATACTCTTATTAAATTATATACATGTACTAATGCGGTGGGATTTGTCCTTTTTTTTTTTTTTCGTTTCTGGGTTCATTGCCATTCTTTTTCATTTACGGTGCATTGGATCGAGCGAGATGGTGGGTGAAGGCTTCTTTTGAGATATGAGACGTGTCTAGGATACCCTCGCTGCTACGAGACTAAAAGTTAGAGAGCATTCGCTATTTATCGATGCCAAATATATACACGATATCCTGTCCGCTATACATAACCTCCTCTCGATGCCATTTAAGTCGTGTTGCTGTAGAAAAGGGTAATCACCTTGGGCATGTTGTTGCTCCAAGTTTGGCACATTCTTGAAACTTAACCCTCGAAGAATCGAGCCCGGATGGTGGTACCGCTTCTCGCAGTGTCGAGTTTATCAACGACCCTGAGGATCTGTGAAACACTTTCATCAACCGTGATCTGTCCCTTCAGATCAGGCTCAATCTTTCGGAACTGGTTAAGCATCACTTCAGTCGCCTCGACAAGCTGGGGAGGCTTTGGGCCTATTCATACATGATTAGCTAGAGAAAGAACAGAGAGAGGGAGAGACAGTAAGATGAAAGGAGAGGTTCATATCAAAAGAAGGAAACAGAGGCGAATTGTCCATTACCTTCATGAGTATCAACCCAGCCAGGGCAAATCGCAACAGTCTTGATGCCCTTGGGAGCAAGTTCAGCAGCGTACTTTGCAACTTGAACATTCATGCCGGCCTTTGCGATGGAATAGGCCACGGCGTAATCAACCCCACCGCCGAGAATGACTTCCGTCTGCGCCATGCTGCTGGTGATGTGGGCAATCTTCTTGAGGTCTCCCTTTTCAATCAGGGGCAAGAAGGCATTCGTCGCCCACGCGCCACCGTAAACAGCCGTGCGAAGGGGTTCCTCGTAGAACTTTCTCGTGGCGTCGACGTCAAAGGGGACCTTTGTGGGGGGGAGCGAAAAGGTCGAGAGGTCGACGGAGTTTGAGTTGTGGATGAAGACGTCGAGCTTGCCGCCGAGGATGGTGGAGGCCTGTTCGGCGGCGGCGAGGATGGACTGCGGGTCTGTGGTGTCGGCCTTGATGAGGTGGACGTTGGGGAGGGATTGGGCGAGGGCTTTGATGCCGGGGGATTCGGGGTCGCGGACGATGGCGAGGATGGTGTTGGAGGGGGATTGGGCGAGTTGGCGGACGAATTCGCGGCCGATGCCTTTGGAGGCGCCGGTGATTGCGTAAGAGGGCATTGTGTATGAGAGTTTGGTTGGTTGGTCAATTAGTAAGTTTGATTGTTTAGTTGATTGACTGGCTGTTTGATTAGTTTGATGGATGGTGAGGTAGAAATTGATTCATCTTGGTCATGGGAGTTGCGTTTATATACATGCGCGTTTGTCCCCGAGTCCGTATAAGTCATGTCATGATGCTCAGCCGTCTCCAAGGTCAGCCTGGCGGAGAGTGGCAATCGCCGTAGCCTGGAGCTGGGGATAGTCCCATGATGACAAACGATCGATATGATGTTCAAGTCATGATAAATCACTCAGTGTTGCTGCAGTATTCAAACTCCGTCGCCGATTCAAGCATGCAAGACGGAGTGGCTCTGCAATACCGGCTGAGTAACTCAAAGGATCGACAGGAACGGCCGAGTCAAAGTCCACCGTCCGGTCCCACTTTTAGTGTGAGAAAATCTTTGACATTCAACCAATGAGAAGCGGCATAATGTTAGAAAACAGGATATGTCAGCAACGGGGGCGGAAATTCAGAGCAGCCAGCGGCCGACGGCTTTTGGATCGGCCGTTGCAACATTCGCCTCTCCTCCACTTACACCTGCTTTCCATCCCCTTTTCACGAAAACCGATGATGAACCAACAAGGCGGCATCTACAACATCAAGAGAAGAGCGTGTGTCACGTGCACAAAGGCAAAGTGCAAGTGCTTGCCACAGACGGACAGCTTGTGTCAGCGCTGTGCCCGGCTTGGGAAGCAGTGTGTATATCTCGATTTGCCAGAGAGGAAGCGGAAACGCAAGGATGACGATAGGTGAGAGAATCTCTATGCAAGGATGTGCTTTTTAGCTGGAGGAATGGCTTGCTGATTAGTCAACTAGTCGAGTTGGTGTTTTGGAGAGCAAAATTGAAGAGCTCACAGCTCAGCTCGTGACTCTCAGAAACGGTGTGAACAGCCATAATGACACGACATCGTCCTCCACCAACGGAACAGCGTCAAGTACGGAACCTTCATCCGTTACAGACTCTGTTCCTGAAGGCTCGTATGGGGATGCAGAGCCGCTGGACGCAGAAGAGCCCGAGCCCGAAGGCTACCATGGGCGTGAACCCCCTACAACGTCGGTATTAGAGGGCGTGTCCGACATCGTCGACCGTGGCTTTCTCAGCATCCACGAAGCAGAGACTTATGTCGCGCAGTTCAAGTCTCGTTTCGTCTGGAATTTCCCTTTCGTCGTCCTCCCCCCCTCCCAGACTGCCGATATGCTCCGCAAGCAGGAACCTCTGCTCTTCCTCGCCGTCATCGCCGCCACCATCCCCAGCGCGCACGCCATCCGGAAGCTGCTCGCCGACGAAATCATGCAGCACATCACGTCACGCATCGTCGCGAGCTCGGAGCGGAACCTGGGCTTGCTACGGGCGCTGCTTGTTCTATGCGCGTGGTACCGGTATCCTTCGCAGAGGGGGAACGTGCAGCTTGTTTTGCTGCTGGACTTGTGTGTGAATATGGTGCACGACCTGAGGCTGCATAGTATGAGGGGGGAGTTGACCACGGACCAGCAGAGGGCTCTACTGGGAACCTATTGGGCTACATGGTAAGGGGGAAACTCTGAAAGCGAGAGTATATGTGTTGTTGCTAATGTTAGTCCACACAGCTTACCAAGGGTGATTGGCCGGCCATCTGCAATGAAAAGCAACAAAAAGATTGACGAATGCTACCAGAATATGGCCACATCCAAAGAGTATCCCTCGGACAGATGCATCCGGCCCTTGATCCTCACCCAGTCTTTCATATGCTCGGTAGACGACAGCTACAAAGATTTCACAGAACTTGGCGCAGACGCTTCATCTCAAGAAGAATCATTCATCAAACTCATGGTTGGAGCCAACGTGCGACACTTTGAGAGTCTGAAGGCCACCCTCGAGACTGAATTATCAAAGTGCCCAAACTCATTCAGTATGTCGTCTCTCCCTCATCTCCGCCAGCAAAAATGGTTACAGTTCCCCCATAGTATATACTCACAACACACTCCTATCTTCTATAGCAAACCTGTTTCGCTGCAACATGCACTACATCAACATTGCCATCCGCGACCTGGCCCTCGACGACGAGTACATCTCCTACCAGTCCCGCCACTCCTTCGCCCACTCCCGCTCAGCGCAGTCCTTCAAAACGTCCGCCTTCAGATGCTCTCTCCTGTGGCACCTCCTCCGCCACACCAAGGCCCTCATCAACGCCTACATCGACATCCCCGACGACGAGCTGCCCCAGGTCACCGTCTTCACCATCGCCCAGATCTGCGCCTCGCTCGTCATCCTCCCGCGCTCCGTCTCCGCGCTGCTAAAGCTCATCGTCAGAAACCACCCCCGTGCCGGCATCCCGGACGACGTATTAAATGAGGCCAAGGCCGTTGTCGACGAGGCAGACTACCTCAACCTCGTCGTCAGGCTCTACGACAGGCTGCGCCTCCTCATTGTCGGGCTCTCGGGCCAGGACAAGGGGCTCGACGTCGCCGGAACGCTGTGCTGCCACATGGGCGTGCTGGCCAGCTGGTACGCGCCGCGGGTCAAGGCAATCCTGGGCATAGACCTCGTGTCTAAGAGCCCGCTCGCCGCCATGACTCCTCCGTCTATTGCCATTAGCGAAATCATTGCTGCCAACGCCAATGCAAACGCGGCCACTCTGATGCAGCAAGCGGCAAGCCAGAATGTCGGTGGGCTTCAGTCGGTGGGCGAGCAGCAGCAAGTTGTGGGCTCTTATGCGGATGCCGAGGACGGAAGCTATTTGTTTAGCGATGAGCTGTGGTCGACCGTGTTGGAGAGTTTTTCCAGTTTTGGTTGAGAGACTCACAAGTGAGCGAACAAAACCATTGTAATAAGACAAGACATCACCAGTAATTATTTGGACCAGGGCATCACAAGCAGATTAATCGGATCAAGTTAATTTTCAAAACATATTCAATTTGGCTATATAGCAATTTCGTCAAAGAGATGCAAAATGCACGTCCAAAATCCTCCTTCCAGAGATAGCAAAAGGGGACGTGAAATGAAATGGTAACGCCGACCCATAGCGATGCTTTCCCAACGTTCAAAAAAACGTGGCCATTAAAAGAAAAAAGGTTAGAAAAATGAGAAAAAGGAAAATAGTCTAAATCCTTTCGAAATCAAAAAGTCCCTTTTTTTCGTGTGTTCCCACACGGTTTCGTTCAAGTCCAAAAAACCCTGAATATCACGATTTGTTGTCATGCAAATGAAGAATTTCAAGTTCAAAACGCTGTCCCTCGTATCCTCGAGCTGTTTTTTTTCTCTTGTTTTTTTATTTGTTTTTGGTCCTGTTTGTCATTTTGGAGATGCCACTTAGACGCTGGGGCCGGCGGCAATGACATCGGGGGTAGCCTCGCTCTCGTACTTCTTGAAGTTCTCGCGGAAGAGTTGGCCCAGCTTGACAACCTCGCGCTGGAAGCTGTCGCCACCGGCGGTCCAGGCCTTCTTGGGGTTCAACAGGTCCTCGGGGACGTTGGGGCAGGACTTGGGAACCTGCAGGTTGAAGACGTCGTAGTTCTCAAACTCGACCTGGGCGAGCTCGCCAGAGTGGATGGCGTCGAGGATGGCACGAGTGTACTTGAGGGGGCATCGCTTGCCGCCTTGGGCGAAGCCGGCGCCGACCCAGCCGGTGTTGAGCAGCCAGGCGTTGGCCTTGTTCTGCTCAATCTTGTCGGCGAGCATGCGGGCGTACTTCATGGGGTGGAGGGCCAGGAAGGGCTGGGCGAAGCAGCTGGAGAAGGTGGCCTGGGGCTCGTTGACGCCGTCCTCGGTGCCGGCCATCTTGGAGGTGTAGCCGGAGATGAAGTGGAACATGGTCTGGGCGCTGTCCAGCTTGGAGATGGGGGGCAGGACACCACGGGCATCGCAGGTGAGGAGGATGATGTTGGTGGGCATGTTGTCGGTCAAGCAGGGGATCTTGGCGTTGGAGATGTACTCGATGGGGTAGGCGCAGCGGGTGTTCTCGGTGAGAGTGACATCGTCGTAGTCGACCTCGCGGGTGACGGGGTCGAAGACGACGTTCTCAAGGATGGAGCCGTAGCGGATGGCGCCGTAGATATCGGGCTCCTTCTCGGCGGACAGGCCAATGCACTTGGCGTAGCAGCCACCCTCAATGTTGAAGACACCGCGGTCACTCCAGCAGTGCTCGTCATCGCCAATCAGGGCGCGGTTGGGGTCGGCAGACAGGGTGGTCTTGCCAGTCCCAGACAGACCGAAGAAGAGTGTGACATCACCGTTCTTGCCCTCGTTGGCAGACGAGTGCAGGGTCAGGACGTTGTGCTTGATGGGCATCTCGTAGAAGAGAACGGTGAAGATGCCCTTCTTCATCTCACCGGCATACTCGGTACCCAGGATGACCATCTCCTTGGCGGCGAAGTTGATGGACACGGATGTGGCGGAGGTCATGCCCTCGGTGTATCGGTTGGCAGGGAAGGTTCCGGCATTGTAGATGGTGTAGTCGGGATGGAAGTGCTCGAGCTCCTCACGAGGAGGGCGGATGAGCATGTTCCTCATGAAGAGAGCATGGTAGGCGCGAGCGCAGATGACACGGACGCGGATTCTGTACTTCTCGTCCCAGCCAGCATAGCCGTCAATGACGTAGATGCGGTTGCGGGTGTTGAGGTAGTCGACAGCACGCTCTCGGTTGATCTTCCAGACCTAACGAGTATCACGTTAGCACCTTGTAAGCTTGCTTCACTGATCATCTCTCGTCATTGCTTTCAAGACTGATCCCCGGGCACAAAAACGGCAATTACACGCCAGCAATCAGCCAGCCAACAGCTTTGTTGACGGCCGCCCATGGACACTGCCAGACCAAACCCGGCTTCCACAGAGCTGACCCGGACCGGACCGGGTCGGAATACAGACAGATGGAAAGGCCAGCAGCATCACAAGCCAGAACATGTCAATGCAAAGCCGCGGGTCTTGCGTCGGGAGGCCGCTTATGGTCGGCTACCCGATTCGGACCAGCGGGGCCACCGGCTCTTTTTCTTTTTTCTTTTTTGCCGTGACTTTGCAAGAGTGCCGAACAAGTCACTTTTTGGTAATTGTGCGGGGTTCTTGTGGTGCAATGCAGTGACGCCAAGCTAGAGCTGCAATCCCTGTCTGACTGGGCAACTTCTCCGCATGCGCTTCCGATTCGACAGCAAAAGAAAAAGTAGGTTGCTTTTCGCCGGTTGGTTTGGCCCGTTGCAGTGAATGCAGCGGCTGAAGGATTGTGCTGAAAAGGTGGCGGCCGGGCTGAAAGAGCTGAATAGGAGCCGCCCCGCTCGCGTGACCATTGACCCAAGCCAGAATAGAGAAATGCAGGGATGGAGACAAAAAAGGACGAAAACGAAACGAAATGCGTGGGTAGATTCGGAACAGAATGACAATGACAATGACAATGACGATGGAGATGACGCTCGCGGCGACGATCACGATCAGGCACTTACTTCAGGGCTCATGGGCTTGTTGACTGGTCCCCACCTGCAGAGCCTTGGTTAGCCGTGAACTTGAACAAACTGACTGCGGGTTGCATGCGTGTGCCATGACCTACCAGATGTTTTCTTCTGAAGATGGCTCCTTGACAATTCGCTTGTCCAGGGGAGAGCGTCCGGTCTTTGCGCCAGAGTAGGCAGTCAGAGCACCGCTGGAGGTGATGGCAGTGCCGCTCTCGTAGACGAGGGCATCTTCGTAGAGCGCGGCGACGGAGGGGTTGGCGACCTGCAGCGGGGCAATCCCTGTGAGCAAAACGTGCTTATACCACGGTGCGCGGGAGATTTCCAACCAAAGACTTACAATGGCGACGCGGTCGTAGTCGATGTGAGCAATCTCGTGAAGCTCCTCCTCTGTTGCACGCTCAGGTTAATGCCGGTTTCCCAAAGGCGGTGTGGCCAAGGTCAGCTGGATCAAGGCAAAAGGTGGACATACCGAGCTCGGTGTGCTCGCGGTAGGGCCTGGCAGCACATGCGGTGTTAGTCCATCTGCGGCAGTATAATATAGAAACACCACAACTGGGGATGGGATAGGAGAAGCACTCACTGAACACCGCCAGGGTGCAGAGCAGTCTTGTTAACGTTGCTTGAAATCACTGTTCATGTGTTAGCCTCCCAAGTCTGGCAGAATCCCGTTTGCTTGACAGCGAAGCTCCATTGCAGGCCGTTTGGGAAAGCGACTCACTCTTGCGTAAATCTATTCCCGATGCCTGGATCTGCGACTTGGGACCTTTGACGGAAGGATCTGTGTAGGGAGAAGCGGTCCTGAAGTAGGGATCCATTGGATCTTTATGTATTCCAGACAAGATTGAGTCCAAGGGACAGTTCCGGAATGTAGTCGTCCTTCTTTTTCGTCTTGCTTCCCGCTTCAGCTGCTAATGCCAAAACGAAACGAACCGGGGGAGGGGGTGGCGGGTCGAGATGACGGCGTGTCTTTTTTACTCCAGAGTGTGAAAGCCGGGACAGGTACAGCGGTCCCGAGTCGTGTCGATGTATACTCGTACTTTGAGCAGATCAGAAGGACAGAAGCTAGAGCCATGTGTTAGATACAAGGTTGCCTAGTAGCCCTGCGATCGAACAGTCCCGACTGGTAGGATCAAAGCACAAGCCCTTCCGAAGGGGGGCCTCGTGTGGAGCCGTGGCGGGCGGTGCGAAGCTTGACACACGAATTTATATCGGAATGAACAAGAAGTGTGAAAAACAAGGGGTGTGCAAAGGCAGAGGAAGCAACCGAGCGTCTTTGTGTGGAGAATAAGGATAGGAGAAGAAGAGGGAAGGGGGGCGTGTGTGTAAGTGGAAGAGGTGAAGGGATCAAAAAATGCTTCTGCGTGTTACTTTGGCACTTTGTGGCGCTTGGTATCGTCTGCGCTCGGCTCAAGCAACGCAGGACAAGGGCAAGTTCATCAATTCGAGCATGGGACTTTTGGGTCATGTTTTGTGATGAATTTTCCCCTTCGTTTCTTTTAATTGGGACTGCAGAGCAAAGGGGGCGTGTGTTCCAGAAGACGCAAGGGGGAGAACGAAGAATAGAGTACAAGTAAAGAAAAAGTCGGGTCGACTCACGATGCCAGCACGGGGTCCGGTGTTAGTGCAAGCTGAGCTTTGGGTGGACTGTGGATGATGAATGGATGACGGCACAAAGTGCACTGTTGGAAAGCAAAAGTGGAAGTTTGTTTTTTTGCGATGCTAAAGAAGCTGTCTTCAGTCTCCAACTCGAGGGAGGAGGACGACGGCCTATTTAAACCTTGCTCTGCTCTCCTCATGCTCACCAACCGTGTGATGCGGTGATGTGTGAATATGCTTCCCGTAGACGGCAATTCCTCTCTCCAACCACACGTGCATTCGATCATAGGCAAAAACCGGGCAACATCACAAGAATCTGACCAAGCAAAGCCAACGAACGAGGGTTTCGAGTCAAACGTCCAAGCGGACTATTCCGAACCCATGCCGGTTGTACATACGTGGAATTGGTGAGTCGTCCAAGTACTTTTTGCCCGGCGCGCCTACGGCTAATGCGGGGCGATTACGTACGGAATGGGCGCCGAAGGGGGCGAATGTTGCTGCGGCTTTGCCTAACCGGGTAGTTTATTGGGGGATTTGCGAATGTGATGCTCATGCTCATGCTCATGTGGCAATTGGTTGTTTTTTTTTTTTGGTTTTTTCGTCTTGTTTTCCTTTTTTAATTACCCCGTATTGTCGCTGTGATCATCTTGCGGACAAAGTCCTGGGATACGAGTAATTCCTCAAGCACGGGGTCTAGTTCCTAAGCCGAGCTACCTAAGCAAACACATAATCGTTGGGTAATGGCAGCAGGATTCTGACGGTCACGGGGCTGGGCCCTGAAATAACAGGAACGGGCTTTACGCGAAAACATCCATGCCAGCTGGTCCGGGGGAGACTAGAGGAAGAAGAAGAAATAAAAAAGAAGGGACAAAAAAGAGAAGCTCAATTGCCAGTGTCCTTCTTACTCCCCGGCCCGGAAAGCTTGACTCGTTCTCCCGCTACTTGTACGCAGTGTCCCGGAGGTACTCTGACTGGTACTCGTACTATAACAGCTGCAGATACCATCCGGGACTCGGTGCAGATAACGATAAACAAAGGCACCAAGCTGGCAGTTGATATTCTTGCATTAGCACATACGGCGAAGGCGAAAGGGCCAAGGGGGGGGAAGAATAGGTACTCCCCCATTCACACGCACACCAGGTGGAACCCACCAGCAGGGGGGTGAGATTTCTCAACTGAATGTCGCATTTGGGCACGAGATCTCTCTCTCCTTTTTTTTCCTCCTCGCTTCAGTTTCTATTTTTTGCCCCGACTATTAGAAGAAGAAAAAGCACAGGTAACTAAATAACTACTACTACTACTACTACTAGGTAGATACCGTAGCACAAACAGGGCGGCAAGGGGAACCTGCTTCAGCCTCCGCAAATTCTCCCATCACTTGACCTTGTTTGTAAGATTGGAAAGCCCAATTCCGGCCGGCGGCTAGTCATGTTACAATAGGTCCAATCCGGGGGAAGAGAATGGACGGAAGGGCCTCTGCTCTCCCAGTTCCGGCTTTTTGCCTTGAGAGCCTCGAAAAAATGGTTTCTGGGCCTGTGCATAACCCGCAAAGGGGAACAAGGGGGCGTGTGAGTAGGCAATCTCGCTACCCCGCGATTCTTGGGGTTCGTCCAAAGAGATCAATGCAATGCAATAGACGCCAGGCTTCTTCTTCTCTTCTCTGCTTCTTGTACTCCGTAGCCCTGGTGTACACGCCCCCCCAGCCAAGGTACCTACCTGGCACCCGAGTATATTCTCAAGTAGAGGCCCGGCTGGAATATCCCGTTGCTGCGGCTCCTCTCGGCAGCTCGCCCGGCATCAAACTCGACTCTTTTTTCGCTTGCAGTTGTTGTCTCAGTTCGCCGTGCTCGAGACATTTCGGCACCAGATACCCGAGTCGTCTGAGGGCAAACTGCGTCATCCTGTAGCACCTCGAAACAGGCGACGACTTCATTCCTCCTTTTATCTTCTCATCTCTCTTTTTTGTTTCTCGCTCTTCTAGAAAACCACAAACCGTTTGAATCACTGCGGAACTCCCCCAAAAAAAAGGTCACCAAGTCCGTGCCAACTGGGTCTCGGCCCAACGGCACCGCTCCGCCCATCTGGCCCCGTGATTGGCTCCCCGGCCGCCGTGGTCTTTCTGTTCCGACTTTCTCCGCGAAACACAATTTCTGGTGCTGGTATTTTATTCGTGTGTTTGATTTCGGGTCTTTGCATTTTGAATATTCAGAATTTCTGATACGGGCAGGGAACATCTCAGCTTTTTTTCCTTTTTTTGCGCTATAGCCACACCCTGTCGTACCTTGTTAGTCATTGAAAAGCCTAGGGGGTGCACCGGGTTTGTCTGGAGGAGCAACACATTGCCGCTCTTCTTCTTCTTGGTAATGAATTGTCAGGCAGTGATGCATGCACATGCGCCGTGAAATTGCTTTTTGATTCCTTGCCACAATGCAGAATGTAACCCAATATTTGAAGCACAATTTATTTTTGTTTCTTTTTCATCATCATAGTTGACCCGAAATGTCCCCTCTTCAAAATGGGTAGACGCGGCATCAACTGCGTTTCATTCTTTTCGTGGCAAAAGTCGACCCGCAAAGCCGTTACAAAGAGAAACCCACCGCTTTCGTTTGCTTGAAGAAAAAATACAATCGATCCCTTCCTCTTCCAGCACATGGATCTTCCCCGGCTCGACGCCAAGCCTGGATTGGGTTATGCTCGACGTCTCCGTGACGTATCTTTTACATATAACCTGGTAAGCATGTTACAAGAATTTCAAGTACTCGTACACATTGTGTAGAGCATCATCATCGCGGATGACCTGTAACAATAATATTCTTCATCTTCATCTTATTCTTATACTTTTGCCTTGTTGTCATTTTACATTACTTCCCAGTCCATACCTCGTCATCTCTATAACAGTCACAACACAACACAGCCCAACCAACACAACAATATCAAACCACCTACCCGGCATCATCATCCTCGGTCTCCATCTTCCTCCTCCTCCTCCTCCTTTATCCCATCCTCCCGACCGACCCAACTTGCCGCCCCACTCACGGACCCCCGAATCCACCGCTTGGAATTTCCAGATTCTCCAGGTGCCTCGTGGTGCCGCTCCGTCTCGCCGGCTCGGGCTCGGAAGCCCCAGACTTGGCCCACAAACCTTCCTTGCACATGGATTTCCAAGCCCCCCCCTGCTTCCGATTCATTTTCGTTTCCTCTAGCAATGTTCCCCGAGTTAGTGGCTGTGCAATGTTCAGTCATGTACTGTAGGTACCTTACCTTGACTCTTCGCCTCTCAATTCGTATCAACGCATGGCTCTTCCCGCTGACATACGGAGCAGCCCGGGTTGGCCTCGAGATTTCATCAACAAGCCCCGGCCCATCAACCACCGAAAGCAAGCCCCCCCAGCTCATGCAAGTCCAAACAACCGCGCGTCTTTTCTCTTTTGCTGTGCCATGCATGCAGGTCATTAACTCGAGCATGGAAACCCACACGCCCCCCAAGTTTCACCTACTCCTCGTAGCATGTGCAAAACCCGTAATTGATTCCCTCTCTTCCCCTGATTCGCCCTCAGCTCATATGAGGCGATGGCTTCTTGCATGTGGCTGCCACCCCCGTCTTTTACCACTCCCGGACGGCTTCTTCAGCCTTTTGGGCTCCAAAAACGTGCTCGGCTTGCGACCCGTATCTGCTCGCATCTCCGCCCTTGCGCCGAATGGTAATCTCAAGCGGCTGAAAGTATACCCTTTGCTGTCTTCCGAACGTTTCTTTTGACGGATCAATACGGAACGTCCAAGGCGGAAATTGCATCTTATCTTTACTGCTCCCATAACCACCGATTCACTGCATCATCCGAGCAGATACTGACCTCGTCAAAGCCAAGTTTTTATCAATTCCTCGGCTGACTATGGTTATATGCTGCAATCCAGAAAAAAATTGGCTTTGTGAACAAAAAAGTAAAGGAGTATCTCGTCGTCCTTTCTATCTTTGACAATCGTGGCATCGTATGGCATCTACAAATGCTTGCCATGGCCTCGCATCTTCCTGGTCTTCATCATGGCTCACCGCGTCTCAATCTGCGGTCCTGTGAACTTTTAAACCTTGACACCCATGCAGGCGACGCCTTCTATCTCAGTAGTAGCCGAGCTCTTCGCTTCCGTCTCCTCATCGACATGGCAATCAGAGCTTGTTCTCACTCCATTCCCATTCACACCTCCCTAGCCAAACCGCCCAAGGTCGGTATTCTTTTCTTTTCCTTCTATTTTATTCTTGAGCCCTTCACCAGTGGGCCTTTACTGGTCCTCACTAGTAATGAGTCTTGTAATCTTGCCAATGGCAATCGTTTGTCCCTGTGCAATGTTATTAGCAAAAAGTTTCGACTGGTAAGGAATCGTGGGTTAGCATCATACCTGGTCTCGCAGAGTGAAACGACCCATCTGTGGGTAATCCTCAAATTTCTCGACGCAAACCATACCGGCGCCTCCAGTCACTTGAAGCCTGGCAATAATGCTGTCGCCCTTCTTAGCGTGTGTCGGAGGCACCTTGCTCTTGCGGTTGGTGCCCTTCTGCAGCTTGTGCAGCAGAGCTGCAAAGGTAACCTCTTCAATGGCGGCGTGGACGTGCAGCACGCAGTTGAATCCGGACGTGAGGATGCTCTTCAGCTCCAAGACGCGGATCTGTGCCTCGAACTCGGCAACACAGTGCACCAGTCGCTTCGGCGAGCAGAGCACGAATCCGGGCAGGATGTCTTCTTCTTCAACACCCTTGAGACGCAGACGCACCTGGTCACCGCACTGCAGAATAGGCTGCTCCTCTTCTTGCTCTCCGTAGACGGCAGCGGTTTCCACAGCCTGCTTCCGGGGCATCATAATCAGTGACATGCCCTTCTTCACCACACCAGCCTCAATCTTGCCGTCAACCATGGTACCCAGATCTCGGTACTTGGCGTTGACGGGCATCATGAATGGCGCGTTGACCTTGCGCTCCAGGGCCTGCATGCTGTCAAGGTACTCCAGCAGTGAGGGACCCTTCCACCAAGGAGCGACGTCCGCGGGGATCCGGTCCTTGATGTTCATGGACATCTGGGCGGCCACTGGGATAAAGTAGACGTCCGTCTTGAGGTTGTAGCCGGTGCCCTTCAAGAATTGCTGCAGCTTGGTCGTACATTCCTTGTAACGCTCCTCAGACCACTCCACTGTCGGGTCGTCCATCTTGTTGATCGCCACGATGAGCTTGTTGACACCCTGGGTCTTGGCGAGCATGGCGTGCTCACGCGTTTGTCCTCCTCTTTCGAAACCAGTCTCATACTCACCCTTTCGCGCTGAGATGACGAGGATACCTACATCCGCCTGTGAAGCACCTCCAATCATACTAGGGACATATGTCTTGTGACCGGGGGCATCCAGGATACTGTAGCGTCGCTTCTCAGTCTCGAAGAAGCCACGTCCGACCTCGACAGTCTTGCCCTTGGTTCGTTCCTCCTTGGTCAAGTCCATGACCCAAGACAGGTACCATGATTCACGACCCAAGTCCTTTGCCTCCTTCTTGTACTTGTCCATGGTACGCTCGTCGACCATGCCGGTGGTCCACAGGATGGAACCACCCAGTGTGGACTTGCCTGCATCAACGTGACCGATGAAAATGATGTTGACGTGTTCCTTGCCGTAAATTTCCTTGAGGGTATCTTCGTCTACATCGGCCGCCTGTGCCTTCAGAACCGCATCAACTTCACGCTGGGCCTTCTTCTCTGCTGCAGTTGGGCTGGACCGGCCAGAGGATGGGTCCGGAGATGTCCTTCCGGACGACTTGCCGCCACCTGCAGCCTTTCCAGCCTTTTCACCAGTCTTCTCGATGGCCTTGGCTGCGGTAACCTTCTTACCCGCATCCGGCTCGTTGGATGGTTCAGCCTTGGCGTCGTCCTTGGCCGGGACAGCGGCAGAGGGGGAGCCGGTGGAACCAATCGACAACACTTTAGCCTTGGGCTTTACATCACCTCCAATGCTGAGCACCTTGGCACCTCCTTCGTTGGAAACGACGGGCTTCGGTGCGCTGGCAGCCGCGGCAGGCTTCTCGACGGGGAGCGACTTGACAGGAGCGGCTTGGGTGGCGTTGTTCTGAGGGGCTTGGGCAGCAGGCTGTTGCTGCTGCTGCTGCTGCTGGTGGTTTCTCTGGCCCTGCTGTTGACCATATTGTTGGTGTCCTTGTTGGCCTGTTATGGTTAAAAAGTTATTGTTAGCTCTCGTAGGTCGAAATTGGGACTTGGCAGCTTCGACATACCGTAGTTCTGGTTGTAGCCCTGGCCGTAGCCGCCGCCGTAGTTTTGATACTGGTTGTACTGGTCAAATCCTTGCTGCTGGCCACCATACTGTGGGTAGTATCCCTGTTGTTGCCCGTAATACTGCTGCTGCTGGTATTGCTGCGCATATCCGCCAAAAGCCTGGCCGCCTGGCCGGAAGGTCTGAGCGGTGGGCTGGAACGAGGCAGCACCAGGTCGGAAGCTGCCGCCGGCCGGGTTCATGTTGAGCTGCTGCTGAGCCTGCTGGGCGAGGTTCTCGTCCTGGGCAGCAGGATCGTCCTCCCAAGAGTTGAGGTTCGACATGGTGGCGAGTGTTGTATCTTTTCTCGTCGCTTGGAGGGGCTGCTCGAGAGTCGTCGACGGTCGAGCGAGGGGTTTCTCTGTCCGCCAACCGGTTCAAGATCTGATAGACGGTGAGCTATCAAGCACCGGCAGAGGCCTTTGGTTGAATCGGCACACAGACTCGGGTCTTGGAGTTGAAGGCGACGGTCGACGTCTCGCTGGCTTTATGGTGCAGGTTGTGAAAATTCGAGCCCCACCAAGGCAGCGACATGACATCGCTAAAAGTTGGCAAGCTCTGTGGAGGGGCTGCTACAGTGCATTTAGTGTCATTCTACACGGTATATCGTTGGGTTGGAGCAAGACCCCAGCAAGCAGCAACAGGGTGGCTAATGAGTCAAGGGATTAGGAATATCCTGGGCTGAACACGAGTTACTGATACGAAGACCATTGATTAAAAATGCTCCCTTTCGATGTTATTTTCCCAGAGATTCACACAAATTCCACATTTGTGACTCTTACCGCCACGCTTCACCAGATAAACTCAATGCCATGTGCCTGGCTTTTAGGCATCCTTAGGGCGAGCTGAGTCAGACCAGATTATTCGCACTGTGGTCGTTTCGAGCCCAAGCCAAGGCGGTGTTCAAGGTGCATGAGCATCTCAAACAAACACGCAACTTGGAGTTAACAATGTTGTAACTTATGGGTTAAACAGGCTAACGATTCCCTCTGATTCGATATGACGCTTCTTTCCCGAGTTCCTAACATATCGTCATGAAATTTTTGCATCTCAAAGAATCGCCGCTATGGACGAATTCCTGGCAGCAGTTGGCGTACAGGCCATGAGATATGCCATACGGTCTGGCATTGCCTTGACTTCTTCTTACGCCATCAACCAGTGCTCTCGTCTGCTTATAGCGGTTGACGATAAAGGCCTCCATTCCGAGTTGAGAATTCTCCAAAAGCACCTCGATAGTAAAATCAAGGTACGTAAATTTCAACTCTTGATACACTGCACCACCTTTCGCTCTTGTCTCTGATGCTGACCCTGTTGCAGGTCATCTCTCCTGCCATTAACCTGGTTGAGCTCAAGTCGGTAATATCCAATCATCATAAACATAGATACTGACAAGCTAGGTCTGGGCGAGGAAACGTCTTTCTCGAATCTGCACTCCCTCTTGCAAAATCTCTCCATAAGCAGATTGTCTCCCTAGGCCGTCGTGCAGAAGCCGCCGCCGCCGCTCAAGAACACATCCAACGCCCAGGAGCCAGCTCACCGAATAAAGAAACCAGCCAAGATGCATTGAAAAGGGTGATTGAAGGTTTGAAGAATCTTCTGAGCGAGATTGACCGAGACATCCCTCTACTGCAACTGGCCATATCGGCGTCTGGTGAAAGCCTGTCGACTTCTCTACCTTCTGGAATATCTCCCTCTCGGCTGCTACAAGCCAGTACGCTATTGATTGTCGGAGATACGCAGTACGCACAGGACCCTCGAAGATCCATACAAATTGGACCTTCATTCACGCTGTCTGTTTACATGCTATTCTTGGGGCATGCTGCGGTTTCGTCTATTTCTAAAGATGGCAACCTACGGTCATCTGTTGAAAATACAACGAGGACAGATACCAAGTCACAAGGGCCAATCTACGGGCTGAGAGAGCATGATAGAAAACCATTGTGGCAAGAAGCGATACACAAGGCGCGAGTGCGCTTATGTAGATCGGCAAGCGACCCGATCATTGAGGGGGTTGACTGTGATGGGCAGAACTACAAGGCTTCCTGTTCTATTAAGAGCTTGAATTATGCATATCATCTTGAAATCATTGAAGACTTGGATGACAATCGTGCTCATGAAGAGTTGGGCTCATCACAAACACTCAATGGCATCCCAAAAGCTGGTATACGGGAGCTGATTCCCATCCATCAATTCGCCAAGATATTCTACACCGACACTGGCAGATTACTCAACATTGGGGACGGAACAGATGGAGAAAACAGTCCAGTTCTGCTGCTGAAACGAGATATTAATGCGACTCGACTGCAGAGGCCAGAATGTGTAATGCATGGCGAGGTATACGACACCAGTGATGATGACAATAAGCAAGAAAAGGACGAGTATAATCAAGCTGATGTGGACCAACAACTTTTCGGGGAATCACAGGCGAAATCATCTATTTCTAGACGCTCTAAGGATGCCAAGGACATTTGTGCTACTGCTCTTCCCAAACATTTGGATCCCGAGTGGATAGCTTTCGAGGTTTTTGAAGAGCATGACGAGCAGAGCGATACAAGTTCAAACTCGGATCTTGATGCAGGTTTATCAGATGAAGTTGATGGATGCGGTCATTCACCAACAAAATCGCCGTCGCGGCTTCACACTGCCATGGACTCGATCCTGGTTTCCCAGATCAAAAACATCTCCATTTACCCTACGTCACGCAACGGTCTTGTTCTCAACAAATCGGACAGTGGAGTTGGACAGCCATCGCGAGACTTGACAGCAGATTCAGCAAGTGAGGCGCAAGACTTTGTGTCGCGGTCACCGTTTGGGGCCATCACTACATCGCTCTCTTTGATTGAGATGCTTATTCGGCTAGCCGGCCTCCAAGAATTCCAACAAGCTTCCCATTTGTCTATTCCAGACCACATCTTGACGTTTTTCTTGGAAGAAACGTCAACGACAGGATTGACTGGGGAGGCCATGTGGAGGGCTAGGAGTGAAACGAAGCAACGAGTAGGCTTTGATCCATATACTGACACTATGTAATTCTCGAGCAAATTGGGACTTGTCAAGACAACTGAGTTGAACGCAGAGACAAAATATAGCATGCGCATAGACAGAGTGATCTATGGATAAATTTGACCAGACTATTATGATCAACCGTTCTCGCTGAGACTTGGAATGCTATTGAGTGACAAGGGCCAATTAATTGTGCCAACCTATATCGCGCCTGTTCTCACCGAGACAACTGAAAACATCCGGAGAAGCATTCCAATGACTTGAATTGAGTTGGTGTTTTATTCTACAAACTCGTTAAGACTTTTCCTCATACTAGCTCTTCTATTAATTACTAAGGATTCTCGCCACCTCAGGAGTCCAACAAGTGATAAATGTTGGGGTTCTTGAGGGGTACATGCAACTTTGTATATACTGCATGCACGTCCAAAAAATTGATGCACCAGCCTCGGCTCCAGATGTTACCAACATCAATATATCATCAACGAGCCTCTATTCTCGGTTGCACTCGATTTTGTAGGATTATAATCAAAAGGAGCCGGGAAATGACACCTCTCATACCTCGCTTGCATCTCTTTGAGATCGACGACCAGCCATGGTAAGAGTCTCTCCAAGTTGTATCGCCGGTGCAACCTATCAATTCAGCTTCATTTTTCACCCAATTGGGTACTCTGAACATGATATTCCCATCAAAGAGGCCTCTAACGTTGAATTCCTCTAGGTTCCCTCCATTCCTACGCAGCCACGTCCAAGATGCTCTCACTTTGGCGTGGAACTCCAATACGCCTCTCCAGCCCGAGTCTCCCGCTCATATCGCCGCATCTACCCTTATACGCCAACTCGATAATTCGCTCTCTTCTTATACATTCATTGACTTCTGTGCCGGCGGAGGGGGACCTATACCCGCGATCCAGCAAGCCATCAACAGCCATCTCAGCTCTCTGGACGAGCCGCCCGTCGACTTCATCCTGACCGATCTACACCCTAATGTCGCGGCATGGCAGAAAATCGCCAATGAATATCCGCAAATCACGTTTGAGAGTCGGCCTGTGAATGCAAGCAACGCTTCAAGTATCTTGTGGAACGCCAAGATTGGAAACAATGTGATGCGGCTGTTCAACTTGTCCTTTCACCACTTTGACGATACTCTCGCAAGAGGCATTCTTAAAGACACAGTCGATACGGGTCATGGGTTTGCCATCTTTGAGCTTCAAGACCGTAGCTTCGCAAGTGTGATTAGCGTCTTGATGTTCGGAGTCGCAGCAATAGCCATGGCACCGTTCGTGGCCTTGAAACGGCGGTCTCTGTCCATATTCATATTTTCCTGTATCATCCCCGTACTCCCTTTTGTCCTGGTATTTGATGGAATTGTTTCGTGTCTGAGGATGAGAACGCCGGGGGAAGTAGAGACTCTCCTTCGTGGCTGTGGAGTGGACACGAGTTTATGGGAGATGCAGAGTGGGAGACGCAAATTCATCTGGCCATGTGGATATCTTAATTGGATCATTTGTAAACCCGTCGAAGAGTCTTAATATAAGTTATGTACAGAAGATGCGAGGATAAATGATGTTACAATGGTGGCATGCAGTTTCGTATGTTGCAATTGAAGCATTCACCTTCAACGGAACCACCAATTGACTGAACCATTTAGCTGTCCGTCCGATTTCTCGCTCCCGATAGAATGCCACCAGCCTTTTGGTATGAACAGGCCATCTCCGGCACGTAGTGTCACCTCTTGGACGTCTGTTGCCGTCGGTTCGTCTCCCCAAACGGCACTATGAAGCATCTCCCTTTCTTCTCCCTCCATCATCTCCGTGGATCTCATTCGACTGTTTCCTAACCGTCGAAGCTGCTTCTGCACGCCATTGTACAGCTCGAGTCCTTTCGCGGGTGGCATAAGCCTCACGACTTTGCTACTGCACAGCTGGCAGAACAAATTCGGGTTTGGGTCCCGGTGTAACGGGGTGTAAGTCGGCTCAGTCCCCAGCCATATCGAAGAGCTGTAAATATCGCCTTTACCCACTCTGCGAATCAGTTCCGGAGCTGGTACATCGCGCTGCAGAGCATCGGGGAGGTCTGGTAATAGAGATTGCGCAATGTAAAGCTGCACGGGTGGATTTGCTTCCAACCTTTGTGCATTATTAAATTCGAGTGCTTTAACTAGTAGCCTCAGAGGTGCATAAACTTGGAAGAATTGGTGCTGGCGAGAGGTTTCAGCAGTGGCAGTTTGAAGAGCTGCTGCTAGATCCCGGTCAACGCCAGCTTGGTTTAACAAGGTATCATGAAAAAGAGCAATCGTCTCAGATCCTCGGTTGACGGGCTTTATCAGCTCATAGGGAAAGTCCCATTGGAGGAAAGGATCCATGTACGAAGACAAAGACGTGCTCTGGTCATCTCTCGTGAACCATTTGTGAAAAGCCGGGAGAGTATGAGTAGGGGATGATTTCGAATCTGTAAACGGGTAGGGCCGTTCAGTTTTGAAGCTCTCTTCGAATGTAAGCCCATCCATGGCCCTAGGAATCGATGACGGTGGGCCATTTGCGGAAGTAAAGGCGCGAGATGATGCTCTGTGGGCTTGTGATGTCCAGTTACGTGTGATTTTGAGTGCCCTCAAGCTCCCCTTCATCTTGAATTAAAGAGCCCGAATGCTGGGGAATTGGGGAGATGAAGCTGTGCACCACTAAGAAGGCATTGATTGATTGAAGCATTCAATCCATCATCAGATGCTCAGTCTGGGTAGAGTGTACCTGAGCACATGCACAGGCTGCTGATCTGCCACAGGTACCCGCTACCTTAGTCTCGTCTCGACGCAGGCCCTCGCCGCCCGGAACCGGCAAAATCTGATGCCGATCCAGCCAGCCTCACCTCTTACTCTTAGTCATGTGTCTTTTCGCCAACCAACAGCCCAACCCACTCAACACCGCTGCCTGTCCGTCCGTCCATTTGCGCCTTTGACCAAACGCTTACAGCAAGTCAATCTTGCCAGACGCCCAGCCTTATCACAGGCCCGACACGAGGCTGCCAACCCCCGTCAGCGCTCGCAATCCGGGCCCCAGAGCTGCGTGATCCTGCCGATTCCCCCCAGCAGCAGATCAACTGGCGACACACAGCAAAGCCGCCCTTGTTCCGACGCCGCTTGGCCCATCCCCCGACACAGCTCGCCTCACTCACTTCAGTTCGTTGTTATTCTCATCTCATCACAGCCGGCAAGATACGCGCCCAGGCCGCTGCATTGGAGCCAAAAGTCACCCCGCCACGCCACGCCACGCCCAAGAGAACAGGCGCCCAGGCACTAACCCAGGCCCCTACAACCTGGCTGACTTGGGTATCTACCGCCACCCATACGCGACCTGCCACTTTGCACTTTTATCGGTTTTATCGATAATACCACCACGCCGAACCCCACCTCAGCCAGCCAAACACCTCTTCCAACCTCAAAATCCCCGAAACTTCAACCTCCAGCCCGCACGCTACCCGTGATTCAACAAGGCCAATCCTGTCCCTTGTTGCCGCTACCATGTCGACCTCTTCGGGGACGCCCGAGTCCTGGATCGCGAGCTTTTGCGCTCTGCCGGGGCACGAGTACTTTGCTGAGGTATCCGAGGAGTTTATCGAGGATGACTTCAACTTGACGGGCCTGCAGACGCAAGTTGCCATGTACAAAGAGGCTCTCGAGGTATGTTGCGCACCTATAGACTCATTCTGCCCCTTTGTTTCCTTTGTTTCTCCTCTCCCTCTCGTTATCTGATGACGTATTTGATGCTCCCCCCTAAATCATCTTGACCACCATTGCTAATTTGCGCCCCCAGATGATTCTCGATGTCGAGCCAGAGGATGACGAGGAGGAAGAAGAAGACGAGGAGGATGACGACGAAAACGAATCTGGTTTGGAGGAGCCCGACCGTGCAGGCGTGCGACACGGCGCAGAGCGGAGGCATCATAGCAGGATGGCTAGCGACCTGTCCGTCATCGAGTCGTCCGCGGAGATGCTCTACGGCCTCATCCACCAGCGCTTCATCTGCTCCCGGGTGGGCATCCAGCAAATGAGCGAAAAGTACGAGTTTGGTCATTTCGGCTGCTGCCCGCGAACGCACTGCGAGCAGGCACGCACCTTGCCTGTTGGCTTGTCCGACATTCCCGGCGAAGACACAGTCAAGCTCTTCTGCCCGTCCTGCCTCGACGTTTATGTCCCCCCTAACAGCCGGTTCCAGACTGTGGATGGCGCCTTCTTCGGCCGTACATTTGGAGCCCTCTTCCTCCTCACATTCCCCGAATACGACCTTACCAAGCGTGGCGCTGACGTGCTGTCAAGCACAAACTCCAAGGTGCCTGATGATGAAAACATTCTCAATGGCATGTACGCAAAGAACATTGCACCAGGCCTTGGCAGTGGTCATATTTATGAGCCCAAAATCTACGGCTTCAAGGTCTCAGAGCGCGCACGGTCAGGCCCTCGGATGCAATGGCTACGAGACCGACCAGACACCATCACCGAGCTGGATGAGGCACGACTTTACCACGAGCAAAACCCCGATTCCGAGGAGGAAGACGAAGAGTCCATGGCTGCCAACGGCCGGGCACTGGTCCGCCGACGACCACCGGGTAACGCTCGCCTTCGCCAGCGACAGAATCACAGCGGTAGCCCCATGGCTCTGTCCGCCAACGGTGCCGAGTCTGAGCTGTAGCGTAGCGAGACCTTACATAGCGACACTATAAGGAATTATGAACGACACAAGTCGAAGACAGCGCAAAAGACCATGGCTTACCGTAGACGACACGCACCTTATTGATGACTTTTTAACACGAAACAATACCGAATCACGACGGCGAAAGAGAGAACGGACAAGGAGACAAAGACCCAAACCAAAAAAAAAAAATCGTCATCTGTGGGATGGTGTTTAATCTATATCCTTAAATGCACGCAAGCGGGGGAGGGAGGCGAACAGTTTTTTTTGTTTTTTGAAAGAGTAATGCATACATGGCGTTGGAAGTGTATTGATATGCTTCGAGACATCCCCCTTCAAACTACTCACACGCACATCATTCTTTTTCATCACCCTTCTCCCTCCTCCCAAGATTTCCCTTGCTGCTTGTGGGATGCGAGGGGCCATGCGGTGCCAATTCTACTGTTCACATCATGTTTGCAAGGACTGAGCACGGGTGGTGATGACGTTCTAGGTTATGAGGGTGGCTATTTGCAGTTGGAATAGGGGCTTAGGAGGGTTAAGCATCAACAAAAAGAGGTAGGGCATAGCGGATTTGGTATGTTTAAGGAGAAGGGGGAGGGAGGCAAGACTTACGGTGGAAGACTGGCTTGCAGGATATGTTTAGTCTTCTGATAATACGGGGTACGAGGGGATGTCTTATTGCATAAACGCAGATATGGTTTTGTTTCTGTAAAAAAAAATTAACGGGATTATGTATATTTACTGATATGTCCTGATCTCCCTCCATACATTCATGCCATCCATACTTGTATGCCTATGATTTATGCGTCGGTTGTGAAGACAAGCGAAATAGAATGGTGCAACACTCTCATCTCTAACCTTGATGAAATAGACAATTCTGTGTCTGATTTTAGATCCACCATGACAGATTCTCCAAACAATGTAAATGCAATGCAGTATCCTCCTCGTTCATTGAAAACCAGCTCATGCAATTAATCACCTCATAGGCGATGCCTTCCCCGGCGTCCAACCCCCGCTGCCAAAGCCCCTAACTCTAGCTGGCGTACTTGGCGGAGGAGTAGGCGTAGGAGCACCTCCATTCTCCGGCGCCGGTAACGGGGGTGGTGTTTCCGACCTGGGGGCGTCAATGCCGTCCTTTCTAGGGGGCTTGAAGTTGACGTCCCTACCGGCACGATAAATGTCCTGCAGCATGGCCTCTAGAATGCCGGCATCTTCAAACTCGAGGTACTTCTTGTAGAGCTTCAGGGCCGTCCTGGAATCTTCGATGGAGTCGTGCGTCTCCATCTGGATGTCTTCCTTGAGCAGGTACCACGCCAAAAAGGCCAACGACAGTTTTCTCAGGCGCGACTTGAGGTAGAACCGATCTATCGTGTCGATGATCTGCGCCTTGGGGACGTGGATGTTGATGACTCGGAAGTCCTGTTTGAGCCCATGGCCCAGGAACTTGCAGCCCAAGTTGAGCAATATCCAAAGCTTCTTATACACCACTTTGTGGGGTAATAGACTGTGTTTTGTGGTGTGAGGGTTCAGGTCGTCTTCAGTGATGCCCGAATACGACGTCAAGTAGTCAACAATCGGTTCCGAGATGGAAATGTAATCGTCTATAAAGGGAACCCCTTCGTTTTCACCCTGGCCTCGGACAACAGAGGCACGGGCGAGTGCGTACACTATGGGTCGGATGGTCTCTCTCTCGCCATCTGAGTTCATCTCGATCTCTGGCTGCCGCACGGCAACGAATTCGGTATCTAGTGCCACAATCGTTGATGGCCCAGGCCGCTCCGTTGCAGGATCGAGGAGCTTGTACGTTTTACTTTCAGAGCGAGAACTGGGACTACAAGGACAAAGGTTAGCTTTTCGTTTCCCACATCCCGAATAGTGGCAATGACGGCGCAACTTACTTGAAGTCCTGGTACAAAATCGACGTATCGATGGTGTTTTTCCATCCATTATCGATCTTGTTATTTGCATTCTTGACCTGGAATGTAACAACCGAAGGGACTTTCCAGGAATTGTTAAAGGTAAGAGCTTCTTCTGTGCTGACGGGGCACACCAAGAAGTCGTTGAATAAGTGCCATTGGCTCTGGCTGGGAGCTTCTGCTTCCGCATGACCAACTGTAGCGAGGTTTTTTAGCAACATGATGCGAGGATTTTGAGAAGCAATAGTGTCTTACCATTTACCATGGCCACGAGATGTGGTTTTTGAGTCTGGCCGCTCTCAATGTTGATAGCCATTCCGATTAATGAGTAGACTGTGATGTTATGAATGCCGCGCTGAAGGTGAAGCTTCAAATCTTCCCCTTCGTAGCAAAAGAATTGGCCTTGCTCAACAATGATGCCAATCTCTTCCGGCAGCCAGCCAGGGGTGGACCAAAGCATTCGGTGATCCGAGCCGGTAATTGCGGTATTAAGCATTAAGACGTCTGGAACACTGTGAATGGTCTTCCTAGTTGCAATGGTTTGATATCGTTGACATCTCCCACACCACCCCTTTGACGTTGTTTCTCTCTCAACGCTGCTCTTAAGAATTTGAGAGAAAGTGATGCGTGGCGCTTTACTATTTCGCCCTGGGGTTTTCTGGAGATCAAGTCAGCAAAGTGCAACCAAGGAAACAAGGCCAATCCAACTTACAATAGGTGGATAAAGCAAGTCATTTACAAAGGTCGATCCAGGTCGGGTATATTCGCTTCTGCAGCTGAAACATCTAATGGTGCTTGTTGCCGAGGTCGCCAGTGCCTTATCCATTGCAGGGGATGTTGGGGCCATCGTCTTGTAGTCACCAGCAATTTTCTCCAGGAGAAACCGTGTGAGTCCCTGCAACATTACGTTGAGGGATGATGCATGAGTATCTTCTTCTAAAAGGCCCAGTGGTGCAGCTTGGGGTTGGTTGCTTAGAGCTTTTAGCATGTTTGTGGCTTGGCAGATTGATCCCTCCGCTTTCTGAAGCATATCAAAAAGGTAGCCCAGTTCGCACAGAAGACAGACCTCGCTCACACAGGCGGTAGCTGCATGTTGTAAAGCAAGATTTCGCAGTAATGGCGTAAAGTGCATTATTTGAAGAAGCGAATTTGCGTATGAGTTTGAGATGTGAATTTCAAGGCCTGAGTGTCGGGTTTGGTTATAGTATCCAAAATCGAAATCATCCACACCGAATTTACTGTACTTGATCTCGACGTTTCTGTACATCATGGGCAAATCGGATTTTCTACTGCCAACTTCCATCTCTGCCAGAGAATTTGAGAGCTCGTCTGTCTTATCTCCGGCACTGGACGATTCCGATTTGGCAAGATCTCGAGCTTTTTCACTAAGAAACTTTGGCGCCTTGAGACCAGAGTGGGCGGATTTGTGTACGCTGCGAGTGTCTTCGAGTTGATTTCTCCGAAGGCCTCGCATATTCCGGCCATAGAGTGCAAAGTCGGTAGGCTTAAGGTTCGCGAGGAACTGCGGATCAAACTTGACGGGAGGAGCTCCAACGTCAGATGGTAGTTCCGGCCAACAAGAGGCAAGGACTTGGCGATAGTATGGTAGGCCGACTGAGTTCAGAGGACTATATACCACGTTAGCCAACCAGCTTGGGAATAGAGAATACAAACATGTGCAACTCACCTTTCAGGTGTCCAATCCAGCTGGTGAATCGCCTCCTCGGGAGTAGCAAATTCAACAGGAGCAGGTAGATCGACGAAATGCAGTTTTGATGGCGATCCCCACAAATGGATCAAGCATTCTGCGTCAGTGAGGGCCATGGCCTCGCCAGAAGGAGCAATCTCGAACATGCTGAGGTAGCTAAGCACGTTGGCTTGTCGCACATTGCTAGTGTTAGGGTTCATGAGATCCACAACATGCATCTGGCCGCTTTGAGACACCACGATGCTGGTTGTGAGCATGCGCGGGTGCATGCGTACATATGCCGCGCCGGCAGGGAAGGGTATCGGCGGCATTGATGCCATCTTTCTAATATCAAAGACGTTGAGGAAGGGATCCAGCATATAATTCTGGCCCTGGCGCAGCGAGTAGCCGCATGTAACAATGAAGTCGTGTTGAGCATCCATGTCATTGATCAAGGCCGAATGAGCGTTCCAGGTCTTGACAACTGCAAAGGTAACAGGGTCCAAGAGGTCGACCGATCCGTTCCTCGTCGCCGCGCAAATGTAGCGTCCACGTTTCATAATCGAGTACTGATGCTCTGTTCGGACTTGTTTGACGACTTCTCCTTTAATGAGATCGATAACAAACATGCTGTCTTGGAGACCAGCAGCAATGATTTCCGCGGTTCCCTTCGAGGTGAAGCTCATGCATCTCAGGTCCTTCATATCGTCGTGCCTGAGATGCCAGATGGGGGGCCCTCTCCTGCTAGCCATATGTACATCTTTAGAGCCCAACACCACCACGCCTTTGCTGTTTACAAGAATCTGCCGAACCGGACCGTCCGTGGCCTGATGCGCCTTGAATGAAGTATGTTGTTGAAGCTCGGAACTGAGAAAGGAAGTGACTCGGCCCTATCATAAACATGTCAGAGGCCTGCACGTGCAAGCAGAGCATTCGCGACTTGTCTGAACATACATAGTCGTTGCCGGCCCATAGAAGCTCCTGGGTGGTATCAAAGGTCATTGTCGTGACTTGCGTTGGCAGCGCATGCACGCCCGGTGGCGGGAATGGCACCCGGGCAACCTAGGAGAGCAGAGATGTCAGAAATCACACTGAAGGTCGATGTCGAACAGCCTTGCCATGCCGCACAAGATGTCGTAATGGCCGGCCATGGCGAGAAGCGACTTACCTCATCCCAGTCTCCGTCCATTGTGGCCTCCCCCGGTACCAAAGCCCGTGTTAAGGGTCGCAATGATACCGTAAGCCCAAGAGAGGCTCCACGGGAGTCCAATCTAAGAATACAGACTCAATCGACAAAATCTCGGGACAGAAGCGATTCTGTTTCCACGAGAGAGCTAGAGCGGGAGGAACGCGACTTGTAGGAGGGGCAGTGAGGTCACTAGTATTATCCGAGATAATTCCGCAGGCCTACCCTACGGAAGCTGGAGATGTATATAGAGATGTTTGAATTGCTACCTATTGAGACGATGCGAGTGAATGATGATGAGAGAGAAGAAGGTGTGGTAATGGCCGGGGATATGGGAGAAATATATAGGTGCGCTTGTTTAGGCTTTTGTTTATTATGCGTCTGTTTTGATTATGGGATATCTTTTGCTCCATTGAGTGGAAACTTAATGCGACGGGTTGCGACGACAACAAGAGCGCCTCAAAAGTCTGACACTGTAGCTTTTAGGAGTAATCTTCATTGGCTCATAAAACACAAATAGTATTAGATAATATTGATGGGATGCAATCAAGGCTTGAATTTGAATAGCCATGGAGAAAACAAACCAAAAAGCTAACAAGGGAGAGGATCGGTACCGTCACCAGCAAGCACATCACACTCATCAAGTTATAAACAACTCTTTTTTATTTCATTTCTAGGAACTTGGTATATCGTGAAATTGACGGGATGTACGCCCTTTGGATTCCCTGGGAGCTGGACAACTGCCTCCCCCGACGGCTCTACCTCCACCTTCCATTTGGTCCTTGTTAATTCTCCCACCTCGTCCCAGAGACGCTGGAAGCTCTCCTGGTTGTGAAGATAGGGCGAGGAATCGTTCTTCTCAACCTCGCGAGCGGTGGTGACGCCCGCATGGCGGCCGTATATAAATGCGTTGCGTATTCCCGGCTGCAGAAAGTCGACAAGCCGTTTACCGATGTACAACTGCTGTTTCCAGCTAAATAGATGGAAGAAGCTTCCGGCGTGAACGATGCTGATCTGGCCGTTGAGCTCGTCCAAGCTTAGATCGTCGGGATCGGTCAAGTCTCCCACGGTAAAATGGGCGCCCAGGCTGTTCCTGTCTTGGAAGAGATCATAGCCTGATGACACCATGTGAGCACTCGAGTCGAGCCCAAACAACCGTGATCCATCAACGCCGTCATCTCGGAACTGGCGAAGAGCTTGTCCAAGCCCGCAGCCCAGGTCTAGGAGGGCGTCCCGAGATTTAGAGAGTCTGAGGCGGAAAAGAGCCTGCTGATAGCGAGAGTCGTTGGTTTCGTGTATTATTAAGAATTTCCATCGCCCAATAAAGGGCATTCTCGAACTCGCCCAAGCCGCTTCTCGCTATGAGAATCGATCAGATAAGCAGATGAACGACGGGCGACAGGCGCAGGTGACTTACAATCCTGATGAGATGAGGCTCGATTTCGTCGGCTGGGATCTTGCTATACCGGATGAGCAACTCCCGGATCGGCGCTATGTTATCCGGAAGATTGGGCATAAAGGCCCATTTTTGTATCTCTAAGATGTCCATTCCATGAGATGGAAAGAGGCTCCAGCACGCGACAAGATAGAGAGTAGACGCAAGCTACGGGATCGGTTCAGGGAGTGCGAGATGGATCAATCGCCGGTGTGCAGTGCAGAGGACGCGACTTTGCTCTCTCGATGGCCTAGACGAGCATGAGCAGCACCCAGGGATCCATCTAGCGGAGCGACAATCAAAGGAGACCGTCCATCTTGACCGACTGCAGAATTTTGACGCACTCCGTAAAACAAACGCAGGTATCAGACGGTGATTGGAAATGGTGTCAATGCAAGGGCTCGAGAGGCATGACGGTCAAGGTTGTGATGAGCTGGCAGAGGCTTGAAACGTATCCGAGGTATCAGCTCCATTGGCCCCGGCCCAGAGGAAGCAGGGCGAAGGACTATTAGGGAGGTAGACCTACTTGGTGCCTAGGCCAAAAGCCACCACACTGGACAGCAAATTTAGGTAAATGCTAAGCAAATGCTAGGCAAAGGGCTAGGGGGGAATATGCAAATAAAATGCAATCATGGTTCTATGCAGCTTCGACTGCAGCTTGACCCTCTTTTTGTTGCCCGCTGTGGAATGTTGCATGAGATGGAAATTGATAAGGGGAATGCTGACTCAGAAAACTGAGGTCAATGCCAATGCCGAGATAGCACCTAGGAGTGTTGCAGTAGGACTTGAGTGCTCCGTACCTTAGTACCTACCTCAGTACCAGGTACTAAGGTAGGTACTAAGGTAGGTATGTATGTGCCTTGTACAGTTTAATGCAGCTACTGTATTTAGTACGAGTACACCTTGACAGGTCAATTAAATCAAATCATCAAACAAGCAGCTCCCCCGGATGTCGGATCGGATTCTCCGGTGCTAACTAAGAGCAATAGACCCTGTTGCCTGTCCGTAGACCCTGTATCATACTCGTACTCGTACGGGTGCTACCTAGGTACTAATGTACTAGTCGAGGTACCTTAGAGGTATTAACGCATAAACTTGAAGACAAAGGGATAGCTGACTCATCATGCGCGCGGTCACCAGCCGGAATGACAGCGGAAGCAAAGACTCGGGCCAAAGAACGGAGTCGACTACGGAGTACTAGGTACGTACTCCGAAAATGCACGGAAAGCAGAAGCAGAGGCGAAACGCAGAAGCACCAGCAAGTTGAGCCGAGTATTTTCCGCCACGCCTCGGAGAAAATTCTTTCCTCCTCCCTCTCTACCGCCTAATGGAAGCGAAAAAGGGCACAGCAACATCCCGTCGCCTATTCCCACGCGGCGACGAGTTATTCCTTTCCGTTCAAACGGCCCAGTTTCGCAATTACCATCATCCGTATTCCAATGCGATAGAGTGTAAGTCAGCTATCCGGCCGCTTAGCGATGCCTGCAAACAAAAAGACAAGACAATCCAACCTCCAGTACCTACACTAGACACGCTGTCGAGTGACAAGCTGACAATGGCTTCAGTGTCCGTGTTGTGTCGGCGCCGGATCGCCTCTAGCAATCGCGTAACAACCGCGTCTGGCCCGTCTGCCGTATTTTCACCCGCCCACGACTCTGCGTAGAATCTCACAGGGTGTCATCATCACCACTGTCATCTCACCACAGCTTCACGTAACTCTCGTCCCGGCCATCATGGGTCCCGGTCGTGAGGGCGAGGCAGAGGAGGCCAACAACATGTCGTACCCTTCGCCGGGTGCCGAAGCCCTTGATGCGGGCCCATTCTATCATACAGCCACTCGCGATGAGGCTCATGAGCATGAGGAGCACCAGCAGACCCATGACCAGCATGATCCCACCCAGGTTCAGGTTCATGCGCAAGAGCAAGACCATGGCCAGTTGCCCACGCACACACACGAGTCGGCGTCTCCCCAGCATCACATCTCAAGACCGCCCAACCTGGAGGAGCTTCAGCTGGCCGCCCAGCTTGGACAGGGCTTGGCAGGAACCTCTCTTATCCCGGCCACTGATCCCAATATGAACGTGGAAGATGCGGGCATGCGTAACATTATGCCACACCCCGAGCCAGACCAGCACCAGACGCCATCGTATGTTCACGACACGCCGGCATCAGATCACATGGTGCCGCATGCGCTCCCAGTTGCCGTGGGGCCTCCGCTGCCACCGCAATATGCCATGGGGGGAGATGGCATCCCACCGAGAAAGCGATCCAAGGTGTCGCGTGCTTGTGACGAGTGCCGGCGAAAGAAGATCAAATGTGACGCTCAGTCGGATACTGGTGATAGCCCCTGTTCCAGTTGTGCTCGGTCATCTATGCGATGTCTGTTCAGCCGTGTTCCTCAAAAGCGCGGCCCGAGTAAGGGGTACGAATAAACACAGCCTTTTTCTTTTGTTGTCTTGCTATTGCATTGGCCGTTGCAGAATACTCTGATGAGCTGACATATGAGACAGGTATATCAAAGAGCTGGCAGACAGGATCCATAGCATCGAGAACAAGCTGGAGTCTGAAGGTAGCCTTACCCAGGACGAAATTGACCGACTCTTGACCCCAGGAAGCCATCGAGCTTACAATGGCTTAGCCCCCCCCGAGGACCCAAGCCGGAAGAGACCGTTTTCCAGCATAGCAGCGACCGACTTCAACGCAACAGCTCCTCCTCGACAGGCGCCATGGGGGCCAGAGTCGCGACCCATAATACCTCCCGCTGCATCTTCAGACAGCTTTGCAGGCCCGACGTTTGCTAACAATGCACTGGCGCCTCCATCTTCGGCGATCAAAACGGACAGCGCGCCACCAAAGCCACCCGTGGCAGCAATGGACTCGCAGGTTGTGGAAACAGAGGAGGTGCCAGAGATTGATGAAGATTCGTTACACGAGTAAGCATCCCCCATCCCCTTACCTTTCCCGGAGCCAAAGCTGATCAAGTATGCAGCTATCTCGCCCACGTTCAAGCTATATATCCCATACTCCCCAGCAGCAAGGCAAGAATTCAGTCTTTGCTATCTCAATGCCCGTCTACCGTGAGGACGGCATTCATCACAGCTCTTCACGCAGTCGGACAGTCATCAGGAGACACGCAAACTGCGAGTTCCCTTTTGCACGAGTGGGAGAGCAGCGAGGCGCCACACTCGCGTGCCACCGACATTGTGCATGCCCAGACGCTTCTCCTCCTGATCATCGACGCAGACTGGCGCGCCTCGTCCCAGCTGCCGTTTCTCCTAGCCAGAGCAGTGGCGCTTGCAAACACGATGAAGCTGTGGAAGTTTACGCCGATAGAATCTGCCTCGGAATCAGACTCTGACGATCAGCTGTGCGTGCGGATCTGGTGGTCTCTTGTGCTGATGGATCGCTGGCACGCGGCTGGAACGGGAAAACCAGCGCAGATCCCGGACAGCAGCGTTGTTGCGCCCGCCGGGCTGGAGAACACCCTGGGCGAGGTGTGCTACTATTTAAACCGTAAGTTGGAAAGCAGCAAAGGAAACATGCCGCTCTAAACTGTCACTAATGGGGATTTGCCTAGGGTTATCGAAGCTGCTAAACAGGACTGCGTTTGTGATTTCCACGATGCAGCCGGGCACGTCTACCGCCGAACCTGCCATGGCGGCCATTCTTGCGGACTACATAGAGAATTACCGCGAGGACCTCCCAGGCCACATTGAGGCTGCCTCGTACCCATTGGTGCATCTCGCGTACTGGCATTGCAAGCTACTGGTGACATTGTTAACGCCCGGGGCCACGCCAACCGAGACGCTGTGGCCGACGTCTGAACTGGCGACCTTGCTGCTGGCAAATGCGCACCTCAGGAGCCCCTTTACCAACCATTTCGTGTCCCTGGTCACCATGTCACTGTCCAAACTGTCCAAGATGGACAGCTCCCGCGAAGGCGCTGTGCGGCTAATGAAGGAGATCTTGGAGAAGCCCAGCGGAGGCCACTGGGACAGCGTCAGGGAGAAGCTAACCGAACAGCTGCGGCCGACGTCGTCGGTGGAGGCTACTGCAAGCCAAGGGCTGCAGCATCTGGCGGATTTGGCGACGGCCCATGAGGGCATTGCGCCTGGCCCAGACGACATTACGTTTGGTCCCACGCTCGCGTCGGGCTATCTCGACGTTGCTTAGGAGATGGAAGACGCTGTATTGTTGACGACATTGTTGGCTGAGTTGACGACGTCTGGATAAATGAGGCCAGGAGATTGAAGCTGGACTGTATCTGTATAATTAGCACCCTGTTTGATTCCCGTCCTTTCTCCCCCTTGTCGTCCTGTTTTGCATGTGGTATGGGCTATATGGGTTTACTGTGAAAGCCTAGCGGTGGAGAGCAGCTTTTGGTGCTGCAGCCATGGTGTCAAAAGTCTCTGGCTTGATTGACAGGGCCATGTCACTGGTCGGTTTTGCTCTTGGATTGACCCAAAGGCATACACGAAACGACCACACTACTCGTTAGATACAGGATGCTAGCTGATGGGCACTGCCGGGACGTTCTGCGTAGATGCCATACTAGGCAGACGAAGAGTAATGAAAAAAACAAAACAAATCCCTGCGCCTTGTCCACCCCAGTCGATCGGTGAGGCTGAGATGGTGCCATGGGGAGGATCTACTGGGTAATTCCTGTCCAGCGTATGTATGGATCCTTCTGCCGAGCCACCCTTTTTTTTTCTTTTGTTTGATTGCATGTTTGACATTACCCGATCTCGCCTTTTTTACCTTACCCCAGCAAGCAAAAGAAAATCAGCTCTCTTTACTTCAAACAATTGCTCATTGGTTTGTGCCGCTAAAACCTGCGCCTTGTGTGTGTGCTGATGGCTGCGGCTGGACTCTTGACCCAGCCAATAAAACCCCGTACCAAAATTGGCCCAACAGACAGCCCGCCGTGTTAAAAGAAAAAAAAAAAAAAACGAAAGCTGTTCCTGTTTCTTCGTCCCGAAACATTCCCTTCTTCTCACCCCCCCCCATGAGGTTGATCGCCGGCCCTTTCCGCTCTCCTATCCATTCAAGCCATTCTTCCCCAACCCCGGGGCGGGCGCTTCCTAAAAGGTCAAGGGAACGAACGAGACATAACAACATGACATGCACATACACCGAGAAAAAATCGGGCGGCGACTTGAATGGCATCATCCCCCTCCCATCAATAGCCTTTTTTTTTTTTTTTTTTTTTTTTTTGCCTTTTGATTGCCACCGTATCTAATTTGGCCTATCCGGCTCTATTCCAATACGAACAAACAGGAAGAGAGAAAAACAAAAAAAGAACCCCACGTACGTACGGTTAAGCCAACCAACCCATCATCTCAGCAGCCCCAAACAACGCTTCCAATTGGTAAGTGTACTGTACATAGGTACTGTATGTAGCCACTCTCCCACGCCAAGATCAGCCAATTCCTGCATGTCACAGACTGGCCCAGACCTTTCACACACACTCTCTCTGCTCTCTTCGCCCTCTCCTACTGGCGATGCAAAGAACCTAGCATTTCAACATTCCGGAGTATTATCTCTCCTTTCCCCTCCTCCTCCATATCTCCCCTCCCCCAGACAAGTCGGCATGTACGTTACATACAGTATCTTCGGACCTTTTACATCATGCCTTGTTTCCCCTTTCCTCCGTTTCTTACCCCTCTCCCCTAAAAATAAAAAAAACATGATGGCATGACACAATAGAATACAGGACGACTACAAGTTCAAAGCCATCTGCGTCCATGTCCCACGAGTATGTCCGTCATCTGTCTCGCACGGCGGCCGCGTCTTCACCCCCCCAAAGCCTTTTCGGTGGGATCACTCCACGTCCACTCGTACATTCGTTTCCTTTTCCCGGCCCTCATTCTCATTGGATCCATTAGATCTCGGTCCAAGTTTCCTCTTTTTTTTTGTGGACTTGGCAGAATGCCCACCTTGGCGTTTCTCTCTCTCTCTCTTCTCCAGTGACAACCAGCTTTTTAGTGCAAAGTGGCGGGTACCTCTCGACCTTAAAACTTGCCTATACGTTTCTAGCAAAAGCCCGTTCCTAGCACGTTTCTTGTTCCCCAGAGCTTTTCCAAGCCCTTTCTTGTCTGGTGCTATTTAGATTCATACGGAGTACTTGGTTCCTGAAGCCGTAGCCACACGTTCTCGCCGTACCTGAACTTAACAACCACTACTCTGATAGCTTATCCCGTTAGTCTAGTAAGAAAAAAGAAACCTGAAAAAAAAAAATCTTCACCCTCTCTAAAACACAGTCCGCCGGAGGCTCTGGAACAATCCAATTGACAGCAAATACAGTGTTGGTTCGCCGCACAAAACACCCGTTAGGTAATGCCCCAAGCGCTCTCGTAGTATCCCGGCCAAGACGACCGGCATCTGCCACCAATTACCGTCAATTTACATAGCCGTTGGGGCCGTCATGAATGCCCTGCCTCGGTGGCGTTGTCTGTGCTGCAACATGGGACGCCCAAAAGTTGCTTGTTTTAGACCAAAAGTCGCTGCTTTCTATTGTTGCGCAGAGTCTATATACTGAAACATGACATGATTCAAATGATCAAAAAAAAGAAGATAAAAAAAAAAGAATTCAAGGCGCGACCCCTATCGGATCGTCCCGAGAATAAACAACGGTCTATCTGTCCCATAAAACTGTAATATGTGCAGCGACTCTGAACAATGCTCCGCCAAGTTGCGGGCTTGCAGCAAGAAAGAGAAAAAAGCCATCATCATGTCCTCGTAAAGCCAAGCGAGCCATTGGGCCGGCTAAGGCCAGTGAGAAAAAGATCCAAACGAAAAATCAGGTAGTAGACGCATGGGACCCTCCACCCAACAACGCAGATCCAGCGTCATCAAGCAAGTAAAAGAGAGAAGAAAAAACAGCCCAGCGACGCACCGATCAAAACCCCAGACACCGAAGCCTTGTCCCACCTTCATTGCCCACGTTTCCCCCCTCCTAAGTTGCCCCTGGTCCCCACCCCACAAATTGTAGCCCATGCCCCATTGTATGATTTCTAGAGACGAGGAAAAAAAAAGGTGTCCGCTTGTTTCCTAACCAGCAGGGCCGGTGTTTCAGCGGACAGGAAAAAGAAAAGGTGAAGACAAGAGAGAGGCTGGCTCGAGTTGAGTCGTAGGCGCTGTTCCGGAGTAAGCCTAAGCTAAGCCAAGCCACTGTCCATCTCCAAAGAAGCGAAACAAGGAAATTTGGATGCTCGCAGAAAAAAAGTGTCGCTCAAGTATAGCCGACCGAATGAATCAGATACGCCCTCCAGACCATAAATGCCCTTTTTTTTGTGTCGTTGTATATAGCGGGTTCCCAACGCCTCTGTCGTTAACGCGTTCAAGATGCCAACCACCATTGGGGTATTCTGTGCGCCAGGTAAAAATGAGAATAAATCAAAAGACCAAACAATAAAGGGGGGGCAAATGTATTCCCAGATAGAAGGTTAAAAAAAAATCTCGAAATGCCATGAATCACATTTCCCAGTAGCCGCCTAATGAGCCAGCGCCGAGCGTATCGGTGTTCTCCTCTACCGCGGCGACGTTGCCGCTGTAGTTGGGAATGTAGAAGGCGGGGTCGTCCTCGACCGTGGAGAAGTCGCCGGTGAGAGCCTGGTTGTCGGCCTTGTCGAAGAGGCTGTAGTCGAGGCTGGCCAGGTCGACGTTTGGTCGGAGGAAGCTGCTGCTGGTGGCAAATCCTTCAAAGTCGCCCTCGCCGCCGGGCATGAAATCTTCCACTTCGGAGACATCGCCGGACGTGGACCTTGTGCCGGCCAAATTGGGCAGCTGCTCGGAGCCGCTGCCGAAATCGAGCTGGCCGGTGAACTGCGTGCCGGCCTGGCTGTAGCTCGAGGGGGTGAAGCTCTCGCCGTTTGCTTCCCTCAGGTCGAGGTGGCTCCAGTCGACCGACTGCGCCAGGCTCGCGCTCATGATGGGCCCGTCGCCATCCGGGAGGCCGCTGGAAAACAGGTCAAAGCTGGTGCTGCCGGCATAGGTGGAGTAGTTCGAGATGCTGGAAAGATCGAGGGGTGGCAGATTGCCGTTGAGCTGCGAAAAGGTAGAGGCAGACATGAGAGGGGACGTCGCCTCCGACTTGACCAGTCGCTGTTCCCGGGCGAGGAAGCTGTGCTGCAACGACGCGTGACCCTCGTTCTGTGCTTGATAGAGGAGGTTGTCGGTGCTGGTGCCAAGGCTTCCGGCGCTGGCGGCCGAGTTGACCCTGTTGAGCTGATACGGCCCGCACTTTTGTGAGGCACGGTTGTGCTTGGCCGGTTTGTGGTGGCCGTGCTGGTCAAAGGTCAATCCGCCAATGTCGGACGAGTGAATCGTGTTGGCCCGTCGCCGCCTTGGAACAGGTCGAGGAGGCAGTGTGGCAGCCTTTGCCATTTCGCCCTCCGAATCGGACTCCGGGACCGTGTCCAGTGCCACGTCCTTCTTCCCGGCACAGGTGCATCGTCCGCCATGGTTGCAGCAGCACGTCTCTGCATGACATGATGACAGATTAGAACCGGGAGCTTGTGGAGGAGGACACGCAGCCTCGTATTCTGTAAAGCTGTAAAACTCACCAAGGTGTCCGTCCACGGGCGGTTGCAGGTGAATGCACTTGCTCGTCTTCTCGCCGCAATCGCACTTGATGTGAGCGGACCGGGACTTGCGCTGCGAGCGACAGTGCGCACATTGCGAGACGGGACGGCCCTTCTTGTTAATGTGTTGAAGAGGACGACCTGCAGCGCTGTCAGTTAGCAATTGACCTTTGCGACAAGTGTTTTCGTCTTCTTTCCGTAGTTGCGTTGCCCGTGGTGGCACAAGCCTTGGTAGAGTTTTTGGCTGTCCAGCCTCCGCCAACTGGTAGTTCGAGGCCGACAAGGACCAAAAAAAGGCCAATTCAAGACCGGGACACCACGGTAATTTTTGGAGATGGAGGGGAGAATGCCCGCCGCGGGGCAGAAACCACTTTGACTGGGACTGGGTATATGCGGGCGACTCACCTGAATGTTGACAGTTGCTGACGCGGTGGCCGCGCACGCAAGCCTCACAGGCAAACTTCTCGCCGTCAATTATCATCATGGATGAGGCTGTGGAACTGTGGTTCTAGTGAGGGCGACAGGCGGGCTGCGGTTCAAAAGTGATGGATTAAAAGAAGAGTTTAAAGGTCGCTGGCGGGCTGGTGTTCGGCTCTGGATCGGCGGCTCGGGGCACGGGGAAAAGGGCAGGGCCAAGTTGGGTCGAGCAAACAGGGCCGAAGCAATTTTGTGTGCGTGTGCGTCTGCGCTATTCCGCCGAACCTGGGGGGTGTCTGTAGCTACTACTATAGTAGGCAGGGTGGGAACTGATGCACAGTTGCATGCGCTACAGGCGCATCAGTAGCTAGAAAGGGGAATGCCAAAACCCGCCCAGGATGAAGAGAGACTGTGTTGCAGAGCTGAACGGGAACCTTGTCAGACAGACAGACAGACAGACGCTGTGCCGGCGGATGAGAGAGACGAGACAAGAGAGGAGAGGAGAGGAGAGAGAGAGAGAGAGAAGAAGAGAGTGGAAGAGGAGAGTGACGAGAGTGGTATGGAGAATGAGAGGGTGGGTAAATGTTAATGTCTGGTGTGCAAGCAATTCTCCGCGTTGCTTTGCAACCTCAAGCCAAGGTAGCTGTTCTCGTACTTGTACTTGGATGCCGTGCTGCAGGGTCTAAGTGCAAGTGCAAGTACAAGTGCAGGTGCAAGTATTGACACCGTGATCAAAGTTCAAGTCTTGGGTGCACAGCTGAGTCGAGCGGCCAAAGTAAAGTGGGCAGACTAGAGATAGCAACCTGAACTGAACCGGTCGATACAGGCAGGGGTTGCCGCCAATGCTCTTTAATATTTGATTAAAAAGTGGTGAGCCGGAATCGAGTGGCGGCAGACGGTTAACCGTCCAGAGCGTGCTGCTCCCGTGTCTGCCGTGTCCGTACAGGTACAGCTGCGGAAAGGCAAGCGAGTTTGGCGCCAGCTCTGCGAAAGCCCACTAGCTCCAAAAGCTGGGCCGGTACCCAAGGTCGAATTAGCCAGGTCAGCCGGGGTCTGCTCAGTGTCGTCAACCTGCAGCAGTAGGCGGATCCCAGCCAGACACGTTCTGCTGTGCGCGCACGCGGGTAACAATAGCCGTGGTAACGTGAGGTGAGAAATGGTGGTAGCAGCGGAGGGGGGGCAATGACGGCAGATGAGGATAGCACGACGCTGAAGAATGTTGCCCGAGTTGGGTAGATGGATGGATGGTGGTGACGGAGACAACTCGAAGTTCCAGGAAGAAGGAATCGGAATCAAAGAGTTGAAGAGTTGAAGGAGTCAAGCAAGGATCGAGAAACAAGGCAACGAGATGAGAAGATAGATGCAATGAGGAGGCAAAAGAGGCTCCGAACGTCGCCGCGGACAGGACAGGACAGGACGGGCTCAGCTCAGCTCAGGACCACTGGTTTATTCTTGGATCTCTGATGCGTGTAAGACGATGAACGGGCAGGAGCAAGAGAAGGAAAAAAAAAAAAAAGCGGGAGCAAGATCGTCAGCCCGTCGAGAGGGCAGTGTTTCTGTATATATGGGATGTCTTGGAACGCGCATGGCAACCATGCACGAGCACGGAACCAGCTTTCTTTCTTTGGGTTCATCGCCTTGCTGCCAGTCAGCTCAGTTCTGTCTGGCTCGTGCTTGGCCCCGAATTTCCATCAAACAGCATCCCATCCTGAATCAAACACTGGCCGACGGTGGGCTGGCACAATGACGGTTGTCACAGCTTGCTTGGGGCCCGGGGGTGCGACTCGACTCGACCTGTCGACAAGGGAGCTTCCCGGGCCCTTCTGAGCCCCATGGCCCAGGTTCGACGCCGCCATGCCGCTTCCAGCGCAAGGCGCGTGGGACGCCGATGCAGAACAAGCAACGCAGGCAGTTTCGCAGCGCCGCGCTTGTACATGCCGTACCGTACCGTACAGTGCCAGGTCGGATCCTGCAGGCTTGCGGCGGCTCCGCTCGAGCGAAAGTGCAAAAATGATACACGGGGCTCCAGATGCGTGGCGCACAGGGCGAAGGTGGTTAGCTGTAGTGGTAATGCGTCGTCGTGATGGTGTGCAGCCGTCCATGGTCGCATGAGTGGGATGCGCCCGAAGCCGTAGAATCCCGTTCGTCTACCATTTGCGCGGCCAGCGTTGCGCGACCGAGCGTGGAGTGAGAAGAGAGCCCGGGAAGCTCAATGCTCAACCTTCAATCGCCCGCCGTCTTGTTGTCTCGCCTCTCTTGTTCAAGATGCGATGCGATGGATGCGCGAGAGAGGGGGGGCAATGACAGCCAGCTAGTCGGGGGTACGAAGCGCCTGGTACCTGCATCCATCGAGGCAAGGTGCCTTAGCACAAGCAGGCGCTGTAGGTACCTGTATGCCCGCTTCAGGTAGGTACTGGTACCTAGTACCGGGGGACGGCCATCGGCGGTACAGGTCTGGCTGGGGCAATTTCTGCTGCCTGCCTACCTACCTCACCTAAGCAGTATGGGCAATGCACTGCACCTTTCTAGCCGTCATCAACGCAACACCAACAACACAAAGCTGCCGTTGGGTGATTTCTGCTGTAGATTATACCCATGTCTCACGCGTTATCACATCAAATGCAAGGTGCCATTATGATTGTACGAGTACTCGTGCAGTACAGTACTCATACAGGTTTCGGCCGAGCTTCACAGGGACTTCGCACCGACTGCCGAACTTAATACGGCCCAGCTGGGACTCGACGATACGGACGTGGGAAGCATTGCTCCGTCCCCAGTTCTGATATCCGTACAATGCACGTACGGAGAACAAAAGTAGTGCTCCGTACGCTACAGGCTCAGATCCCGCGGCGTCTTGTCCTCTTTCGAGCCAGGCTTGTCCCGTATCGAGAAGCGCCTGCGGTAGACCTTGGCCTTGGCGTCGAACGGGCACATCCTCTTCGAAGCCTAGCAGGCTCTCAAAGGGCATTGCGCCATTCGCCCGCCCTGCCACGGCCTTCAACTAAACAATTTCGTGCAGTTGACCCTCTCCACCGATCATGTCCTTCGCTATTCGCGGCATGAAAAAACCCAATCCCAACAGCCGTTATGCTCCGTGGGTGGGGACCCGTTTGGCGTTTGATAGCCTCTGGCCGATGATCCCTGGGGAAATTTTCCGGATATGCTCTGGCCCAGGCGAGACCCTGAAGAATGATGCCCTGTTCGATTCTTGCATCCGAACCGTACCGTACCGTGCTGTGCTGTAGCTCGATGTCAGTTATTATTGGTTTGTATCGTACTCCGTATCTTTTTTGGCATTCCGCGGATATGATAGGTATGATGCTTCGTTAGCAGGCTGGGATGGCCGGGCAACCAGTTGCTCTCTCTCTCTCTCTCTCTCTGTCTCTCCCTCTCTTTCAGTGTGTCCGTCTCTCACGCTCTGTCTGGTTGTCGTCTTCGAGTCACGCCTGCTCCCTCGATACGAACAAAGCACGCGGCCCTTTTGATCGACCGCCCAGCCGCTTCCTCTCGTCTGCACTGCCTGTCATGCCAAGCTGTTTGTGCAAGCGGCTGGTAGCAACGTCGGTTACGATCTGACATATTGGTCAACCATTGCGGGCAAAGGACATGGCGAAACTGAGTGCGGGATACTGCGTACGGGATAGCCATGATAGAATGTGCTTGGCCGTGCCAGAAACTCGCTGCTGCTTTCTTGTGCCTGGCCACCCCTTTGAGGCGTCTCCACCGTCATCTGCGTCCGTCCTTGGGAACGGTACTCGGTCCGTGCCTGTGCTGTGGTACTTTTCGTCACGACGGCGACGGGGGCTTTGTCACCTTGATTAGTACAGGGATGGTGCAGATAAGCTGATACGCCGTAATGAAATGCACTGTACCATTGCATATTGGCATTTGGCATTCGGTACCGAGCAAGGGAAGCAATTCCAGAGCGACTGACTAGTGCGTGATGCGCTTCTGCTGCTTCCATCCCCTTAGCTGACGAGGCTGTCAGTACCTTAATTCACCCTGTGCGACCACGGGGCCGCAGGTAGGCAAGTGTACGGTTGCAACGACGAGAGCGTTCGGTAATGTCATGGCCGAGCAATCCATATCCATCCTGCAGGTAAAAGGGACGCCTGTACGAGTACTGTAGGTAGGTGCTGTATCCATCCAGTTGGCTGACAACATGCCGTCTCTCACCTTGGCGGTTGGTACAGCTGCACCCAAAAGGTAATGGAACCCTTCAAGGCAGCAGCAATGTGACTTGTGCCAGCGCTATTCGTGTCTGTGCATTACGAGGATTTGTATCAGAATAGCCTGCAGGCCACCTATTGGCATTCGGCCCATCGCTACAAGGCCTAGAGCTCGTAAAGTCAATCCTGCGAAATTGAACGGCCAACAGCCCTTTGCGCATGGCATGGCGATGCTGTTGCTCCGCGGACGTGAACTCAGGGGCGTGTGAAAGCAGACCCGGACCCCTAGTGACGTAATTGCTCGTGCTCTCTGCCCTGCTCCCACGATGCTGCACATGCTCACACCTGTGCCGAATCCATAGAAAATACTATCCAACGGCCTTCCGTTTCGACCACGGTCACAGTACTGGAACTTGTCTTGGCATGTGGTGCTCTCTCTCCACCTCAATATCAACAAGTCCTCGTGCTTGTACATGTGCAGTTAGCTACCTCCAGACCAAGGGCTGCAGCGAAGAGTACTAGGTAGGTAGTATTAATAGTTGACTCCATCGCCTTAGTGTAAGATCAAGTGCAAAGCGTACAAGTCGAGATTAGTCTGTGTACGGCACAGTAGCAGCACCATTAGGCCGATAAATCGCGATGAAAGGGAACGGGCATGGGGGGTTTACGTGGGGAACACAATGGTGTATCTGACTCGTCAAATGGCTGACGGCTAGGCACTGGGTTGAATTTCCCAAACAAATGACTTGTCTAGCTTCCCTTTCAAACCAGGAGCTATTAAAAGAGGATCGGCGCCAGCCATGCCTGTACGATTGGCTGCCACCCTCGAGGTGGGCTTTTTGTTGCAGCGTGTTAGGGGTGGTCTGGACCGAGACCTTCGTCCATCCATTCAACCAATACCACTGTGTTGCGTCCGTATTGAGACGCCTCTGCATCAGAAATTGCGATGACCGCGCATCGAATCTCATTGTCCCAGGTCCAGCTGCATGATGGGGATGGTCCCCGAGGCGGCGGCTCCAGGGGGGAATTACAGGCACATGTATGATCAAATGTCGAATGTTTGGCACTAATCCGGTGCTTTGCAGGCATCAAGGCACCGTACCTGGTGCTACTGCTTCGAGTACAGCTCATGCTCCTGCTCATGCTCCTGCTCCCGTCTGTACGGAGCACGTATATCTGCTGCATAACAGCCGGACGAGTCTAGGTTGTGTCTTTGCTCGCGGCAAGATGAGTCGGGTAGTAGCACCGAGCCAGGAGATGAGACTGCAGGCTCCTTTGCAGTCAGTGTGATGCACACGCACAGCTACACGTGCAATACGGTATCAACACATACGAGTACATACCTGTGCTCGTACACAACCTGCGCCTCAATCTGACCGTATCAAAAGCTCGTGACACCCACCTGGCGCCTGGAAAGGTAGTAGGGAGCAAATAGCCCCGATTTCTAGGCCCATCTCATCGACACTTTGCGGTCCATTCAGCTCGCGGATCAGACATGCCTTACTCTTTCTCCCACGCTCACTCACACGCCTTGTCCCGTCGCATGCGGCTGGGATATGATGCAATTTGTGGTTAGTCATGGACTCGAGCCCAGCCTCCACCCAACGTTGCCTCCAGATCAAGAGCCCACGGAGCCAAATCAAAGTTGGGGGGGGGGGGATGGATGAGGCGAGTTGGATGCGTGGCGTTCGCACTGTCTTCAGGTCGACCGAAAATGGATCGGAATCGCAGACGCGCCATGATTGGCAGAGACGACTAGGAATCACAAGCGCCAAAACGGATCTCGAAATAGTTGATCTTCTAGAACTACACCAAACGCCCTCTGCTCATTGGACGTCGGCGAGGGCATCGAGGCCCAGCAAGCTAAAACTTGGCCTTCGTCACTCTGCGACAGGTCGGCCGTCGCTGTGTCCAACGTGCCTGCGCACATGTCTAGGGAAGCGAGGGAAGCGCACACCCCTGGCCGTGTTTTGCTCGTCTCCCACACCGAAGAGCGAAGAGGATGATGTCGACGAAGCCATCGCCGGGCGTTTGATTTGGTTCTTTGCTCTGGCAGCTGAGCTGAAGAGCGCCGACGAGCGCCGACGAGATCTACAGACAAATTGGGCGCGCCGCAATTGCGGCCCGACACGATCGGCATCGCCCGGAGAGACGAGCTGATGGAATGTGTGCAATGTAGGCATGTAAGGCCCAAGTATGTAAGGTAAAGTGTGTGCGAGCTGCAGCCCCATGCAGCAATAATCGTCGTTGAAGAAGCGCCGCGGCCTGCCTTAGTCGCGTCCCTTCGGTCCGGAGTGTATCTTCATTTTCAGCATGCGCCGCCCTTTGCGCGCCCGCTCGACGAGCCTCGTGCTCATATAATTGGAAGCGTGCGCCCTCATTCATACCCAACTTCTGATATCCTACCGGCCTATCCAAATGCGCAGCTCGGGAAATGGCACGCGAACGCCTCGATTTTTGTGGAGAGAGTGCCAAAAGGATGGATGGATGGATGCACGGTTGCTTGCTTGCTTGCTTGCTTGGTTGATCGAGTGACTGAGAGTGATTGATTGATTGACTGCCGGTTTGTCGCCAACGGTTGATTAATTACATGTGTCAATTGCCATGCCCTTTTGCCCTCCGTTTATCCCGTCCGTGTGATTGGGCCGCTGGGCTCGATATCGGATCACAAAAATTTCACCCAAAAATCCCCATCTGCCCCGCCTTCTAAGCGCGCTGCCCGACCTTCAGCCAGTCAGTTAAAAGCCGGTCTTTTTTTTTTCTCTCTTCCATCAGGCTGCCGAGTTTTCTTTCTCCCACACACACACGCGCGCACACACACACTTTCTCGATAACTCGGTGCTTCGTCCGACTGCACTATGACGTTCCTGACAACCTCGATTATGCTCTAACGCTGGTCATCCTTCCCGTCCGGCGCGCGTAAGAAGAGGGGGTTTGGTTTCGTGTCTCGGGCTGCAAACTTTTTTCCTCTGCCATCTTACCATGAGCTGGGATTGTGATTTTTTTTGGCGTTCAAAAGCCACTACCGCCCGCGCACAAACTTGATCAAAAATGTCATGGCGGGTTATACCCAGGAGCCACTGTTTTTGACACGGTGAGGTAGAGCCGCCTATTCCGGCGGCTTCGGTAAGGCATCTTCGGATTCGAGGGCCGAACAAAACGGCATTCCGAACATGCACCGGCCTCACCGCGATTGATCGGCCGTTTGCCTTCGGCTTACCTTTTCTAAGAACTCTGACTCGAGTTCGATAACAGGTTCCTCTGGTGACATGGCGACACCGCTCATTCTGATGCGGCTGTGACTTTGTTTTGTTTTTTGTTTTTGTTTTTGCCAGATATGACGTTGCTTTTATAGCTTCGTCTATCGACATCTCCGTTCATCTCCCATTGACCTAGATGTTTTCGCACTGGCATAGATCAATTTAGCTCGTTGCTGGGCACCCGGCTTGGAGATGTCGTTTTGTACATCAAAGACAGGCCGGGAATCAGCTGTAGAAACATTTCATCTCGTAACTCGTACGTGCTGTAAAACTACCTAACAAAGGAGTCTTCTCCCAGCGCGGATAGGGCGGCCCCAGTCGATGGGTTTAAGCATCCCCGGATACGTCGTACCTTGAACGAGTACACGTACGGGCAGATCGCGTCTGCACACTCCTCTTCTGACTCGTTTCGAGACCATGAATCGTACAAACTGCTATCCTCGGCAATTAAAGACCTGGGTCTGTGGTGAATGCCGTAGACTATAATTGCATAGTTAAACTCAATTGCAGCGGTTTTCTGCCATGATGTCATAGCCACCCTTTTCTCTCTCCTTTGAATCCATCTGACCGCTAATACGATTTGTTTCATCACGACGGCCACACCGGTTTGCGTAGGATGGTAGAACACGCGGTGAAAGTCTTTGTGAAACCTATCCTTGTTGAACCTATTCACTCGGCTTATCGGCAATTAATAACCGAGGTAATCAATATTTGGCAGTCATGAAGAAAATGATTACTTTGAACTATGTAATCAGGGTCTGCTTGAAATGAAGGGAGCAACATGCGAATATAGATAGAGCTGTTGAAAAGGGGTTGAAGAAGCTAGGGTTATAGATCACTCGATAGGTGCTTTGAAGACCATTAACTTGTTACCTGCCGTGTGTTCTGCCTTCATGAGTCTATTTCGCACAGGGATAAGAAGGTTATTGGAATGAACGAATAGACACAATAGCAACGACGAGTATGAGCGTAGTATATTCAACTCCCTCTCCAAGATTACAGTTATTACATGAAGATATAACAATTTTGATCCTTTTCAAGACAATAGTCGATTGGAAGCAGGTCAGCTACATAAGCTATTAGTAACCAGTCATCAAAGGGGACGTCGAGGAATAGAGAGACGTGATGCCATACTTACCCATGGTATCAAAGAATATACACATATATGTACACAATTCTTTAATAAGACGTATATCAAACTTCTATTCATAAGATTCTTTGACGGATCATTTCTTCTTATGTCTACAAACAGTTGGAGTGTGAAACGATGGCGGCGCTCTGGAAGTGAACGCCTTCTAATAGATGCCATATTATATGCAGTTACATAACTAACGGTTACTTTCTTAGAGTATAATAATATCCCAGAAAACTAAACTACTGCACATATATGAGTAACATAGCCGTATCCAAAGCAAAGTCATGTACCTCTGGTTTACATGGTGCCTGGACCCTCGGCGTTCGACCTCAATATGAAAGGAAAAATTGACAGGATCAATTCTATGTATTAAAAATGCCATCTCATAGATAGATTCAATACGTAATCGTCAAACCGTACGCCTGGATAAATGTTTCGCACTCTGTGTACTGTAATTGGCGTGACACTTCATTTAGGCATCGTCCATGGTCTGGTAGCCAGCGTAATCTAGCCGACACTGTAGATCTCGGAGAACATACAGTATACCAAATATCAACTGTAACAATACTGGTACGTCTACCTTGATGATTGAAGCTTGGTAGAGCAAAGCCTTCCGATTTGTGTATACACCTGGAATGGGTAGTGAAATTGGACATCATTCATAAATATTCATCAGAAACCCCCATGCTCACGTCCAAAAATAACCGCGGAAGACAGAGTTTTGAGTTCATTCTCAAGAAGTGTCAATATAACACAATCAGTGTCTCGGCTCCCTTTGTACTTGACCGAGTTCTAACAATGTCACTACGATCTTGACACACAAGCATCAGCGTTATCAGTTCACTCATTCAACACAAGACCCGCCATCTCGGCGCGGGTCCGCACTCACTTAACCCATATAAACAATTGTATAAGATTAGATCCATGCTAGTAGTAATGCAATCTCATTGTCCATTGATTGGGCTAACTTAGTCTGATCGTGTTACAGCAGATACATCCACGTTATTCTCTCGGCTTTATATCCAAGAATCGATGCCATTCTTTTGCTAAATTAGTAGTCATTGACTAGGTCTTGCCTGTATCCTAGCGTGGGCCGTAGTCTCTTCAAGCCTTGCCGCAAAGGCATTGGACGAGGACCCTTAGTATTGGAAGAAGCCTCAAGCCCTGTGGATATTACTCTACACTTTGACATGAAACAACCATCTGAATCACCGTTTATCACTTAGTTATGGCGAAGCATTCACATAACATGTATATTTCACTTCTCGATACAGTAGTTCTGTATAAGTCTGCTTGAGCATATAAATCAGCACTCAGAGATGTGGGAACGGCGTTTTAGATAATAAACGCGTTTCCTGTAGTTTCATAACGCAGAACATATATAGCAGTGTATATGTGAATGTGTAAACAATACCTTCATCATGTATGAGGGCCCTTGTGAATGTGGACAAAGGCCAAACTAGAATTTTCCGGTTTTGCATGCACTACGCCTCATCGCCACATCATGACAGCGCATGGTTCTTGCTTGCAGCATGATACTAGGCTGCAGCACTCAATGCCATGTCTACGCAACGTGAACCAATGGCAGATGTTTGAGACCCTGTTATAAGATGTCTCTCATCAGGAAGAAACATGTTTTGTAGATGCCCACTTTATTACCCAAGGTGGTACAGTAGAATCAAGCCGCTGGTGGGAAATGGACAATGTCTTGTCGCATTATTGTTGGTAGAGTCCTGAAGCTTAGTCGTGTTTATAATGAAATATATATGACCAGAGTTGAGGGAATAATGGAACAGATGGATGTTTAAAAATCCGTCTCCCATAGCCCAGACCGCTGGATTCTGGCAGCTGTAATAGCAGTAGGCAGTGGTTGTACTTTGTACCTTGCAGGCAATTAACACGCCTTGGATCTTTAATGGCGCCACTTAAATGCCTAGCTCACCCTTTGGCCGGACCATCTGTTCCGGGGTCTCCATCTTTCTGCTCCTGCTGACCGAGTACGGAAGAGCTCCAGCAATCTAGAGGTTGCAGCTTGGTTCCGTGGAAATCCAGAGGTTGTTAATACTGAAGGAAGAAGAGGGGAAAAAAAAATAATGATTTAAATTTGAAAAATGGAACATAATAGAGGGGGCAGAAAAGGAGGAGCCGTAAAGAGACAAAAGCCTCACATGAGTCGTCGGTTGCTTTGTACAGGTGACCTCTGCAGCACACACTCACGCGGGCTTGGCTGCCCTGGATTTATATCTGAGCTACCCCTCCATGCAGAGTGATGTGATGCTCTAAGTGAGGGGCCACGATATATTGATCCATGCCCTGTGCCTCATCTCATCTATCTGGTTTCCTCCACTGCCGGAATTGACAAGCTTTGGACATGAATAGCCGGTTTCGTGATTTCGATCGATTCAGATGAGATACGAATGTTTCAGATAGAATAACAATAAGCCTTGAAGAAAGAGTAATACGAGCAACGCCATCTAAGAGTTTGTCAATCACATGCGCTGCTACCCCTCACGGCGAGCCACTACGAGCATCGTACTAATCCCGTCAGTACTCATCCATGTACTCCAACTTAGCAGGTACCTGAAGGCTGTGGGTTTTATCTCTCCGAATTGCCTTGCGATGCACCTACTAAGAGCCGGATCTCGCCGCCTTGTAGTACATACTTTTCTACGGAGCATGCGCCCACTGCGGAACTCATATGCGGATTTTGCTTACACATGTCTTGGTTTCCGTAGCTGTGATTCGCGATGCTTTCTTTGCCTTGG